ATCTTTATTGCAATGAACGCCTCTTTATCAGCATTTTTGCTCTGCCAAAAAAAATGGGAAGATTATTATTTCAAAATTGATGTTGCCTATACCTAGATCTTTCTTTTTTTTCTTCGAGCAAAATTGTTGTGCGGTTTGAAACTTGTCGTTTGAGCTGGATTAGTTCGATTAGAGGAGGAGTTAATGGTTCTTTTAATAAAATACGAGAAATGAAATACCGGAGATGAATGATTCATGTCAGTCTTTTATTTCTGATTGATTTAAACTGGCTGACTTATTTAGGTTCCACTTTTTTCAGTGGCAACTCTTCTGCTGGATGTTTTGCTTGGTGCTTTGGGTGACAAAAAATAAAAAATAAAAAAAAAAAAAAAGAGAAAGAAAGATTCGTACACCGCATGGAATAAAGCTAAGCATCCTTAACACTGCATCACTATTAATGAGACAATTGTTTATATCATCTGATGGGTTCCGTTGAACTTTATATCTTTCCATATCTGAGAAAAACATTCATGATCCGAATTTGCAATGTGATTGTCATTCGATCAAATTAATTATAATGCTACCTAAAACTACGACCATTTGCATCACAGTCGAGAATTCTAGCTTCTTAAAATAATTACTAATTTTTGGTAATTAAAAAATAATTACTAGTTTTTGGGAGATATCAGGAAAGTATTACAAAACATGAAAAATGTTTTATGTTAAATGGTTCATCTAAATCATTATAACACTTCTACAGATATTTTAACATGAAAATACTTTATCAATAATGATGTTCATTCCTTTTTGATTGAGAAATACCATTAAATCAAATCGTCATATTATGACAAATTACGCATTCTTTTAAAAGGTTTTCATGAATGAACATTGCTATAATGAACTCAACTAGTAATATCATCAAATGCCCTACATTTGCCAGTAATTGACGTCGAAATTAACTTTAAATAATTAAATACTATTTTTAATCAAACACTATTTCCTTCTTGCAATTGTTAATATGAAAAATGAGAAATTATCATCAAAAATTTGATTTGGTTCCTTTTGAGATAATGTGATTTCTTTTGATATATTAATGATAAGCCTTAGCAATCGTAATCAAGTTAAAAGTGAGCGGTATCCATGAAGAAAATAAGTATTCAATTTTTTAAAGTCAGTTTTAAATTATCTGCAATTATTGGATACAACTTTTTTCATATAAACTGTTCCGAAAAGGCTTATTTAATAAAACGATTTCTATTTATTTACTAATGAAAATTACCTTGACAAGAAAAAAAAATCTTTCTTCCCTTACTTTCTTTATTTTCTTAACTGAAATGTTGCAGTTTTCAGCGAAAATAGATGACTTATGCTTGGAGAAAAAGTCCGCTAGTAGTATTTATGAAGTGTATCGCATTGTAAATGTGTGCTACCTTTAATCTTATCAGGAATTTCTGATCTTTGTACTTATTTACATAAAAATTCAGCATATATATATGTTGAATTTTTGGTTTTTATTCAGAAACCTGCAAATTATAGGCCTAAAAAATTTTGGTGTCAAATATTCGGAATACAATAAATACCTTATCGTTGTAATACGAAGAAAAATTCCTTATTCTACCGTTAGGAATATAATTAATGAGCAGTGAAATATGAAATATTTGCTATTTTATTATAAAACAGTATTTTTTTATAAATTTACACTTTTTTATGATGTTTTTGTCAGTCCCATTTCAAATTTTAATTCCTTACAAGCTTTAAAAAATTCCATCATAAGTTTAAATTAAAAAAGTTTTGATTAAAAAATAAAATGGTATAGAAGAAATAATGTGTGATGAGTAAAAACTTGAAAAAAGGCTGAAACATGTCTTTTTTCCTTCTATAATTATGCAAATAACCTATAAAACAGAATGTTATCTATACAGGCAGACTTGCTTCAATAAATGGAATATGTAATGAAAGATGTGGAATTAGTTGACATTTTTTATTTCAAAATAATGCATCCGATGAGCATCTTCTTCCTCTTGCTTTTTCTCCCTCTCCCTCTTTCTGTCACTCAAACTGTTCCAGGGAGGTTTTTTTTTTTTCCTCTCTCTCTGTCTGATATCATTTCTAAACAAACTTCTCAAGAGCAACATATACAATTTGATCAAGTAATAATAACTGCGATGCAAATTTAGGATTTTGTATAACATTGGGGTACAGAGAGAAACCGGAAGAGATAATAAGTGATTTCTTAATATTATAAAAGCTTACTTATAAGATATCAAGTTTAAAAAGAAAGATTCAGCATGTGATCATATAAAATGAACGTTGATATACTTTTCGGTTACTACTAAATCTTCGCTGTTAATAGACATTAAACAAGAATGTCTCGAAAACTCTCCTGTCATAATCTCTCGGACTAGAGTTCTTACCTCATTTTATCTGATTAAGGTAAAAAAAAAAACGAGATAATTCTGGAAAATTTATGAATATTGCGATCACTACTGAATTTTGAATAACTAAACCGTTGATTGATCTAAAATATTTTAATTTTGGAGAAAGGCTCAATTAGTTGTCAGAAAGGAACGAAAAATCTCTCCATTTATCTGCATTTTGTATTATTTGATTGAGATGTGTCAGTGTTTTAAATTCAATTTTTTGTTTTGAAAATATTAATATATGTTTTCTACACAATATTCAGCGGTATCTATGGATCTTTTTTTTAAATGTAGCTATCAATAGTATATTTGAGTAAAAGAATGATACTTAATGAAGACTGTATTCATTCAAACAATCCCAAATAAAATGAAACTTTTTAGGTAGAAAAAATCATCAAATAAGAAGTTAATTGTTTAAATACTATTCATTACAGTATTAATATTTTCCCACTTATCTATAGAAAGATTTAAATGTGACAGATCAGTTATATTAAGAAATCTATTCGAGAATGAAAGATATAACGACAGATGAACGATATGAAGTGCTAAATGTTTCATGTGAAATGATAATAGTAACATAATTTTAATAATGAGAAATATCAACGATCAAAATAACTTATTTTCTGAATAAAAGTTTACCAAATCTGAATGGATTAATTACTTCAATATGTTTGCTTAAAAAACAAAAATTATTCGAGATGTGGTATTTTCAAGGATGAATTGGATTTAATGAATCGCGTGTAGGATTAGATTTGATTTTAACAACTACGTTGTTATGATAATTACGGTGCCAGAAAGTCTAGCTTAAGTCATTTCAAGTGTATATCTTTCCTTGCTACAAATCCAACATTTTCATTTCATTTACCTCCTTCCAAAATCATCCCGAGTGTTTATCTGTTTGTTTTACTATGTAAATGGTTCTCTATTTGTGTTTATCTGTTTGTCTAAAATGGTTCTCTCTTTAAGCTACTTTTCCTTCTTCATTTAATTCAATCAATTCCTCGAAAAACTCCTTCGTAAATTAGAAGGAATTCAGCACTATACTTCCTTATTTTATTTTTCCATAAATACATGACTCACTGATTAGCTAACTAGGCTAATACAACTTTATTTGGAATCACACTATTATATCTATCCAGCATACACACATAAAATAAGCATAGATTTTTACAAATTCCTTAATTTCGTTTTTGTTTTTGTTTTTTTTTTTATACTATCTTTTTTCTCCTTCCGTCTCAAAAGATACAATTATTTATAAAATTTAGCGGCTGTCTGTCTACTTCTTTGTGTAATACCCATTTGAAATCCTAATGCTTGCACGAAGGAAATTGTTTCATTCATTGTGTTTGACTTTCAAGAATTTTAATTCATCACCTCATTTTAACGCAATTTCATGTTTGAATTATATTTTAATTGTACACACTAAATATCAGGATGCTATCAGAAAAGATGATATTGATTATTTAAGATCAAAATTATGCTTGATTACAATGAATGCTTTCGGTATTGAGAATGATGGTTTTAAAATTCTCATAATATTTGAAAAATGAACTGAAATTAGATAAAGTGCAGCCATGTTTTCCTTTTTTTTTTTTGTTTGGTGATCGTTTTTTTTTTTTCTTGAGCGCAATAAATTCGTAATAAATTCTATAATTTTACTCCACTGTTTTCATATATGATGAAATGTATAATGAAAAAGTGTTGCTATTACTAATGCAACTTTTCTTTAAAAAAAATTTTTTTTTTGCTTCAAATAAATGAAATCTAAATTGATTAAGATAGAAATAAAGATGAGATCAAAGAATAAGGTTGATATTTGTTATATTTGAATTTTATTAGTGAACTGACGAAGGACGAAGGAAAAAATGTTTTCAGAGAATACTGTTTGTCTTTAAATATGTGCAAAAATGTTGTTATTCAGACGTTTAAATTTTATCTTAAGTTGTGTGCATGTCAAATTACGTGAATTATATCTATTCTATAGCAATACCAATCAGTGGTTGTATAATTCAAGAGAATTAGTCTATTACTGTAACAATTAGACAAATTTTGTAGTTTTCTTCTTTATACACAACACTATGATATGAAATGAATGAAATAAAAGAGAGTTAAAGAATGAAGAGTTGAAATAGGATTGAAATAATTGTTCATGTTTATGCACATGTAAAAACGTATTTCACTGAATATGACAAAGGATTATGAATTACTTTATTCATTGTTCTTCATTGATTTTTTTACCTACACCTGGAATAACAATACAACATTTCGTACTGTATGCAATAAAATATTACTTTTGTTCGTAATAATGTCGGAAATATATTATATATGCATGTGGTAGAATAAGATTGTCCACTTGTTCATCGTCGTTAGAATATGTGAAAAATACATTTTTTATAAAAAAAGAAAAAGAAATAAAAATGAACATTTTTTCAGGACGTAAAGGCGTACCGGTGATCGACGGTAGTGGTATAGTGTCCCGTTAGAAATGCGGAATCGAACGGTGTAGCGCCTCTAGGATTATTTGCTTGAAGCTGTTCTCAAAAAAGCCAAGGCCCTGAAGGGACGAGGACGAGTTTGCCTTAGGCCCCGGCTAGGGGCGTTATGCTTGAAGTTGAAACCTCGGCTAGTGAGCCGTTGATACTTCATCCTGATATCAACAACAATAACAACAGCAATAACAATAATAGTAATGATAATAATAACAACAACAACGACAATAACAGCAATTTCGACAGCGACAGCAATAGCAGCATAGATTCTCAGAAACCTGAATATTTTGTTGCTATTGTTTTTGCGCTAGCGGTTTTATTCAGTTCATTGTATTTACGAGGATTATCCTTCACAAGGATACCTCAGTCACGAAATCGTCTAATAGCTGCCGCTGTTACAGGTAATTTCTTTAAATTCATCACCTTTGATTTCATACTGTATTAATTTCTTTACAGTATGACATAACATCTTCTGGCATAAAATTCTCTTCTTCCTTTCCATTCTTAAACTAGAATTTATTCGCAAAAAAAAAAAAATCACAATTTCATAAATCATAGTTTGATGCTCTTGTGAAATAGAGATAAATTGCTGATTTTTGGATTTGAGTGTAGCAATTTAATGGTGTTCATTTCGTCGGTACAACAACTTTAATCATTTGTTCTACTGCTTCTGTAGTTGTTACACTATGATCAGTGAAGTAAATTTGATACAGTTAGATATGTAATAGCTGAAAACTGGCCTTTTGAGAATGACACAAAAAACAAACTGTTTATCAGTTCAATTTAATTTGCCCGTCTTCTTAAGTATCGACACTGTTTTGAAAAATGTATTCTACTTTTTTAATATTTGCTTATTGATTAATTGCAATTTAGTTATTATAAACATTTTTTAATTAGAAGGCCAAGTTTTTGATATTTTTGTGGTGAAAAATATATTAGTTAATAGAATAGCTTTATGTGGTGAAGAAAAACAAATAATAAACTGCAGTTTTTATTAAAACTGTAGAGTTTTTGCCAAGCTTAAGTTAGCAACGCTTAACTTGGCATCTCTTTATCATCCCCTTTTGTTTTTAGATTTAAAAATCAAAAGAAGTTTGTATTCATTTTTTTATCAAAATTATAGTTTAGCTAGGAGAGAGAGGAAGAGAGGGAAAGAAAGAAAGCGAAAGATACTCAGATATTTTTCGTTTTTCCTGACTCTTTAACTGAAAAATGCAAAGAATTGTTACATTGTTTTTATGAGTTAATGCTGTCGATTTTAACATAATGAAACCAATTTCATTCGTCTTTTTTTCTTCTTTTTCTTTTGTTACTGATCGGTACGAGAATGTGTGTAAAGTATAGTTGCAGCTGTTAAATGTCCTTACTTTCATCCTATACGACTACTTCTTATATGGATTTGTATAATATTACCATCGGCGGTAACTCTTTTTCTTCTTTTCGATCGACACTTCTTATGCTTGTTAATCAATCTTCAATTCCATTTACTTCTTTTTCTACACTTTTTTTTTGAAAGTTTTTTTCCGAGTAAATTTTTTTTCCATCATATCCTTTTTTAACAGTTGAAAAAAATTGTAGACATATTTATTCTGACTTATTTTATAAATCGTTTTTTTTTTCGCATTACCATTTACATCCACCATTGTAAATGATTACAATCAAATTGTAGAAATAGTAAATTGTGATACTTTTTTTATGCGTAACAATCTTGTAAATTTCAAATTTTGATAAAAACGTAACCTAAATTTGTAAAATTGAAAACAATCACGCTAATATGTTCGAGTTGTTTCTTTTATTTTATGTTATCAAAAAAAAAGTCTTTATGTTTTCTATTTTCTAAATTTAACTATTTGAAAACATTTTAATGTCATAGCGATAAGTTTATCCAAATTAATATGGAAAATATCAACAGTACACTTGGTACAGAAATTATCCAAATTCCAAGGAAAAGCGAAGGAAGAGATGAAAAAAATGAAGATTTTTTTGCAGACAAGAAGGCGCTACTTCTCGAACAAAATTTTGTTTACTTTTCGATTTGCTTTCGTCTACCCTAGTTCTACATTGTTTGCTGACATCTGAAATATGTGGAATATACTTTGCTTTACTCTTCTCGTAATTTTTTTTGATTGTTTTTTTTTTTTTTTTGCTTTACGCTGTCACTAATTTCTCCACAAATATTTTCGTCCTTTTTTTCCTCATAAAACATGCAGCAAATGATTATCTGATTCGGTGATCTAACTTAACTTAAATATTTCTTGTGACATTTCTACCAACTCTTTATCAAAAATCTGTCCCAGATTCCATTTCGAATGTGTACATATGATATTGAAGAAAACATTACTGGAAAGTACAGTGAGAAATTTGACTGGATGATTTATACATGTTTAAAGTTTGTAATTTAGAAGTCTAAAATATTTACAATTTATGAAGCATACAGATAACTGATGAATCCAGAAATTTTAGAGCTAGAAAAGTTCGCCATAAAGATTAAAGATATTGACCATTCTTAGTATTCATTCCAATAATTATCGTAGTATTTGACGTAGTATGGTCAGCTTTCCTGGCTAGATTTTCCAGGTTTACCATCTTAAAATCAGCAAAAAATTATTGGTTTAACTTCTTTTTTTTTAAAAAAAAAAAAAAAAAAAACATTATAACTCTGACTTACCATTGAAATATAATCGATGATAACTTTGTATGCAACAGTTGCTGAATGAGAATGAAAGCTATGATGAGACGTTTCAAACAATTTGATAAATTTGTAATATTTTGCAAATCTGAATTTTTGATACTGCTTTTTTTAAACTGAAAATAAGAAAATATTAAAATAAAAAAAGAGATATTATCACAGATGCAAAGTTGCAAGATGGAGAAGTATGGCACATCAATCGACACCAGACAAGGCGACGACGTTCCACATGGAACGATGCCAAATGGCACGGAGTACGTGGATTGGCACGAGATTGTGGCTTCACGTGTTACTTCCGATTACGTCAGGATACCGGTGATCGAATGTCCAAAAGTGAATTACACATACATCTCACGCGCTGGAAGCAGCTACCCCAACCCAATAACAAGTTTGTTGTTTACCTGATGCTTTTCAATTGCTGCATTTGTAACAGATGTGACGAAATGAAACACGAGACATTGCGCAACGTAAAATTTTTTTTATTTTATTAGCTCAATTTACCGTTGACAAAAAATCCAGATCACTGCCGATGTTGGAGAACAATCGGATTCGACCGATTGTACAATTTATGGATTCGTTGGATGCGACGCATGCACGAATGTCCAGATTCGTACCGGATTGCCTCTACAGTGCTCATGTCAAAGGTGCTACTGAGTCATCGATTGTCAATTTGTGTGACATCAGCGGTGGACTGGTAATTATGTTATTAATCCTCTGCCTCATTTAACATCGTATCATAACTGTTATGATCAGCTGACTCTCCTACTTATTTGATAATAAGTGATTAACTAAAGTAAGAATACTATCTACGCAAAATAACGATTTAATCAGTTAGTCCTTGATGTAAACTATTACTCTTGATTTGCAGGAATACAGAAATTGAAATTATTTGCAGTTCGGTACTCTGGCACTGCCGGACGGAACGTATCTCATAGAACCGGTAAAGGACGATCAAATGCCAAGCAAATCGTCATCGTCCAGGGCCCATATCGTGTACAAATCTCGATCTCATTCATTCCACAAATATGGTTTTCACAGTTCTTCTGCAGCCATTATTACTACTACTCCTTCGCTTAATACTGCTTCTGCCACTACTTCTACTAATTCACATTCAACAAGTAATCATAGAAGTAATAACAATAACTCAACCAATGATGTTCAAACGCATAACTACACTGCCTATCGCATTAGCAACGACAATGCCAATTACGATAATAACACTGCCCAATATACGACTATATTCGATCCAAATATCAATATCACCGGTATAATTTCCTTTTCTTTTATTCAGTAGAACATGATAAGCTTACAATTCAAACCTTTATGCATCTGAGGCATTCAAACCATTCCACACACAGACCATTTCGGAAAAGGCGCTAATTATAAATATATTCTAGAAATAGATAAGCATATAGGTGGACCGTAGAATGCTATCAAACTAGAATATAGTATGTGTTAAAGATATCATCACGATTACTTGGATACCAATGTAACAGCTTTAGTATTTCTAACCTGCATTTAAAAAAAAAATTTTTTTTGTCTGCAACTTAAAATTCGATTAGATCATCTCCAGATGGTAAAAGAAAAATCTTTCTCTATATCATCAAAATCGGAAAGGAAAAAAAAAACTGAGAATATTCGGCATTTATACAATTTATCACGTCAAATATCAACATTGCTTTTCATAATACAAGGCATATCTTAAAAAGAGCATTAATAATTAATGTTATGGTACATTTATTAGTGAAATGTTGGTACCTGGTGCTGCTTCAGGCTATTCCATCGAGTTACTTGTTGATCTGATATTCAGAAGAAAAAAAAATACCTTGTAATGGCTGTCATATAGGGATATTATATGAAATGTAGATATGTAAGAAATTTTTAATCAAGCATTTCAAATGTGATCAATACTCATAGGTATAATTGTCAAGGGTATAAAACTATATTTAGTTAATTAAATGATTAATTTCTATAAAATCTACATATTAAGCATAATGTAATTGTGAATAACTTAAAAATTTCAGGCCAGAATAAGGTAGGAATTTTTTTTCCTCGAAGCCTTGTTGATAGGTGCAAAAAAAAAAAAAAATAAGAAATTTTGGTAAGGAACAAGTTTCTGTTCGGTTTGAAAGAGTTCAGAATTTCTATCACAATCTTCTAGTCTCTAGGTGGTAATTGTCAAATAATCAGAGAGAGAAGGATGTTAAATCAAGTTTGTGCACTTTTAATTGTCATAGTCAAAAACATTTAGGCTTGATGCGATAGGTCTTACCAAAATTTATTGGGTGGGTAAGTGAGTAAGCCAAATAAGTGCGCTTCCCGTAATCTACCACTTAAATTATTCTACCACTTAAAATCTGCCACTTAAAACCCAATACTTATACAGAATAGATAATGTAGAATTTTTCGGAAGTGATTTCTTTCAGAAATTAAATTGTCAGTTGATTGGTTCATCAGCAAACTGGCTAAATGCAAGCTTATTGATTCATAAAGCTGCTAAAAATTCAAAGAAGATAATAATAATAATAATGAGTAAATAAATAAAACTTAGAGATTCTGCATTGGGTTCTTTTTCAATCGAAAAATTACTTTTGGTGGAAAATTTCACGAAAAGCACTTCCTAAATGCAAAAATCAACAAATGACTTCCAGCAAATTCGGAAAGAAAAATAAAACAACCTAATTCTCGATTTCGAAGCATATTATGAGTTGCAAACTAGTAGCTTCAGTTGATAAGTTACTTAATGAAATTAAACAGGAGAAGTGCATGAATGTATTGTTATTGTTCCAGATAGCTCGTTTGCTCGATCTCGTCGTTCAGCCAACTCTTGGGACCATTATGTTGAGGTGCTTGTTGTTGCGGACAACAAAATGCTGCTCTATCATCAAAATAATCTTGAAAATTATGTGCTCACACTTTTCTCTACGGTTTGTCACTTTTTCTCACTCAATAGCACAAATCGTCCCAACAGTTAATTATCTAACACTTAAAAATTGTGCATATAATCAATGATTAAACATAAAATTTGTTTAACCATTGTTTTTTAATTAGTTCGAAAAATGTCCAAAATAATTTTAAACACTATTCTATTGTAAAGCTTTCAATATCCTGATTTAATCCTTATCAAATTATAAGTGTCTTCTCTCTTTTTTCCCTCCCTCTTTTCCTCTCTGTTTCAGTTTTATCGTTAAGAAGAGCTAGAGATCAGTAGGACAGAGCAATTTTTAAACTATCTTTTTTGTCGCAACTATCTCTTTGGCAAGTATCAATCTCGAAGAATATTTAAACGTTTTTAAATAAAAGGTGAATGATGATATATTCTCCAATTCATAATTTAGGTAGCTTCTATTTATCGCCATCCAAGTTTACACGCTGCAATAAACATTATCGTGACACGTTTAATCGTTTTGAAACATGAAACGGTTCGTTTTATCTTATTTATATAATGAAGTAAAATGATATAAAAAAGATACATTTCAATTATTATATTTTTGACAATAATTTAGATTAAAAAATTGTATATGTTGCTGTTATATTATTGCACTACCGGTCTATTTCATCTATATCCGGAAATGAGTTCAATTGAAATTGTTCTACTCACTTTATCAGTTCGTAGAACAATTTCGAAATGTAAATTGTCACTATTCCCGATTGCATACAAAGCGAAAAAATCATTACTAGTCATTAATGAATGAGTTTTTAATTAAATTATTGTTAATAAATAACAAAATCACCGTACTAAATCAAGTATATTGTGAAATGATTGTATTTCAGGCTGGACCACATATTAGTGACAATGCACAAGATACGTTGCAACAATTTTGTCGCTGGCAAGAAACATACAATGACAAGAACGATGATGCTCCAAATCATCATGATGTGGCCATCCTGCTCACACGACATGATATATGCAGGTTGACATTTTAAAAATTATAAATGTTTAGATAAAATTAAAATTCACTTTACTGTATACCATGAAGTAATTTGATAATGAATGCATTGTGGTTGGATATTTCATTGATATCTGTTACGCCTGGCGAATTGTTCAAATTAAAAAAATCTCTTTCATTACCTCCACACTTTAGTTTTGCAAGTATAAGCTAAGCAGGTGTATTTGTTCTTCCTACCGCTATATGTTGGATATTGTTAATTAAAAAGACAGTTTGATGTCTTTAGCGATTGTTAATTTGATACATAAGTAGCTATATGTATCTGATTTGAATGACAGGGCACCAGGAAAATGTGACACACTAGGTCTTGCCGAGCTGGGTACCATGTGTGACTCATTACGAAGCTGTGCAATCATCGAGGATAATGGCTTATCAGCTGCATTTACGATCACTCACGAACTAGGCCACATGTACGTTTCATATTTGTCTCTGTCCTACACATTATTCTTGTCAATAATGCATTTTGCAAATTCAGAAATTAAAATACTTTAACATTTACTAAACATAAATGCCATCATTGCTATATAATGGTGCTATCTCACTTCCAGTTGAGAAAATATCGTTAAAAGTGAAATCGATATAAATGATACTAATATATTTAATTAGTAAAGTAAATAAAATTAGTTACGTATATCGTCGCATAACTGTATAATTTCAGTTTCAATATTCCGCATGATGACGAACGGAAGTGCGGTCGCTACATGGCACTAAATAAACATAATTATCATATTATGGCACCAACACTTGAATATAATACACATCCTTGGTCATGGAGTCCGTGTAGCGCTGCTATGTTGGCAAAATTTCTTGAGTTAATCTTCATTTAATTTACTTTTTAATTCCATTCTGAAATTAAGTTATTTAAAGGATTTTATCATAATTTCGTTTTATAATTATTCATTTTACAGTGTTAAGATATGAAATTTTTTCTAGCGCGAATCGAGCTCAGACTCAGTGTATTTTGGATCAACCGATTGAACGTCGCTATTACGATCGAATGTTTGAAGATCCGGCGCCTGGAGCAATGTTTTCTGCTAATCAACAATGCCAGTTTGTATTTGGACCATCAGCTGAATTATGTCCTTACATGGTAATTGCTTATTGAGTTTTAAAATTTAGGTAATTCATTTCATATGTACTTCCCTTGAATTTCACGAAAGTCGTACTTAAATGTTGTAATGCAATTGAAAATAAATCTGGTAGAACTTTAAGGGAATACTAGTGACCCTTTGTTTGGTTTAATCATGTCATCGTTATCATTTTGACTGGTTCAAAGTTCAGGAAAATTGAATTTTCGCTTGTTGCAGCCAGCATGTCGCAGGTTATGGTGCGCTACGTATTATGGATACCAGATGGGTTGTCGAACACAACATATGCCTTGGGCTGATGGTACACCATGTGGTGATAATCAAGTTGGTATTATCAATACATTTCTTTAACATTTTATTTTCAATATATTTATTTAATACTATTTAATTAAATTATTCAATTTTTAAAAGAATTACGATCTGTGTAGTTTTTGAACAATTGTCAAATAAATTCGACTGATAAGAAGTTAATTGCATTGAATAATTCAACTGAGTACATTACTCAAATGACTGTTTTTAGTAATACAGTTTGTAAATATTACTGCGGTATACGATGCTGTTATTACAGTGGTGTCATCGTGGTGAATGTGTGGGTATGGCTCCTCAACAACGAGCCAAATTAGATGGTTCATGGGGTGAATGGAAAAATTGGGGTGACTGCTCAAGAACTTGTGGAGGAGGTATACAGAAGGCTTTGCGTGATTGTGATAATCCAAGGTACTCGTTTTGATGTGAATTTAGAAGTCATTCTTTTTAACAATTAGGCAGAAACTAGGATGTAGTGGATCGGAAGCTATTGTTGATCTCTTTTTACTCATTTACGTTCAGGCAAACTATGATCAATAGCAACTCTTGACTTCTTTTTTGGTTAACTTTTATGGGAATCATTTATACTGGTGAAAAGTTTGCTTACAGGCCTATCAATGGTGGAAAATATTGCGTAGGACAAAGGGAGCGTTATCGACCATGTAATATCCAGGATTGCCCATGGGATACACCCGGTTTCCGAGAAGTACAGTGTTCAGAATTTGACAATAAGGATGTTGGAATTCATGGGGTTCCTCCCAAATCACGTTGGTTACCAAAATACACCGGAGGTTTGTTACTTTCTGATAACTTATTTAATCCTGATTTAATTTATTCAATCCTGGTTTTACAAAATATTTTATTTCAGTAAGCGACAATGAAAGATGTAAACTATATTGCCGTATAAGCGGCTCCGCTGCATTTTACTTGCTTAAGGATAAAGTTCTGGATGGTACTCCATGTTATCGGCATGGGGACGATATGTGCATCGATGGCACTTGCCATAAGGTGGTTTCTAAGCTTTCCCTATAAGTTTTGCGAAAAAAGCTTCTAAATTATTTCAAAATGTTTTTCATATCTGATGTCTAATGCTGAATAAAACAGGAATAATTGTAGGCTGGTTGCGATCATCGTTTGGGCTCAGAAATGCGACGTGATAAATGTGGAATCTGTGGCGGTGATGGAAGTACATGTCGGGTTGTATCAGGTAGCTATAATGAACGTGGATCATTTGGCTATAACGAAGTTTTGAAAATACCTGCAGGTTCGGCAAATATCCAAATAACACAGCATGGATATGGCAACCAGAAAGAAGACGATAACTATCTTGGTAATTGATCCAGTATCACCTGGATTTTCATTAATGAAAATAGATTATTCACTACACCTACTACTACAGCCAAATATTGCTTGACAGTTTCATTCAGTTCACTCATTAATTTTTCACTTAGCTGTGTAAATGCTTACTTATAGATGAAATTTTTCTTATAAAAAAGCAATGTACTAATGATTCTTCTACCTAACTGTTACCAGTCTGTACATGCTGACTCATTAAAAGTACTCTATAAGCTTAAAACTTGCAAAGTTTTAAATTTAATGAGACAAGCAAACTTTTAATTACTTATTAAATTCCAAATTACATCATTTTTATTAATTTTAATCATGATAATTTCTAACAATTAAAAATGCTGTAGCTTTACGAAATGCTAATGGAGAATTTCTGCTCAATGGTCATTACCAAGTATCAGTTTTCCGGCAACAAATTTCCATACAGGACACGGTACTAGAATATTCTGGTAGTGATCATGTGATTGAGCGAATAAATGGCACTGGACCTATACGGTCAGTTTGTAAAGTTGCATGATTTCTTTTTTTTTTTAGCAAGAAGCAGGAATTCTTTTGTTTGAACTATAAATATTTCTAGGACTGATATTTATCTTCATGTGTTATCAGTTGGAAATTTATACCCTCCAGATATACACTATGAATTTATGGTACCAGCACAAAATGTACGATTTGGATATGAAACATCAGTGACAAATTACTACTGGCGTATCAGTGAACGTTGGTCAGAATGCTCCTCATTGTGCCAAGGTTATTTCCCGTAGTTTTATTAGACTTGCGATTGCGTTCATAGATTAGATTTCATTGAGATTACATTAGAATACCAATACAGGTTGACAGAACCTTAACCTTAATCGATTCATTGTGATATTCGAATTGTTAGTAATGCCTTTCTGCCGAGTTGTAACTTACCACTTGGTTTTATCTATCAATCTTAATCTCTCGTTTTCTTGATTTTAGGAATAATCCTAGTCCTTACATATGAGGAATCTTTCAATAAAGGATTAAGGTTTGATATATTTTCTAATAATTTTTGAAATCTCTCCTCAGTTTTTTTCTTTTTTAATTTAAGGTCAGCAAAAACAGGAGCTTATTTGCGTTGATGCAATATCAAGTCGTAGCGTAACTGATAATTTGTGTATATCCCATCGTCCACCAACTGAAACACGAATGTGCAATATTGACTGTACCATTAAGTAATCTTCGCTATTTTTGAACTTCCCCTTCTGTACTACGTTTAAAAATATAATTTTATTAATGATATATTGATATGTTAGTAATAACAAGATGTCATGTATATATATATATATATATATATATGATGAGATTAACTTCAGATGGCGTGTAGTGCCGGTTGGACAATGCAATGCAACTTGTGGACGTGGTGAGAAACATCAAAAAAGCGAGTGCATTCGAAGTTACGTAGACGGACGTGAAACTATTATTTCTGATTCACAATGTCATCAATTAAAGAAACCAAGTGACCGTGCACCATGTTATGTAGATTGCGCAGGACGGAAATGGACATATACGGAGTGGACACCGGTATGAAATGATGTTTGAAGTTGGGAAGATCGAATTTCACACAGTAATGCGCATAAATTTAAAATGAGATTTTCGACATGTTTTAAAGATATGTGAGATTCACTGGATGCACTCATTAAATCAGAAAGTAATTTTCAACACTTTGCAGTGTTCGGAATCATGTGGCATATCTGGTATCACTCGCCGACAAGCTTTCTGTAGTGACCAGACGAATCGACGTTTGGATGATCGTGCTTGTGAGCAAGCAATGAAGGATAAAACAGAAAAAGAGTGCAATCGAATACCATGTCCCAAATGGGTCTATGGCGAATGGTCTGAAGTAAATTTTTACTTTTTATTATTCGAGAAATTTGATCAATATGTCATCGTATTATAAACCTTCAAAAATGTATTATTGCATAATTATAATTCAATTTGTACTTAATATTACTGGAATAGTACAAATCGAGGAATTTTGTAGTGTTCTCGATCATGTGATGGAGGTGTCAAAGTGCGCCATGCATCATGCCAGGATGCGGCAGGTCGTGAAGTACACCTAACAATGTGCAACAGCAAGGAAAAGCATGATTGGGAAAAGTGCAATCAGCAAATCTGCACGCAGTGGAGATTTGGCACATGGGGCAGTTGTTCGGTGAGCTGCGGTGATGGTATCGAAACACGTGATGCGGTTTGCACCGATCTTAATAGTCGACATCTTGATGAGAGTGAGTTTCAGTTCAATTTTTCCAAAATCACTTCATTTTCTCATTGTGGTGAGAAGACTTTTGCTAGTTATGAAGTCAAAAAGTTGATGGAATAATATTTTAGGATCTCATTACTCATTTCTTTTCTCTGATATGACCAAAATTCTTGACTAATTTTCTTTAGCATTATAATTGGCATATGTTAAGATCTATGTGATCGTCGTGAACGAATTGTACAAAAGCCATGTCATCGTATGGCATGTCCCAGTTGGCGTCTTGGGACATGGAGTGCATGTTCGGTATCATGTCTTGATGGTTGGAAAACTCGGCATGTATCTTGTGTTGATGCTAATGATAATGAGGTATCTGATGAGCAATGCTTGAGACAAGGTGAAGCTCGACCCCAAAGTCATCAACCGTGTAATCAAGGGCCATGTCCATTTTGGCGAGCATCTGATTGGACTAAGGTTACTTCTTTTTTTTAAAAACACTTTTCATATTTTGCACTGAACATATTAAATACACTTACTTGATAATTACTATTTGGTCTGTGTTGCTCCTTAATTCCAATTATCGTTCTACAAACTTTGTTTTTCACATCTAAATTTGCTAGCCCTGTGCATTAAGGACAGAGTGATGAACTTCTTTTAGTGTTCTGTATCATGTGGTGTAGGTGTAAGGGCGAGGAATGTCGAATGTATATATCGAGATCAAGTTGTTGACGGTTCATTGTGTAGTGACACTCAAGTGTCAAAAGTTGAACAGTGTAGGTAAGTAGTAAAATTGTTTCTTTGTGCTCTATTCCTGTCCGAAAAAAATTGTCAAGTATCTTTTAAATTATTATCTTCAGAATTCCTTATATTAAAGCTTACTACCATGCGCCAAGTGGAAAGTACTTCCATGGTCACACTGCTCCGTAACTTGTGGTACTGGTCAACAAACCCGCACAATACATTGTTTACGAGGAAAATCTATCGTTCATGAAAGTGAATGCGATATGGTTAGTATAAACTATAAATCCTTTAAATAACACTAATTGATCAATACACACAATTATTGTGCAAAGATCAGACTTATGATATTTTTCGAATTCTTCTATGTAGCGCTTATCTCCGTAAAAATACAACCGTTTCCAAAAGTTGTGCTTGTCTATTCATTTTCCTCTGTTGTAAGAATCAGTTTCACTGTTGATGATTCAGGATAGAAGGAAGAATTAACTCTATAACCAATCAAAAAAAAGTTGATTATAGGCAATACGTCCAAAAACAGAAAAAGTCTGTGAACGTGACAACTGTGAAGCGTTCACACAAAATGTAGTCGAGAGTACAGTAAGTGATCAGCCAAAAATTCGATGGGCCATTGGGCCCTGGTCTGATTGCTCGAGAACGTGCGGAAATGGAACGCAACGTCGGCTTATAGTATGTCGTGATCATATTCGTGACCTTACCGACACATACTGTCAACATCTGGAACCCATTGAAACCTATCGATATTGCCAGATTAAGCCATGTGCTCAGTGGACTGTTGGACCGTGGAAATCGGTATATTCTGATTTGTTCTTTTTCTTACAATTTTCTTGCAGGAAGAAAATATCTCAAATCAATTCATACATGGTTACACTTTCTTTTTTTTCAATTATTGTTACCGTATCCTGCAGAATATTGAGTAGTTACTGTAGTTGTTATTCTACAATATTTTGAAATGGTAAATGAAACCGAGCGCTTCGTATCATATCGTTTTCCATCACTACTCACTGCAACTTATCGTTTCTATGAGAAAATCTCTCCAAAGTGTTAACTTTTGGTGATTTAATAAAAAGTTGAAACTATCAGTTCTCACTTTTTTCATATTGGACTATGGTGTATTCCGTGGTGATGCTGAGTCTTTTTCAAGTATTCATGGCAAATAATACAAATAATTTTCCCCTGAATTAATGCGGTATGAGTCTTTCGAATAGAAATCTCGAAAATGGAAATTTAGTGCTCAGTTACTTGTGGCATGCATGCAACAACAGACCGTCGCGTAAGCTGTGAGTCGATGGAAGGTAATGAGCAAGTGCGGGAAACAGATTGTGATTTAACAAATCGTCCACAGTCAATCAGATCGTGTAATTTGAATCCATGCCCGATGGGAGAACCACCTCTTGGATTCTGGATTACCAAAGAGTGGGAAAAGGTTAGTATTGTCTAGGTACAGTTCTTCACACCGATTATGCATCAAATCCCTAACAATCCTTTAATATCAATCGTCAGACTACTTTTAATTCATTACTTGTGATGATAATATATTGTTTAAATATGGCTAGGATTTTCAGTGTTCCGTCTCATGTGGAGGTGGTTGGCGTAGACGTCTGATTACCTGTAGTACAAGATTTTGTAATGAAGGAGAAAAACCGGAACAGTTTGAGCGTTGTAATCAACAAGGATGTGTAAAAGTGTCTAAAGTCTGGCAGATGTCACCTTGGTCTCATGTATGTCTCTTTTAACTTTAAAGTTAAATATTTAACAATTACTACTGCAAATTTCTGAAAAAACTACACATATTCAATAAAGTAGTAAAGATAGAAATTATTCACATAAAAGGATAATAAGCATTGCTTATATCATGCGAAGAAATTGTTCGTTTCTTTTTCCTTTTCTTTTTAATTCTTAAAAATTTTCTAACGAAGAAATTTTAGTGTCCAGTTACATGTGGTGGTAGTGTACAGAAACGTACAGTTTGGTGTGAAGATGAGAAAATACGTGAAAGGGTACAAGATACAGAATGCTTGCTTCCTGAAAAACCATCCACTGTTCGGGAGTGTAATAAGATAGAATGCCAAATGATACCAATGAAAAATGAGTACTATCATTGGTATGCAGGCAAATGGAATCCGGTACGTGCAAGTAGACGTAAATATCATAAAATACGTGGAGAATAATCCATTTTAATTTCATTCAATTTTTCCTTTTTTTTTTCTTTTTGCTTGCAGCACTTACAGTATTTGTTTTGTCTTGTCATTTTTAGTGCTGTAAATGTCTCTCCATAACCAATGCTTGTTGATTATGACAAATGAAGTTATATACGTACAAGTATGTCACATTGCGTGCTCTCACCTCTACCTTCTGTCACTTGCATTGCACATCCAAATGAAAGTGAGATGAAACTTACTTATATGTGCTTTATGCAGTATGATGTCAGTAAATGTCAAAGTACTTTTTTCTGATACGTTTAACAACAGCAAAAAAGAAAAAAAAACCACTAATATATTTAATCGTTTCATGTTACAAGCAGTTAGTCAACTGCCATTCTTGTTCGTTTTTTTTCTCATTTTTCGTACCTATCCCTAAATTATGCTTCGTTTGAGTTGTCATCTGACAATCATGCATTTCTTCTATTTTCTCTTTTATTTGGTACCTGGCAATATTTCATCTTAATTTCTACATAATTAATTTTTCTAGAAACTTTTGTACTATTGACTAATTTCTGTCTCGTTACTTTCAACATTAGTGTAAATAAATAAAATATATATATATATATATATATATATATATATATATATATATATATATATATATATATATATCTGAATATATCTGAAAGATAAAGATTGAATTTAATGACGGTTAAAAATTTTTTTTAGCTCACGTTTTTTGCTAAAATCTATGCCAGAATTAAAATTTACGAGTTAATTAGCCATTATATCTTTTCAGTAAGGATTATATTTTATGCTAACATTTTAATTAGACATTATCTATATTTTAAATGAACTTCGTATAAGGTAAAATGAAATAGTCGTCTTGTGGTTATCATTCATATTTCAATATTTACTTCTTATGGTTTCCAGTTTTCCTTATCATCTGCCATTTTACCACCAATTTGTTCAGGCTCTTATTATCTACTGCTTTGGTAGCTTTCATCTTCAGCTGCTTTACCACTGATAAATAATATATGACTGTTTTGGCAATGTCTTTGGGAGCATGTCACAATTTCCATTAGAAATTTCTAACGCATGTTTGCTCCACTTGAATTATTAAGAACGATTGTGTCGTTGAATTTCCTTTGAGTTAGCAATTGAAGATCAAATTCAATGATTGATAAGACGAAAGACATACACCATGTATTTAATTAAGTTGGCAAAATTCATCACCGTCAGCGTCATGCTCTCATCATTACTCGCTTTTTATCTGTTTTTCTGGATAATAAGTGTAGTATGAAGATAGACAAATTTATTATCTTGACTGATAATGCTGGATCGTTTACAATCTTTGATAATGTTGGATCGCTTGCAATCAAGTTTTGATAAAATTTGTGAGCAGAATAATTTTTGTTGATTAAAACCACTTCTATTCCATTTAACAAATTACTAATTATCGATAAAATTTTTTTTTAGGCACAAAATTTAGGTACGATGGTTCATTCTGCAGTTATTCTGAAAATTATTGTTTTATCTATCAATTGTTTCTGTATTTACTAATTCTCATCCAGTACAACTTCATTTTTAACTTTTCTTCAGAGATAAAGCTAAATAATAAAAGCACTGCTTTATTCTTTATGAGAGCTTATAACCAAGCTAAGCGCATCAATATTTTCAATTTTCACTCTAATGACATTCGTTCATTCAGAAATTTGATACTGATGCTTAATATCCTACCATATTTAGTATTTTATAACAGTTTGATGTAAAAGAATCCTTCGGAACTTGATGATAAGAACCTTTTTATTTTGAGAATATTACAACAATAAACAAAATAAGCTTGATAATCAGACATTCTAATGCTATTATGAAAATTTGCTTGCGTTGTAAAACAATGTCGTGGTTCGTTTCTTTTTCCTTTTCATTTCCTCGTTTGATAAATAATCTTTTACTCAATTATACAGTTCATTAGTTTTTCTGTTTTCATATTTTTATATTACTCAGTTTTATTTATTTAATATTTACCGGTGCATGTCACTTTTTCCTTTGTGCATCAAGCAAAATTTTTTCAATTTCTTGAAAGGAAGCGAAACGACATTTGCTTATTATTACATTTGCAAAATGAACTTCATTTCTTCGAAATTTATTAAGATATAAAAAGTTATTGGTTCTACAATGGTTTGTTTTTGCATTAATCTTCCTGAATTATTGACGGATGAGGTAGGTAATTTTAATTATCCATCTACCATCAGGCATATGTGAAAGATTTTAGGTCGAACAATATAAAAAAAACAAAAAAAAAAAGAAAAATATCTCAAAAATTTTCTCTGCATTAGATGAATTCACATATGATTAGACAAGTAATAAGACTTGTATTTATCAGGATTATCTATTAATCCTAACTGTAACGTGCAAAAAAAGATGAGCCTTCTAAGTTTTCTTGATAGAAAAAAAAATGTAATGTTGTGTGTTCGTTTGTGCACGGCTTCAATGTTACTATTCTTTAATCCGGTATTTCCCATGTAGCAAAATCTTATAAGCAAATACAACCTCCAATTTCACCTATCAATAATTTGCTGTGGTTTTGTTGATATCTTTGTTACGTTATTTTATTCTTTTGGCTTGTATTTTGTGTTCATTATCGATTCCAAGCTAAACAATATGTGCTTCTGTGGTTAGTTGAGATCTGTCTGAACATGAATTCCGTTTAGCAATCTGAAATCTCTATTATTCAATTAATTCCATCCCGAGAATGTGTATGAAAATTCAATGACTTGTTTAGCTTGCGTGCTGCTTATATTATGAAATATAGTTGAGATGAATAAGGTGAGATGTATTTCAAGTTTATATATTTATTTTCCAATTTAATTTTCAAAAAATGTATTTGGATAAGCAGAATACCGAGTCATATTGATTGATAGTGATTGATTTTGTCTGTTTGCTTATAAGTTCTTTAATCTAACTCATATTGTTCTCTCTCGATGCTTACATGGAATACAGTTTTTGTCCAGAAAGTAACCTAAAATGTGGTGATTTAAATTTAAACTGCATGCTGTTGAATTTATGTAGCTGATTTTTTTTTTTTTTTTTCTTTTTTAAGCATCCATAGTTTTGCTTTTGCATTTCAGTGTTCGACAACTTGCGGACGTGGTGTTCGTAAACGTATTGTGTCATGTGTCAATTCACATAGTCATTCAGTAGCATCTAAATATTGTGATCCGGCAAAACGACCAATTGATTCACATCGGTGTAGAATGACGCATTGTCCACGGTGGAAGACCGGAAAGTGGTCAATGGTGAGTGAATGACGTTGGGAAATATACTTTTTAGATACATCAGAATGTGATATCTTGTTATGAAGTCGGAAGCTTACTTGTTGGTTGTGGTCGAAACTGTCGTCGGAAAGTGCTAGGTTATATCTGGAATGTGATGTAACCTAAAATTACTCAACCATTTGAAAAACAGGATGCACGGATTGCTATTTCACCGATTTCTGTGTTCAAAAAGTTCTGTCATCCGTTCGTACAAATGCAATTTCCAGACAAACTAAAACAATTGATATTTTAAAAATTTGGAAAATATTCTATTTAAAAAAAGAAACTTTATATTAATGTCAACTGGATTGGATATACCGCCTTCTAATATCAGCTCCAGTGTTTGCCTATTCAGAATGCAGTAGCCTGTTTGCGTTGATCAATCATATAGCTTCAAAAGTTTTCCGATCAAACTTATCTTATTCAGTTATGTAAATTACCTGGTTCTCTTATCTTATTGATACGGACAGTCCATCTTTTCCAAATAGCAAAAGAAAGCCTGGAAGATAAATTACAAAAGAAAAGATCATTCCGTCAAAAAAAGCCTTTACATCGGTTTTTTTATACGATGAGGATGAGATAACCAAAAAATATGGTTTTGAAAGTATCGGAAGTCTTTGATGTATATTTGCGTTTGGGATTTTGACACTGAAAAATCATTTCTCTATGTTGAAGATAAATTTTCGGCCGTTACTGTTTTCATCTAAATGAAAAGAAAATAAGAATTTTCTTAATTATCGGGACGGAGTAACCAGCAGATATATTAAACAGGATTGGTTTCTTACCTAACACCGTGAGTTTTTCTTCAAGAACTGACTGTCCAGTCTCTACATTGTTGCTATTAATGACATAGCTTCTCCCTGAGAGCCAATTCCCTAGCTTTTTACAGACGTAATCAATGCGAAAGTTGATATTTATTTCTGACGGTGATTTATACATGTAATTTTGTATATTCTTTTGTAGATTTATTTTGTTCATATGGTGTTGTTATTTGCAGTGTTCGGTAACGTGTGGTAGAGGAATACGAACACGTGAAGTGACGTGTCAGAAAGGTCGACGAACCCATCTTTCAGATATGGAATGTGGAAAGCTGCCTAAGCCATTAGAAAATTCAATGTGCATGACCATATCCTGTCCAGCTTATCATTGGACAGCCACTCCGTGGTCTAAGGTTAGAAATATATAACCATTTTCTCCTACAAATCATCCTTTTGCAATATCATATCTTTCATATATCACATTTAGTAGAAATTGTAAGAAAAAAATTAGAAAATTTTTGTTTATTTTTAACAAAAAAAGAAATGCTATTGAACAAAAAGATATATATTGCTTTGTTTAAGAATGTAAAGATATTAAGATTTATAGATTTACGAAATTAATAAGTAATGATGAATATAGAATGTTATATGGAAATTAATAGAAAGAGGTGTATAATTCAACCAAGTTTCACTTTCAAATCCATTTCATGTCTAAGCCACAAGAAAAAAAAAAAAAAAAATGATGAAAAACTGCGTTTATGGAATATGAGATCATGCTGTTGGGTACGAGATGAAGTGCATGTGTGTGAAATGAATATCTCAGACTATTTGTTGACGTTTGTGAAATCTAATGTACTAAATTAGTAATAAATGATAATATGTATTAAATTTCAAAAATAGAAATTTCTGTGGTTGTCTAAGTTATTAACTACTTATCCTTTTCTTTTTTTAGTTTTTATCTGAAAAACTTCAATATCAATACAACTTATCCATACCTCAAATTGTAGTGCAACGATCCGTGCAAAAAGTCTGATCAACATCGTCGTGTCTATTGTGTTAGCAATTTGGGCAAACGTGCAGCGCCGAAAATGTGCAGTAATGAAACTGCACCAGAAATGACACGTTCTTGTCCTGTTACCGATTGTCTGTATCACTGGGTACCCGGACCTTGGAGTACGGTGTGGCTTTAATTATTATTTTATTTATTTATTTATTTTTTCAGTTGTAAATTTGTTCAATAAGCTATTAAGTGAGATAAATGAAAGCAATAAAAAAGAAATATAGAGGTGAGAAAAAAAATTGGCTATTTTATCAACATACTGTTCTTTAATATAACAACCTGAAGGAATATGTTCGTAACATGTAACCTGCTGGTGGGATGACATACCTAAGATAAGTATTTTGATAAGTTAACAGCAATAATTTAGCATCATGCGCTACGAGCTACCGAATGATAGATTAATACTAATGATATTACAACAATAATGATTCTTTATTGTTCAAGAGTGCCATTTCTAAAATATATGTTTTTTTCAGTGTTCGAAAACATGTGGCACAGGATTTCAGTTTCGCCGTATTGAATGCCGTGTACGTAGTCAAAATCATAGCTTGAGCGCAGAACCGAACGTGCAATCGAGAATGTGCAATGGATTAACTCGACTATCGGTTAGTAAGGAATGTGCAATGAATCCTTGCGATGCTAAATATCGATGGTCTGTTGGACCTTGGTCACAGGTAATCATTGTCTCGTTCATCTCTGCTTACAACACTTCTTGTTTATTAATAACCAAATCACAAGAGTGTTTTCTTTTTTTTGTACGAAAATTTTCCTAACGTATATATTCTTTAATAATGATATAAATAATCATTATTATTTCATCATTTTCAAGAAAAGTATCTCGGATACCCAGTACAGTGCACAGTCTGTGATTTCAGCTCTCATCGTCTTTGTTTTCATCTGCCTGTCTCTTTGACAGGCTTAAATCATCCAATATTGTCATTTATATCTATTGTTAGTTTGCCGAATCATGCTTTGATATGTTTCAACATTATTTAAACTTTATGTGTAATTATTAGGTTGAATTCTGCATGTGTGCAGTGATCGGTTTATAAATGTTTAGCCATTAGTTAGATCTCAATTCATAATTGTTACTGAATTGTCTTTTTGAATAAAAAAAAAAAAATCATAGTTTAAGGTGCAAAGTACTTTTTTTTTATAATCATAAACGTTTTTTGTATCTAGATAATGTCAAAGGAAAGTATTAAAATTAATGAAATACTTTTTATATTACCAATGAGTTGCAGTGCTCGACAAGTTGTGGTCCAGGCTATCGAAGACGTCGTGTGCGGTGTTTGGATAGAGACGGCAGACGGGTATCACGAGATCTTTGTGATCAGAGTCCAGATAGACCGAAAAGACGGGAAAGCTGTTTCCTGAGGAATTGTAAATATTAACATGAGTTTATTTACAAACATACACAACATCACATGAACAAAGATATAAAATGTTCCTTAGAAATATAAAATCTGTTTGAATGCAAAATCATACAGTAATTCGCTGCATTTTGTTGATCTCAAGTCCTGATAAAAAGTTCAAGGACATACTGTTTCAAATCGATATAAAGTGAGTCTGAATTAAGCAATTAATTAAGACTTCACAGTTACATAAGGGTCCTAAAGCAATATTGTTAATTGGAAATATCTTAAGTTTACTCATAATGTATTCTAGGCTTACCAGGTGATTGTGCAGAATTGAAAGCATACTATATGCAAGAGAATAGCGTTGATGGCAATTATACCGTTTTGGTAGCCGGTTTTCGCATTACCGTTTATTGCCACCTAATGAATGAAACACTACCAAAGACATACATCAATCTCAATAGCGAGACTAATTTTGCAGAAATTTACGGAAAAAGGTAATACCAATCAAAATTGTTATGTATGTGATGTTAAAAATACTTCTTATTGATACCCTAGGATCTTTACATTATTTCAATACATAATTGAAATGTTAAGTTTTTTTTTTCAAAGATACCATTGTTTTCCTAATTCTTTGGAATTAAAAACTTGCATATCATCTCGTCCAGAGTACAGTGATAACATAGCTTATTACATTAAATAACCAAATAGTTTTGGTAGTTTATTTGTTTCTGATTACAAATTTGGTTCGAAAATTTTTGTCTTCCAGCTTTCAGCAAAATAAACGGATCGCATGCATGAACACTTTTCAAACTGTGATAACCTTATGTTTTATTTCCATTTAGATTATTGTATCCATTTACATGTCCCCATAATGGACAACGTAATGACACATGCATGTGCACGGATGATGGAAGTGCAAGCGCTGGCTTTTCTAGTTTTTCGAAAGTTCGTGTCGATCTTCACAATATGAAAATAAACAGTGAGTTATTTTTACATAATCTAATAAATTGTTATATATAATCATTCCGTTTAACAATCAAACTGAGCACTTATTTCGACAGTTAAAATGGATGACTTAAAAATATCTCTATTAATTCTTTCTTAGAATAAGCAACGTTCATAGATCTTATCTTCATAACAGGTGAAAATTTAACGAAGAGTCAATAGGGAAGAAGCATTGAGAACAGTCATACTTTAAAATGATTTATTTCAGTCCATGATCACACATTCGCAACGACATCGCACGGTGAAGAAGTAGCATTTGCAACAGCTGGTGATTGCTACAGTGCTGTTGATTGTCCACAGGTTTCGTGAAAGCTGATAAATATTTGGCTATTTTATTGTTAAAATTTTCATGGTAATTATTTGCACAACTTGAAATAGTGCCTTCAATTGAAAAGTTTTCATTTTCAGGGTCAATTTGGTATCGATTTACGAGGAACAGGTCTCCGAGTGATGGATGACCTTCGATGGGTTGATCAGGGACACCGTACAAGTTCGAGAATTGAGCGTTCTGATGTATGTTTATTTTCTTTTGAGAAATACAAAATATATAAGGAATATTGAAAGCATTCTGGAACATTGTAATAGTCAGTCTTATGAATCATTGGTATAGATAAGGCGGAACCTGCAATAATTTGTGTCCTGAGAAAGACCAAAAAGGTGAGAATTGTGTGTTGATTTAAGAAGTTCCATCATTATTTTCATGGAAGAAGTGAGACTTATCTGTTCGGAAAGGATTATGACAATGAAGAATTTATCATTTTTTTAAAATGAACTGCATCGAAATCAAGCATAATTCCAGAATAATTCGGGTGTCATTAAAAGCAGCACTATTTCTGTATTATGCATCATTGTATATCGGCGCTGAGATTTTTGAGATAGTTTTTCACATACAAACCAAAATTTATTTCATTTCCTATCTATTAAATTCAACAATTGCTAAGATGTTGAGAATACTGCTGTTTATTACTAAGTGGAGAGATATTACGTATTATAGAATAATGCGCGAATTTTTGGACGTTGCGGTGGTTACTGCGGTCAATGTAGTCCGGATAAGTTTAAAGGTTTGGTAATAGAAATTGACCATAAGCAGAATCCGAGTATCGGTGTGGGATGAAAAAGATGATAGAGGCAGTCAACAGTATTGTCATGCCACACTTTGTGGATTGTAGGTCAAAAGAAAAAAAAAAAGAAGCGTGGATGCCATCCCTTACAAGTGTAAACTGTAAATGAAAACAGATGAAGATTCACTGGTGTTTTGTGTGAACTTCTTGTACATCATGGAAAGGGTTTAATATGAAAAATTTTATTTGACTTATTGTCCCTTCTAATATTTCAAATAATTCATGCGCACTTCTTGCATATTATGATTAAAACGGAAAAGATTATAAATGAATTTACAGAAAAAATAGTAATAACAATGGTCCTAATAGTATATGAAATGCTTAAAAATTTTGTGGAAATAAGAGTTCTTATGTATTTCTATTTTGTATTTAATATATAATGAGAGTTCCCACATATAACTAACTTCATTTCTCTTTTTATCTCTCACCGTTTTCGGCTCTCACTATATCTCGTAATATCCAGGAAGTTGTCTGTGTGGTACTCATATAAATTTAGATACGCGTTTCTGTACTTTTGTTTGTTTTTATTTTTTAGTCTTTAATGTTAAGAAAATAGTCTAGAGATAAAGTCGTTTGTATCAATTATTTTGTTCATTTCATATTGTTGATAGAAAAGGTAACAAGGTTGAAAATGAATAATTTAGAGTAAAGTGTTATTTGTTCGAAAAAATTTGGAACGAACAAAGTGGCTTCGATGATTCTCTGATTATGAGCTGTTATTGTATGTTTGTTAAGTAAAGGAGTAACTGTATTCGACACATATGTATTTACTTACTTCTTTGCCTTTATATGATGACTGTACTTCTGCACTTTCTTAACTTTATTCTCCAAACAATGGTTTCCAACTCTTTTAGGATATTTTGTTTTTTTAATTTTGTTTTAAATGTTCGCCTTCATAATTTAAATCCTGTCAAACAGTTTTATATTGTAACCTTGCAACATTTGGTGGAGAAGTTTCATTACTAAAAAAACCTATCAAATTTTTTTTAAATCAATGTTTAGAATTTGCTGGAACTGTAAATTAATTTTAGAACAGGTTGCTGTGATCTTCACACATTATATAGCATCCATATTGCTGGATTGATTAGTAGTAATTGTTTTCGGCTTCTATGCATCTCTTTTTTCTTTTATTGCTTTGAAAATGAACAAAGTAGGGGATGTTTTTTTATAGACAAACGATTTATATTACATATGGCGAAATATTTTTTATGGCATGTTGAAGTTGTCGGTTAGCTACTCTAAGAATATATTTTAGATGGTCCATCTTCATTCTTCTTTCATTGTTATTATTATTTACGAATTTATTCGAAAAAGAAAAAAACCACAGTAACAACCAGAGGAATAGCAGGTTTGTTAGGGTACAAATTGCTTAAATATCGTGATCATTTCATACATTCATTGCCGATTTTTGTCATCATCGCTAATGCAACTGTTTTTTCCCTTTAATTATTGGTGCTGCTTGAAAATTTCACTAATTATTGATTTTAAAACACCGCCCATTTGTTTTTGTCAATTTTCTTTGATGCTTGTCTTGTCCTTTTTTTCGCTCGAATGTTTCTTTTTTAAACAATTATCATTTCTTTTTCTTTATTTCTGCTGTGCCAAAATGGGCTCTTACAACTATTACTATTTGCTATAAACAAAACTCATTCCTCTGAAGTCATGTTTTTGACAAATGTCTCATATTTGTAATCCCTGTCAACAAATCCACACAACTCCCAGTGTAGCACCTTCAGCAGTAACTTTTACGTCTTTACTCACTCAATGTTACTGTCGCAGACCACTCGTTTGTCTCACAGTATTCCTCTTTCTGTTCGTCATAATTTTCGGACACCAAGTGACCATTATTTGTCCCTTAGGGCTATTTAAGGTAGAATTGGCTTCCTCCCCTTTTGTAAGTACTGAATGTAGAAAACTGTGAATGCAAGGAATTGAGTGAAAAAGTAAGAGCTCATCTGGTCCATCCATAAATATAATGTCCATATGAATAAACACTGCCATCTTGCTGATGTACTGGTAGTAATGCCCTCCACCGTATTCCAATCGTTTGCTGAACTCTAAATGTTGCACTGCCATCTCCCTCCATATCATCCATCCTGCAAAAACTGCACGGAAGAGTTTGCAGTCCTACAAACATGGCTGATTCTGATTGAAATTAATTATTCCAAATGTATGGCGTCATGGATAAGTCCCGGCTAAACAGTTTTAAAATTCTTAGCATCAAAGTAGACCACATTTATGTCATAAATTCTAAAAAGCAGTCAAAAAATACTCTTCCTACATTGCAACGTTCTCTGTTGAAAATCACTGGCAAAATCAAAAAAAATAGAAAATGAGTAGTTACAGCTCCCGAGAAAAACATCTACACATAACTAAGACGAGGAGGAAATCTTGGACAGTTTAGACAAGTTCAACGATCTCCTATGATATAGTTCCACGACTGTATTATGCCACCGAATAACAGTGAAATGGAACGTGGAGACGACAAAAACTTATACATGATATATCACTGCAATCTTATATCCAAACACTGAATCAACATGAAAATATTCCTTGACCACACAGAAAACATACGTAAACTGAGAGATCATGAAAACCAGCATAAAAATTAAAACAGAGAAATCCCATTTTTTCTACTGACGTGGATAAATATCAATGCTGAACGGTAACTACCCTGAATAAGTGTTTAGCCTACTCCCGCACATACAGAAGAAATCTAATATAGCCTACCACTTACTAAAATTACCGATATTGGAAAAATTTGTCTGAAAAAAAAAAAAAGAAAAGAAAAAAAAAACGGCGACAGCACATCATCAGAATGTTTGAAAGATCACAACTCGAAATAGAATAAAACTATAGGTATACAATTAATACAACTGAACTACTAGACTACCACAGAAGCGAACTATTACCCGGCCTCAGAGACAATTACTGGCAGTAACTGAACATAGAAAACAGCAGTAGTAATCATTTTCCTTTCGCTTGAAAGATTATAAACGTCTGCTACCGTCTCTCGAGCTTAATAAATATTATACACATGTTGATAAAGGGAATATAAAGCAGTAATGCCAAGTAGCAGAATGTTAGCATATATAACAATAATGTTAAATTATTTATTCTTTGAAATTGATTATGATCTGTTTTTGTTTCAGGTCATCAAACCGATCCATTGTTTGTATTGACTGCAGCATCAGATAACCGAACAAGAGAATGCTTATAAATACAACAGAAATAATAATACCCATCCAACTGCCAGCACTAAATGTCCCAACACAATCTGATGTACGGTACCCGAAACGTGTCTTATCACCTACAAGTTCCAAAGCCACCTGAAATGATTTTAACTTTATTTGATTTCATTTCTGCTTCCCTTTTTCCACGTGCTTTCATAAAGGTGGTTTTAAAAGGAATATATAAATATCGAGAAAAATGGCAGCAGGAAATTTTATAGTTACCTCAAAATTCCGTAGTGCAATTCCAATATTTGAATATTTACCATCTAATACTTTGAAAACTGCTGCATCCGTTTGAAAACAAGCAAAATTCCGGTTAAACACTGCTCCAACATCTACTTGATTTGTAGCAGTACCACTACTCACATTCAAGTTTTGCTAAATGACAATCCATTATAATATAAACACTGTCCACCAAAAAAAGAACGATTATCAACGGTAATAATGTCCTGTCCATGACTATGAGAATGTAAAAAATGACTAGTACTTTATATGCCAAACCATAATACACCAACACTATCAATACTTTTTAAAGTATTCCATGCATAAAAAGAAAATATGAAAAGCTAACTTTGGCGCGCAAAGCATTAATTTTGAAATTATTCTTTAATTTGGTGCCATCTAAATACCAGTAGCCATTCCGACTTCGTAAGAAATCCAACCTGAAAATTATGAATTAAAAGTTCCAAACTGATGTACAACTGAGTGAATGGTTGAAAATGTTTCTTACTGAAAAGTTATCGTAGTTCCACTCGTCAAATAGAATTCTTTTTCGGCGTCTTCTATGTTTTCTCCAACTTCGACATCAATTATGAAACTGTAATAACAAAAATTTTAATTAAGCTGTTGACAATATTAGCACTACTTTAAATATTTGTAAAGTATGCATGCATTCGCAATTTCAATTCAAACTTGTTACAAATAAAAATCGGTCTAGCAAATATTTTCTTATTTGTAATAACAAAAATCCGAACTTGGTAAAGCATAGATATAAAACTAAAAACGATTTTTAAGAAATAAATTAAAAAATAAAAGGACTAAAATAAAAAAATAAAAATAAAAGGAAAAAAAAAGGAAAATTGTACTGTTAACCTTGCACGACCTTGACTGCTGTTCACATTACATTTACAATGATCCGGCCCAGATGAATACTTATTTTTGCCTTCACTTCCAACAGTTAAGAAACGTGAGTTCGAAATAATAATATCGAAGGCCTCCATGTACAGAAGGCATGCTGTTTTTTGCGATGGATTAGGAGGAGGTAGCACCACAGGCATATCCTGAAAACAAAACTGATTGTTTCTAAACAAACATTTTTAGGGAACATCGAACAGACATGCATACGATACTGTAGATAATAAACAAAAAGAACTTTGATGATGCGGTGAATGATTGAAACTAAGAAACAACAGATCTTTTTTAAAGGAATAAAAGAAAACACGCATGACTGATAAGACAAAGCCAGTAAGAATATTAATTCAAAAATTCACTGTAGCAAATCATGCAAGACACAATTTACCACGACTGTAAAATATGCAAAAGTAATTGACAAATGATAACAAGTGCTGCTCAGCAGTATTGATCAATAAGCTATCGTACATGTGAGGCATTACTTCAGCAAATAACTCTCTGACTAAACCTTTTTTTAACAAAAATTTAAAGCGGTTCAGTAAAGTGAAAATATCGAAGAAATCAAGCAAAGTAGTCATACGTACGACAACTTATTTTGCTAAAAAGAATCTGCATTAATCTTTAAAAACATTATACAACCTTGTAAACATGCCATCTTAATTTTCGGCGTGTATATTCCTCGTTAGACTTCAAAAAAGAATTTACCACTTAAGTTTCAAATGTAACATATTTTTCTAATTTCATGAAGAAAATAATTTCATTATATTCGTTCATCCTACAAATCGCCCGTATTTTACAGAGGTTCTAACATGACGTAAATCATGATCACACATATGCTGGCAAAAGGAAATAGATAATATATTCACTAAAATGATATAATCACCCCATCAGAAGTCACCAGATCTCACACCTAATCAACTTAGAAAATAATGCATATAACCTGACAATGCAATCTCTTATCACTGCATTATGATCTTAAAAAAAAAGAAAAACCTATTTCGGTAAAACCATATGTTCTGCCTGAGAAATATTACCACTATTGATACATAACAGCATAGCACGATGTACTGATCTAATATCCAAACCAAAATTCTTAAATAACAAATTTGTTACGATAAGGAAAAAATTACATGACGATCTGAGGCAGATAACCGCTGTCGATTATCCATTTCCGAAACTGCATGAGATGATGGCTCGTCGTCAAAACTAACATTGGAGGAAACACGCTTACGACGAACCTGCAAAGATTACGTGTGAAAAATAATACAATGACTCTACCACATACTGCGTAACAAATCAAAAAACAAACCAGTTCATTTTCGAAAGCATCCTGAGAAGAAATGATAACTGTCTCATAGCCTTCAAAATTCCTGTCAGATGTTAAAAAGTCGTGCAAATCTTTTTGAGTGTAATCTACACCAGTACTTGACCTATGGATATCACCATCGTTTGAAGTCACCTAAAAAATTACTTTCGGAAAACAGTGACAAAATATAAATAGTCGACCCACAAAAGGTAATATATCCATCTGTAGATAAAATGCAAGGATTCTTTCGCATAATATAAATGAAAATCTCGAAAGTTATGTGGAATTACATCCCTAACATCAGTATTAAAATAAAGAATGACACTAAATGATCCTTTGTCCAATCTATCCACTGAATACTAATCTTTCATTCCGAAGTTTCTCTCTTATCGCTTTCTATTCACAAAAAGGCAAAACTCATCATTAATGGATTAACCATTGAAAGTGCTTTTTGATACGGGAAGATTCGCATTAATGATGAAAACGGAGAATCAGAGTTTTCGCCACTATAGGCTTGTGCATATAGGCCAAAGTTTGGTAATGAGAAATCTTTAACACCAATAGCTAGTATTTTTGAGGATGCTGCCAGGTCTTCTACTGCCATTTTTCTAAAATGAAGTTTTAGCATTTATTATATTATGGAAAAAATGTGACTTACCTTTGTCACTGAATCCGGCGCAATACTCATCACGCAAAGAAATGCGATGATTAAGTGATGTTAAGATAAAGACGGGACACATACTGGACTTCTCACTATGCAACATAACTAACTCCTGCTCTTGCACCTTCACTCAACATTCGACCATGGAGTCAAATAATTTAATAACTATTCCTACATGTGAAATCTTGGGAAGAAGGAAGCAAAAGTTATACTGGACCGGAAATGTCGAGAAGTACTGATGATTAAAACTTACTTCAAGTTCAGAGTTGAGAAAATAACAATATCATAAGCAGTGCAATATTGGAACCAAACTGCAAATAGTGTCGTACAAAGCTGCCACATCTACAATGTGCTTATTTACCTTTATATGCTCTTACCAAATTTGCAAGTAAGGTCAAAGGACAGACAGCTACTCATCCAGACAGACCACTAGCCAGTGATACTGTAACTGACGTCAACATGCAGTGGAAGTAACATACAGTGATATGAGCGCAGAGGATGTGAATATATCAAACTTTGTCTACGTAAACAATCTTTAGCTGTATACTTATCCATCAGAAAGTAGTGAGACCGAAGAAATTACCGAACTACAAAACCACTCACCTGCCCCGCACCCCACTAAATGTAACCATACAGGAAAACCAAAGACCATTCCATGATTGTTAAAAACCAAAACCATCATAGGTTGGAGGATAAATAGCCAATTTATCACAAATGAGGAGTTGAGGGAGCTATAGAGTGTGTAAATAGGTAAAGGCTCTTGGGAGATACGATTGGACGATTGGAATCAAATGGTGCCGGTTTTTTGGGATGACAATTATCCTGCAGAAATCATCATTGTAATTGGTAACAACTAAGAGAAAAATTTTATTTTATTTAAACTGATAATGGCATGAAAAAGTCAGCTATGCACTTTATTCCTTCCTCGATTTCCATATTACTTTTATCGTCACACTTTTTTCTTGTGAGAAAAAGGACAGTTCTGAATTTTCTGAAATTAAATTTTGAAAAAACAAAAAGTCCAAAGAAAGACAGCAAAATCGACATTTAAAAAACAATAAATTAAAATAAAATTACGAAATCGACCAAATCAACATATAATAAAAAGAACGCCAAGGCTGTTCTACTATCAAACATTTATAGTACCAATATTCTCTGCGATTGTTATCATCCTAAGAATCGCAAAGAAATTGATGTTTCGAAATTGGTGTTTAAAATATCACAATCATAGGATGAAACTTATAGAAACTACTGGGTAATTTTATTATCTTCATTACAACTAACAGTTATGATGACAAAGCTGAGCTCCTCAAAAGAATGCAATGCAGCATTTTCAAACATAATTTTCTGTCCTGGAAGTAAAGGGGATATTCATTGGAATGTGGAATGGGTAATAGTGGGTAACTAATGGTGAACTGCCTAATTCATAGGTAAAGAAAATACGACGAAGGGAAAATTAACAGAAACCATCCAGGAAGGCAAATTTCCCATACTACAATGAGGAAGCAATTAAAGGGCCCTAAGGAAGACACAACAAGAAGTGCATTGAGACAAAGGGATTGCATTGTAGGCTATTTACACATTTGTTTTGTGGCTTCCTTTGGGAAGTGTGTTTGTACTTTGTGGGGTTGTATGCTTGTGTGTCGGCGTCCTTGCGATTCGAATGAAGTGAGGTAGGTAAGTTTCCAAGATTGACAGGGCAGTTTTGAACTTAATTAACTCCTCGCAACCAGGAAAAGCTTTCAAGTTACTTCTACGATTAACCGAAACAGCACTCAGATATCTCGAACAGTTAACATCTACTGTTCATTAATCTTAAATTTCTTTGACGTATCAAATTTTACATGATATGGTGTAGTCGAACTGGTGACATTAAGGAGAATCAATAACGGAAGCCATTAATGATTCTTTCATGTTGTACGTGTGGTATATAATAAATAATTTATATTATTATATTATACGGCTAGTTGTCATTTCAGTGAAGATGAGTCAGAAATTATTTTCGCTGATGTACTACCACATTTCTATATAATTACGAGAATTGTGCAAACAGTGAGAATGAGTTTTTTTTCTGTACACATTAGCAATCTCGTCACAGAAGAATTCTAAAAATGATGGAAATTTGAAGTCCTTCCAAAGATATTAAGCAAAAGGTTTATTATTTGCAAGAGATGTATGCTTGGCATGTTAACTCTATTTTCTTTTACTTACCTAATTTTCAAGAAATATGCTGCCGACATTGTTACGAATACCACCACTAACAAAAATGGTTCAATTACCGTTCCATATGGGTGCATTTCTCAAAGCCGGAGAATATGAATATCAGGATTCAGTGTGGGGAAGTGAGGTCGTTTATGTCAATTTTGTTTTACCCGATGGAACGGTCAAGAAAGTTAGAGGCAAAGTTGGTGATAATGTTATGTATCTGGCACACAGGTATTCACTTGATGTCAATTGCCGAAGTATGATCAACCAAGTTTTTTACCAAAGGCATTCTGATCATTACTTGTGAAAAAATGCAAAACTGACTTTCAAGAGAGGGATATAAAGTGGTTTTTTTCCTATTGCGTTTATGACCACGCATATTTTAAGGTATAAAATCGATATTGAAGGAGCATGTGAGGCTTCGTGTGCTTGTTCTACTTGTCATGTATATGTCGACGAGAAGTTTTATCGGAAGTTACCTGAAGCAAAGGAAGCCGAGGATGATATGCTGGATATGGCCCCCGCATTGAAGCCTAATTCTCGCCTTTCATGTCAAATTACTTTAACTAAAGAATTAGATAATATTGTATTAACTTTGCCCCCAATAACTAGGAATTTCTATGTTGACGGTCATGTACCAACACCGCACTGATTCGTGTTATTGGCAGTTGTGAGCTTATGAAAATTTAGCGCCAGAAAGAAATTTCTTACAAAAAATCTACTTCCAGATTAGGAAACTAAATTTACTGACCATTGTTTCAGAAATTATTTTAACTTCACTTGTTTTTACTTAAAACTTGTTTTTAAAGATGTTTTATGTCTTCACTTGAAACTTGTTTTTAAAGATTATGTTTTATGCTATCTTACGGAACCTTCCAAAGTAATGCTGATCAACTCTTTTTCTGGTTTTTTGGAAATTTATGGGCATATTTCGTGTTCGTTTCTGTTGCATTCTCTTGATAAGCATACTAAGTAAATGCGATACTTTGGAGGGACGTAACTTCATGGTGTTGTGCGGGTACCAATTTTTTCCCGTATTTTTATTCTGAGTACTAATTTTCATCAATTTTGTTAACTAAAATCGCATTACAATTAAAAAAAAAATCCCATCTTATGTCTGTTGTTACAGGAAATAATCATATAAAATACCATCTCCTATTTACATAGTGATTGGGTATAAGGTTTCATGTTCTTTGAAAGGTGGAGAAGGAAGCGTTGGTAACCTAAAACTTGATGTTTGTATGTGCACCTGTCTTAATTTATTTGCTAAGGTTTTAACTACGCTTCATTTTACGACCGCAGAAATGATATAACTAAGGTGCATCCGTATCAGTAGAACTAGCATCAGCGGAAATTACTCTTAGAAATTGTTCATATCAAAAAGCTTCATATGATCTTCTATCCGTGTACCTCCGTCAGTGGTTTCGAGTACCGCCTAATAAAGTAAGGTAATTTGAAGTGTTGAGTTGTATCTTACTCTTACGTTAGACAGGATACACGATGGTGAAGTTACACGAAAAGAGCGGAATTTGCATAGCTCGAGTCTTTGCTTGTTGTAAATCTTGCAGTCCTATAGATTACATAGCTATATTTGTGTGTGTTATATAGCTATATTGTTATTGAAAAAGACGTCCTTTTTACAAATATTTTTAAGGATATTCGATTTTCTTCAAATTCATGTTATTAGAATAGAGATGTAAGTGGTCACTGAAATCTCTTAGCCGACGCAAAAAATGAGTACACAGGAGTTTGGTTCTGGATCAGTTAAAAATATACCACAACTTGAACGATCTATAGACACAATGAGTGCATGATGAGGACATTTTGACACACTGATATCCGGGGAACAAGTGAGAGAATGGTACAGAGTTTGAGTTCTGTACCGTGATGCCACTCGATCAGTCAAACTAATTAATAACTGCTTCTGTTGTGCTGTTTTTGTTTCGAATATAGCCGCTATTGCTAGTGCTGAACACTCTCCTTCAGTAAGCAATTCTTTTTCGATGACGGAATAATCGAAATCATCGTTTATCGGTACGGTTGTATCCAGTGGAAGACGATCATCTACTATTTCTGCGGGTAACTGCAAATTATCATCATGCACATTATGTTTTGCATTGATATTAATAGCAACAATAAAGCTATCTATAGGATCTTTTCATATTTTTTTAACACCATTTAGTGATCTTAATGAAAGAGCAAAATATCCACGATAATCCGTACATCATTATTTTCGAATTTGAAACGTTCATGGACGAACTCCAAGAAGAGTCGTTCAACTGCATACCGCTTATGGAATTCGATAATACCCTGCAATTATACATAACCATAACAAAAATGTGTATTCGTTGATCTTTATGTGTGCATGTGATAATCTCAATGGATTTTTTTAACGAAACAAATCCCATCATTAATGAAAAATCTTGTGTGATACTTTTCAAACCTACATCAGAAGGTTTGAAAAGATCGTCACTCCTGTATGTTTTTGAATAGAACAGTCTGTTGCGTCGCATGATTGGATTACTAGGATTCAGCAAAATACTATTTGCAACGGCTTCACATACATCTCTTCCACGGTTCACTGAAAATTTTCAGAAATTGTTGAATGGTCGTATCCTTTTGGTCTAAAAAATCCAGAGTATAATGATTCCTGATTTGACATTTCCTTTAAGTCTGAAAAATACTAACATCACAAAAAATTTTTTGATTCGTTGTTTTATTTGGGTTGTTGTTTCTTTGTCATATTTAAGTTCGTGCTATTAAATTATTATTGCAGTCGACTTTGTTATTACTTGATCATAACTTCGGAGAATTCAAGCAAACCAAGAAAATATTTCTTCTTAATAGCCTTCTATAGTTTGAACAGGAAACAGTCCAATAAATCAGTGGATTAAAGGGAATGGGATGACGATTGAATCAAGTGATTTCAGGTGATAACAATGATTAGAAAATGCCAGTAAACAGTGCCAACATCATTTATACTCTGTCCTTCCTTATTTTATGAGTAAACTAACACTTGTAGTAGCAAACATGGAGATATTCGAAGTATGTTGGAAGAATGAACTCGATATCATGACCATTTACCCGTGACAGCTTCTTAACACAGTCATGTTTACATCGTAGCACAGACAAATATATACCTGGAACAAATGTCTCAGCACAAACATATGAAATTTTTGTAAGATATTCGAGTGTGCATCCAGTGTGCGAATAATGTAATACAAACTTGTAATAATAATACTTATTTCCGGATTGGCACTATCAAACGCTTCCCAGTCTAATTTATCTTCGCAAATATATCGACATTTTTGTTCCTCGTCAAAAAACTGTTTCACTGAAGTTTCAAATTCATTAACACACAACTGCCATTCTTCATCGTTATACGCTTTGACACCTCGCATATAACTTGCCTAGATTCAGAAATAACCTAATTTTGTTGAATTGTGAATGGTAACGTAAAATTCGCTTGGTAAACGTATTTTTGATTACATTTTGTATATCAGACGATAGAAGTAGAAAATGATATGCAAGCATTCATATAAATGCATAAGGTTCATATGATGCCATAATGCAATTTATACATAGAACGGAAAAGTCTCATCACAAAGAAAGAAATTTTCCAATGGATTCTTTATCAAACCGTGAAGAATTTCTTTAACTTTATTCCATCATCAATTATTCAAAAGTATGACATTCATTTACCTCATATTTCATTTGTCGAGCATCAATAAGCATATCTTCATTATACCCATTTTGCTCCATGTAAAATGCTAAATTATCTAACGTTTCCTGGTCTTTTGGATTTGCTACCAAATATGTATAGGCACTTCTTACTGCTGACGCCAAATCTTTTTGCTGCAATAATTGGCTTACTTTTGGACCAAAAATTATATTACATTTTACATGTATCAAGAAATCTTAAAAAAAAAAAACGTCAGAAATTATTTTGCAAATTGTCTGTTAAACAGTTGTTAAATTATACCTTCCAGTAGCAAATCTGTAGATACTGATATGGTTTTCGGGTCTGGAATTCCTCGAAAACATCAGGATCACTTACTGGTGGTCTCATCGATGTTAATCGGTCATTTTTACATCGGAACAGGCACAATGCATGTTGTGCATTTGTGTACATCATTGCTATCTCAGCAATATCTTCTCCGGCATCTTTCAATTCTATAAATTTTAAAGACAAACAAAAGTCATACATATCGACAAATTATACACAGAATAATCTGCAAAAAAACATCAAGAATAAAAAGATAAAAAAAAGAATCTGTCGGGATCGATGCTAAACGATGTAAAATGCTTAATCATTTGTAGAAAGTTTCTCGATATAAAACATCGTCGGAATGAAATCAATTTTTTGAACAAATATTCTTGTTGGAAGTAAACCGGGCAGAAATATTAGATAAAATAAACGAACCTGTTTTCCTATTTATTTTATGCTGTTGTGCACACTTCTCACGACACCACACATTTTCGTCAATAAAATAATCGAAATCTTCGATTGACCGAAGAAAAAATGCAATACAATCATTCCAGTTACCGTTCGTATATTCATTTTTACCATATTTATACAGTTGTTCGAAAGTTACCTAAAAAAGTCAAATTTTATTCTGCTAATTTTTTTATGAAAAAAATTTCCAAAATCGGTTAAATTTTTGAAGATATAGAAGTTTTTTTTTTTAATTTAGTTTAAGGAAGAAAAACGTTTTTAATAATTTAAAAGAATTAGAAAGTTTGTTGTAAAGTTTGATGAAGCAAAAATTGTGATATGTTAGAAGTTATAAAGAGAGGATTTGAATCTTCTTAAGAAGGAAATACCTCAGGTTCTTCAGATGTACATATAACAACATCTGTAATAAGCTGCGAAAATATGAGCAAATAAGTGGTGCAATGCATTATTGATAGACAAGTAAGACAAGTAGAAGGGTTTGTGAAGGAGTGCACTAGCTATGGTTGTGGGTAGTAGCAGCACAGGACTGTTGATCAGCTTAGGTCACACTTCTCTCCCATCTCCTCAGGCGGTGCCACCCCACTACTACTCGACAACTTCTATACATCGATGCTACACTGCTTTGCATGGAGAAGTGGCAGGCAGCTAGTAGCAATTCATTAGACAATCTCATAACACTGTTTCGAACTGACTGCCTAAACTATCTTACAGAATAACCACGGAAAACATAAGATTTGATGCGTAAATTCTACTGTGTCGATAAATTCTCGCTGTAAGTAATAAAATCTGCTTATTAAGAACTAATGTTCACGGAACATAATCTCTCTTATAATTTCATCCAAAATCCTTCATAAATCTCAGCAATGTTACCGCAGAAAATCTTTTGCTTGGGTCAGTATGCTAGCGACTTGTTGATCACTTAAATGTGATGTTAACAGGATGAAATTAAGATTAAACTAGTATTATAAGGTAACAAATAATTGAACATATATGAGACATTTCAACAACTTAATAATTTCACGAGCCATATCACAAACTAGAACGAATAAATCATTAATTATTGATGAGCGCTGTTCTATTATCTACAGTATTAGTGCTGTCTAATTATAAAAATAGCCATTTAATTTCTTTCCATAAGAATTCTTTTTTTATTAAGCTGAAATAAAAAATCAAAATTTCCAAATGTTTTCATTGCTGCAATTTCTTTGTTATGTTGTTAGTAAGTGATTGGAAACGATCAAAATAATTTTTTTTCCCCTATGCCAGCACATGAAATGATCATCTGTATGTTGTATGAAAGTTTTTTTTCTCAGATCAAAGCATTAGTTTCTTCACAATAAATTCACGTGTGATTTGAAAATATTATTTCATTAAGACGGAAATATTATTGAATAAATTGAAATCAAAGAGTTGTTTGACATCTTTTTAAGCGCGAATAGTCCAACAAACAGTAGAAAAACAAGAAAAAAAAGTCGAGAAAATGGAACTTTGCATCAAGAACAACATATATACTATTATCACAAGAGATTTCCTGCTACAATGATTATGATGAAGTCATTCCATTGGTACTTTTTAATTGCAAAATTTGGTAAACAGAATGAAATGAGCTAAAGTATCATAGATTTTCAAAAAAAAAAAAGATAAATCTATAAAGAAAAATTCCATCTAATTTAATAAATATTATCATGAAGCAGGAAGTGGAAACGAGAAGGTTGAAAAAAAGAAATGAAATTTTGATGGTGAATAGTATGACAACTTTTATTACTACTATTAGCATTAAAGACATAACTTTGCTGACATTTCTCGGCTAATGTAAGAAGTATATGTTAGATTATTACAGTAAAGAAAAGGAAAATTTGTGATTTAAGTTATCACTTAACACACAAATGTTAATAAAAAAAATATAAATATGTGGCAGGCAAGATGACTGTTTCATTTTGCTATTTTCAGAGTAAATTCTTATTAACTAATATGCTTTTTCAAGCGCAATGATTAAAATCAGGAATTTTATCCTCATGTAAATCTCCAGTGAATTTTGAGCAATAACGTTGAGATTTTTCAGATTTTAATATAATTTTCTTTTAGCTATAAAAGTAATCATTGTTGTCGTGCACAATTAAATTTATTAGAGGAAAAATGTTATATTTATTTATTATATATTGTTATCATATATATTATATTATTTTTTTTTTTGATAAAGACAGCATTATTTTAAAAGTGGATGTCCTCAATCATACGTTTTAGCAAAACTATCTTAAAATTTCTCGGCCACTTTCGTTTCCTCTCAATGTGTAAACCTAGCAGAAAAACATTTGCCAACATCATTTGAGATTCCGGAATCTGTACCACTTGTTTATACATCAACTACTACTTTTTAGTGCATTATCCAAAAATCATTTCAGTAAAAGTAAAAAATTTGTATATCCATCAATGAGACAAACACTTTGTAATGAAAAAAGTATCTGAGTTTAAATAATTGTATTTAATATTTGTTGGAAAATCTAATCCAATTTTTAAATTTAATTTTTGAGTGATAAAAAAATATATACAAACGATCTTCAATAAAACATGCATTTAAATTTTCTAGAAAAGTTTATGTGAAGGAGTCATCATTAGCTACAGAGAGCTATTCAAAAATCGTATAAAATAACTGTTTTCAATTTGTCGCCACAACTGCAGACCATGCGACATATTTGAAAATAAACGAAAGAATATATCACCATTCACAAGCGCTTCTTCATTTCCTTCCCATGTGTAAATCACTATTTTTCGTTTTAAATCCACTAACTGAGCTTCAACTTTCTTGGCCAAAATTCCAGTTATAAAGTAATCATCAATCTACAACTAAATCATGTTTTATCTAATACATGCAACTTCTCATAAAACAAGATTAAGGTTTGGCCATATAATCTTGACCTTTACAAAACTTATCAACCTTTTTTTGTTTCATGATAACTAATGATAATCCCTTACTCTATTTTGTTTACTTACGTCATTTCAGTTATAGCTCGAGAACAAGTAATTATACTTTCAGCTTTAAATTTACACTGGCCCCGAAAATTTAACCTATCTCTTTTAACCTTTGAATTCGACAAGTGTATCGTATAAAGCAACGAACCCAGAAATATCTCTCTTTTTTGGCAGCTCGTAACAGCATGTTTGGTAAATCACCAGTGAATATAATTGCCATACCGACGCAATAATTCGAATAATATTCAGATGACAATTCATCCCTTCTTACATACCTTTAATGAAATAGTAACAAATCTTACCGGATTCCTTAAAATTTACATTTATGCAAGAAAAAGAAGAAAAACAAAAAAAGCAAAAAGGAAACGACACATTTATCCGAATATTGATGTACCACTTATTCTTCTTTTCTCGTGACACTGGTCGATGATAAATGACACGGCAAAAGATTTGCTTCTGTGATTTCAACAAGCTTACTGCTTTAACATGTTCGTTCAAAAAATGAATTATTTCCAATATATTGCCTACGACGTCATCATCAAGCTTCATGATGTATTGTACATTCGGACAATATTCATCGATGAAACGAAGCCACATCAATGCCTGAAGGATGATCGATACATTATAGGTTTCATCATACATTTCCTTACAAAATAATTATGAATTTTTGGGAAATATCAATGATTCAAGAAAAAAAAAATGAAACAGATATTACAATTAGGCACTGATTTTTTTTGTTAAGATGCAATTAAATAACTATGCATACAATATACATCATACGAGTTACTTGCAATAAATTTTATGGCACATCATTTTGTTATTTACAATAGAAACCAAATGTTTAAATTCGACCTTCCATGTCAAATTTCTATAACTATCATGGAAATTTTGTTGTATGAGATCGTGTTTTTTCCTTGATTCTTCAAGTAACTGTTTTTGTATTTTACTATCCGGTGGCATTCCCACTGCAAATAGTGTCGTAATACCATACTGTAAATTATTTATTTTTTTCAATGTTATGATAATTTCATAAATTGCTTATAAGTATAAATCACATCACTTTTTATTACAGCAAATAATTCATAAAATTTGTTCAACTTTTTCAAACTATGAGATGCAAAAATATGGATGCTATGAGTTAGAAAAATTATAAAGTGTTGATGTTATCAGATCAAGTCTCATTTGTTTCAAGCCATTGTCAATTAAATTTTCAGATTGGATGTGAAACATAATCGGAATCTAATGAGTGATTCTTAATAGCTGAATTAATACTTCGCTTAAAAATAATAGATGGAATATCTGACCTGTTTGTAAAAACGTTGGCCATACATTTGCCGTAAGAGTATGCGTTGTTTAAAATGATCGGCGGCAGAATGAATAACGATTATGACGGTTAGGTTTGGATACAGTACGGTACAAAACGTTTTCTCCAAAATAGTCCAACCGTATTGATATGGATTAACGAAGACAACCCCTTCATTACTATTGTTATTCCTGTATATCTAAAAAAAAAACTTTTATAATTCAATTCTATTAAACAAAATATATTTAATAAATATCTGTTGAATCAATTTTAAAGAATTAGCATAGAAAAATAAATTATAGCAATAAATTAGACAGTATTATTAATTGTTATCTCTTTGTTTAATGAAGGAAGATTTATCAAATTTTCAGCGAATGATTCACTCTTCAACACTATTAATCTGATTAACGGTAGCATGAAATAGAAACAGCAAAATAGCAGGCAGCAATATAAGATCACTGTAAAATAAATTCTGAAACGTATCGATGATGTTCTGTTCCAGTATCGTTTCATCTCTGAATCTTTCTAAATTTCGGAATGAATAAGTTGAGGTCATAATTTATTTAAATTGTGGCAGAACTGATGAATAGAATGATAAAAAATATTTGGATACATTTTTATTGATCAACCAGTTCAAATTGAAAATGAACTATTGCGGCATTGTTAGTTTTCGCTTATCACCCTGATCACTCAATTTCAAGCCAAATTTTTGAATATTTCATAGATCACTTTTATCTCTTAATGTTATTCGCTTTATCTATAGTAGATGAAGTGGATTCTTTTTGTAAGGATAAGTGAATTTCTTCTCTTCATATGACCTGTACAAGCGAGTGACAACGGAACATATTTCCAATTCACAATTAAAAAAATAATTATCTAATTCTTGAATATGTTGAAAAAGAGCAGATTAAAACAGAAATGCTTCATTGATTCTATGCTGATATAATCTAATGAACTAGTATACAATATAAATGGAATTAAGTGCTTGTGGTGGTCATACAGGTGTTTGAGGACATTGTAAGGGTAAATCGATAATATTTATGATAAAAGTAGCAAACTTCTGAACTGCAATTTCATCAAATAAAATATATTTCATATTTGCTATAAAATATTTTGCTACTTAGAAGAAAAATCGTTCTTTTCTCCAAATAATTATTTATTTCAACTTTCGTTACAACTTTGAAAATTTAATGCAGGTGAAAATATTGATGACAACAATGAAAGCATTTATCAAAATACGAAGTGATTTTTGTACAAAATAAACATGAAAAAGAGAAAAAATTCATGCCACTTAATTTTAACATATTAAAATAGTTAATTGTACGAAACTGAAGTACCGCTAGAGTGCTTCTGTTCAAATAACATTTGGAACATTTGGTTTACATTTGGTTTGATTTTTTTTTTCCTGAAGTGATACATGAGGGATTGAAGTGAAGAGTAGCAGAATGACGGATATATTTCCTATTAAAAAATAATTTTTCTTTCAAATGCATTTTTCTTTTAACGAAACTATAACTAATAATTACACTTCTTTATGTAAACAAAATTCTTGCGATTTCATTCTACAAATCATTTTAAAATAAAACTAAACTAAAAATACTGTACTTCATCAACTTATTTAACAGTGAATTGAAAAAAAAATGTCAATAGGATAAAATAGTTGTAGCATAATCGCATCCAACATCCGAAAAACCAGTATCCGACATATGGTTACCGTTGCTGATATATGTTGAACATTCTAATTGAGAGCTTAAATATTTCCTGATTTTCAAATTGCTTTAAAAAAAAAAAAGAAGCTATAAAAAGTAGATTGAAATAACTCACGGGAGTTGTACTGAGTCCTTGCAGGACTAATAATTTTTTTCTTCGGAAAGACTGTAGGTTGAAAATAATACGGCAGTTTTTTTATTTGTGAAAGCTTTAACAACTTTATCTCATCTCAGTTTACTTTTTCATTTTAATGATATCACTGTTTCGTATGTTAGCATATCTATCGTAATTATATCTTTTCCCTATAGATATTATTTTCTTTTTTTTTTTTTTTTTCCTATTTTAGAAGCTAATGTCAACTGTAGTTGAAGCCTTAATCTTTTTAGATCTACAAAAAAGAATTTGAAAATACATATATGTGTTTGAAATTTGTATTCAAAACATGCTCAAGAGATTATCCTTCTCTTTTTACTTTTCTTATGTTTCCAGAGCGTGGAAGTTCCTTCCTATCCACGAAATTTTTATTCGGTATTTGAAGAGCTAGTGCAATGGAGGTGCTGTTCCTCTTCTTAACTATAAAATAAGTTTTCATACTGTCTTCTTCCAAGCAAAGATCTTTCTCTCGATAGTATCTATCGATTGCCTTTGTGTTCACGAGCATTTTTAAAATTGAAATGAGTTGTGCTTAGGCTTTTGTAAAACTTTGGTTAGTATTTTAGCGCAATGATACCCTTCTACTAGTAAACTGACCGCAGCTACAGACCTAATTTGGTAAGTTTCAATTTGATATCAATTTGGATGGTTTCAAAAGCGCCAAGTTTGGAAAAAAATCAATTTGTCAATATGGCATTAAATAATAGAGGGACGGCAGAAGGTCAATGTGGTGGCCTCAGCATATTTATTCGAGGCATCGTGTGTGGCCTGTGCGGCAACCAACTACAGCGCTCTTGAAAGAAATTGTCGAATTTGATTTGCACAATGATAGTTGAATTAAGCTTCGATTTTGTCAACAAACTCCCGAGATCTTTTAAGTCTATGATCTCTCAGTTTCCGGATAACCAAAGGCAATTTTTATGGAGTTTTGGCACATGAAATAAATGTACATCTGCACGTGCGCGATTGCTAAATTTATTTTCTTAAATACAAGCTCAGCTATCAATAATGCTCCTTTTAGAAGTGCGTAAGTTTTGATGACGGTTTCTCTACCGCAAATTATTTCTCCTTTTGCCCCAATCTGAGTCCTGTGTAAATTCAAATGTGGAAATTTCTGAAAACATTCTAATTCAGACCTCACTTTTTTTTTTCTTTGAGACTTTCACCCTGTGTTTCTCAACTGTTCATCCTTCGCTAGGTTTATAATAAATTAGAAACCTTTGAACCATTTTTAAGGTCTGCAAGTGATCCTGCGCTATAGACAACATTGGTTGAAATAGTTTTATGAGAATTGATAGCAGAAGCAATTGGGGATATGTGAAAAAGTATTTCGAGATTATTGACCGAAAAAAAACGGCGAAAAAAGCAGAGTTTGTGATAATCTGAAGAAAAGTTTTTGTTATCAGTTTTATTAATAATGTCGCTATGGACTGGAACATTCCTAATACTGGCATAAAAGGTAAATAAAATACCAACTATTTCTTCCCTGCACTAATTCGGGTCGATTATCCGACCTTATTAGCTAATTATTTACCTTTTATATGCCAGTATTGCTATAGGAATGTTCCAGTCACTCTCACAAAATTCAACGTATTTAGATTTCCACTCATTTCCAAAGAACTGTTTATCGTTGAAAATAAAAATTTGCTTTCACATTTGCAATTCCTTTAAAGTGTAAAACACTAAATCTAATGCATGTTAAAAGTGCACCTCATTTATTTTTGATTTTTATTCCGTATTCTCCTGTGCTACGCTGGAAATATTCATTTTGTTATTTAGAAATCATTTACTATCTAAAGAAATTTTCTTTTTGTTGCTAAAAACATCTCAATTTCATGTCCTATAACAAGAAAAAAGGACTGAGAATTGTAGAGACTACCGCTCTGAACTTAAGTCATTAAAGGAACTAATTTACATTTACTAAACAGAATAGAATTCTCGTATCCGTTAGTATTAAATCCATGTGAGAATTTCCATCAACAGTTGCATGTAAGCTATACGTTCATCGAGCTTAGACAATTGTCATTGGCACGAAGCACCATTACTGTTACTACTTATTTCATTTATAATTTCTGGTCTGTCAACAAAATGAAAAATGTAAACAAAATGTATAAAGTTCTGGTCAGCTAACATGACTTATAGAGTTTGGATTAGAGATATTAGCACGGGAAAAAAGGAATTAGTTTATAATATGAATCAGACTCGGTATTGAGAACATTGGAATATGAACCTGCAAAATAAAAAGTAAGAAACTAAGGAACCATTCTAGCTGAGAAAAATGATAAACAACATAGAATTTCTAATTTAAAATAGGAATTTAGTAATACAGAAAATCTTACAACGTCATTTACTAGATTATAGCAGAATATTAACTTCAAAATATGTGTATTGTCATTTAAATTTCGAAGCGATTAATCCATACAACTAAGTAATCCTATTATCAAAGATATACATTTATTTTTCAGTTAAATTTCAGGAGTCATCTATAACTCGCACGCTTTCAGTAATTAGTAGTGATCGCAGCTTCAGAAAAATTTAAAACTTGTTTGAAAAACTCCAACAGTACCTTATTTGCATGACTGCTTCAAATATCCAAAAACTTTTTTCACTACTTGTCAACACCCACGATGCTTTCAGAATATTAGTTAGATATTACAATATCCTGCATAAGGTGGACAAATGACTTTCCAGAATTTTATTGTATTATATCAAGTGGAAAATAATATTGATAAAATAATGCAAACACTGAACAATGAAAGACTGCATATGGTATCTGGAACAATGAAAATAACGTAAAGTCATCATTGTCGCACGAAACTGATGAAAACACCCTATAAATTACTTCGCCAGTATTGTAAATCAAACTGATATATGAATTATTCATGCCAAATTTCAGCCCTCAATCCCGTTTTTTAATCAATGTGAGGCTGTATCACATGCTACTGACAGTGCCTACAGTGCTACTAGCGACTGAAGATCTTTCTAGATTAGTCCAACTGAATGTTAAATAACGATCAAACATGAACTTCTTGCTGTTGTCGAGGAAGGTTTTAGTAATATGTGTTCTTGTTGTTACCATAACTTCACAACTTTGATAATTTGTTCGTCTTGCTTAATATCGTGCAATGCAACACTCATACAATAACATGAAAAAAAAATAAACAGTAAGTTATACCAACAGTCGCTAAGTTGTCATATTTTCTTTTCATCACTGTTATTGTTACTTTGCACCACCATTGCTGAAGCAAATTGAGTGAGCGATCGATGACACCAACCTAATCGAAACTTGCAACATCCAAAAATGGTTTTAATTCCTTACATAACTGGCGTTGGCTTACAACAGAACACAGGTTAACGAGTAAAGAGCTATCATCGAAATTGCAGGTAGACTGGTTTATAACAAAGAGTTCATTGAACAAAGAACTTGCAATCTCTTGAAGAGTCGAATGCAACTTTGCTTGTTACACTGGCGGATCTTAACAGTAACATATTAAGCAATGCACATATTCTTTGTTACAGAAGGTAACATTCTAGACAGTTTACATAAGCTTAACTACAACTGAAAAAAAGTTTTATATTTATCTAAGGAATATTCAAATAACACAGTCTTTAATTTATAGCTAGGTTTCCTGACACATACAGGTGATTACGTTTTGCGGCTTTGCATAATTAGTCATGAAACTATTCTGGCGGATACATTCATTTGTAAGGTTATCAGAGATGAATACCTTTTAGGATTTAATATTGCTGTTCTAAGTGAAAACACAATTTTTAAATAGGACATTTAAAAAGTAATAGTGCTTTCACTTCAGTTTTTAGAGTTCATTAACAGCTCAGAAGAAGGAAGAAAACAGGTGTTTGTTATCTAACTAATTCAGGTAAATGGTGAGATGGCACTTTGAAGCATTCCCGTTGGACAGAGATATTATCAGTGTCGGCACACAGGTAATAATGGATATATTATTCCTGTCATAGCTTTCCTACTCATGCGATAAAATTCTGTGATTCACTGATATGGTTATACTCACAATGCTAAACGTCAAACTGCAAAGAAACGGTATTTTTCTTCTGACAACAAAATGAAATCTATTGCGGTGCAAAACACTTTTTAGTGCTCAAACAGTACATTGCAATAGACTGAAATGTGAAACAAAACTAAGGACATTCACCCATCAAATGAATTAGATTTATGAGCAAAGGTTGGAGTTACTATCACCGGCTTTATATTTGAAATTAATAATCAGTTAAGTCTGCTAAAATTATTCATCGAGAGTTGTCTTAACTCTTTTCATAAGAACAGATGTATTGTCAATCGCTTCACGAAATTAACTAACGGTTGTCGAGACATTCTAGGAAATTGTAGAATAACAATGTGTTATGTAGTGTAGGAATGTGTTATCTACAAGTATGTGATGAGCGGTCTCATTATAAAAGTTTTATTTAATATTCTGATAGCTAGGATGTCAATGTTTAATTTTTATAGGCTGAGAGTTTGGCTTCTAAAATCTTTCCAAATGTTTGAGAAAATGCAAGGGATTAGTATTTTATTACTATTATTATTTTCTTATGTGTCTTGGCAGTAAATTGATAGTGTAACGTAATATGAATGGATCAATTTATTTCTTCGTTGTTCTTGAAGTAACTGCTTGAGAAACTGTTCTCTGTAAAAGGGATTGAATTAAAAATTGCTGCATTTGAAGCAGTGACATATAATTTTATTTGATTCGTAAGTTTTCTTTTCACCTTAATTAATTTCAAAATTGCATCCATCCTGGATTAATTCCTTTCGACACGCATAATCTTTGTACTTCTATTAAAAATACTGACTGTATTGAATGATGAAATTTGTATGACATTTTAGATCAGTCAAGTGAAGGTTCTTATGTTGTTTTATTTACCTTTACTGTACGTGATAAATGAAGTATTATTGAGTGAAAAATTCTCACCAAATGACATCGAATCCAGCTCTGAGTTAGTATCGCCATAAATCATAGATCCTGAAAAATTCAGTGCAACAGATTTCCCTATAAATCAGGATTATCAAGAGTCAATCCGAATCATTATATGATTTATTCAAATTCCGCTTACCAGATGCGGTCATCTGATGTTCGTATACATCAGTTGTATTTAAACTTGTGTGTAGAAGATAGTCAGAAGCTGAAATGCTAATTTTATAATAATATCGAAACAAGTTTTGCTTCTTATACGGTATGACAACACTTTTAATTGGCACTTAAAAAAAATCCATGTATTTACACAAATTTTTGTAAATGACAAAAGAAAGACATATCTTCTGGAATTGTGAAACAGCACATTGATGAACTTGAATGCTGAGATAAGTTCTTGTCCACAGAAATATCCATAGGAGAAGAATTAATCATATCTTCCTGTAATTTCTAGAAATGTCGTAACATCATAGATTTGGAACTTCATTCAGTTTTATCTGGTTCTTAAAAATGAAAAAAAAAAAAAAAAAACTTCCCAAAAGTATGACTCTTCATAAAAATTTACCAAGATAAAACACGTATGTCAATATGACAAGGATAATCACTAAAGATCCACTCTAGCATTATTTATTTTCAGTTGTCGGTTCTCGGTCAAGTGGTTGAGATTCAAATACAGTTAGTCAATAATATAAGCTATCAATTTTAATTGCTCATCTTAAATTCACGCATTAATAATTTCGAAAACAATATACTTCTTCACAGCTTAAATAGCTCAAATTGCCTGCTTCCAGAAAGATGAAAATAATCAGTGCAAAAGGCTTACAGATGCGATGCTACTATTATCATTCATTTGATAATTTGCCGGTAATGTTATTGCAACACCAAGGAAGTAACGAAGAAGATCATTATCTTCCAACTAAAAAATTTTCATACATTTCATTTTCGAGCCTTTTCTGCTTTGTGGAATATTTACAAGCAATTTTAGAATCATATCACAATTCAATATGGTTTCAAATTTGAACTCTCTATAAACATCGACTAGAACTTACAACTGCTGGAAGAAAAAAAAAAAGCCTCATCATATTTTTTTTTTTTTGTTTTTAGAATTGCTGATTCTTGGCCATTTGATTGATAATGTTGATTAAGAAATAATATTTCATTAAAAACATGCCGGCGGTGCACTATGTGATTCATCAATGAGTGGTTTGCTAGCTGAAAAAAATAAGGATAAGCAAATAAATAACTTGCACACTTAAGTTAGTGAGTGAAAAAACATGAAAACCTCTGCAAGTAACATTTTGCATTGTTTCATTGAAGTAACGAACGAAACTATCCTCTTCCAACTAAAAAATTTTTATGTTTTTCATTTTCGCACCTTGTCTGCTTTATGGAATGTTTACTAGCAATTTCAAAATTATATCACACTTCAACATAGCTTCAAAAAGAGAAAGTCTCATCTCATAATATTTTTTTTTTTTAGAGTTGCCAATTTTTGGTTGATCAATAATGTTAATTAAGAAACAATAAATATTTCAAGAAAAGCATGCCGATGGTTCATTGTATATTAGCTCCATGCCTTCTTCATTAATAAATATTTCGTTGTCTGAAAAAATAAGGACCAGCAAATAATTAACTTGTATACTTGGAGAAACATGAAGATCTGTGCAAGCAATAAACTTTACTGTTAAATCTTAGATTGAAAATAAAGAATAGCCGAAATAAATGAACACAATGTCGCACACTGAAGAAAAACCCGCAAAGTGCAAAGTAGAATAAATTAAAACAATCAATCATGGAAAAATTGACAGATGGTTAATAATTTCTCATCCCTTAAGAATCATATTCCAAAACGACACGTACCTACCATTCTGCACCACTCTTCTGCAAATGACTGTTTTTCAAATGGTTTTTGTTTTCTAAAAGCAATAAAAATTATTCTTCCAGATTATTCAAATTTATCCAAAACAATAAATTTATGCAAAATGCAGTCATTCATATAATTGAAAGACATGTAGTTCATCTACGAATGTATCAGAATCACCGTCTCACTTTTATTCTTTAATTTGTTCATCTCTCAATAATAAACTTATCTCAAGGGTTTCTTTCACATGCTACTACATTCTGTCTTGGATGAACTTGAACCTATGCATAGCTTCCATTATTCACAGATTTCATTGAATTTTCAATTCATTACTTCGTCAAAGCGCACTTTCTCTACAATTGAACCTAAAATATTTTCCTAGTTTGTTTTATTGCCTTGAATGTATTTATTGTATTTATTAAATGTGCTATAGAGTGCCAATGAATAGTAAGCCAGAATATTTCGGGATTCCCATGAACCCTCCCTATTATAAATTATATAAGCGATAATACCGATGGTCCTTGAAGCTTATAATATCAATTGAAACTGTCCTTTGCTTGGTGGTTTAATTTTAGAATTGATTTGGGATTTTTTCTGGAATATCATCGAATTGAAGAACAAACATTATATTCATCGGCTAAGCTATTCTTTTCAAATAATTCAATTATCAACAAAAAATTTTAAATTTTACGTCCATAAAAATCAATTAGTACAGTAAAATATCTTATAAGAAAAGCATCTTATAAGAACATTTCAAGGAAACTTTAAACAATACAACGCGCTTGTTATCGATTAAAATATCTTATTTTAAATCACACATGAATCCTTTTACAGCTTAATGAATTACATAGATCGTTAAATAGCACAGGTAGGCAAATCATGTCACTGTTTACTTCAAACTGCTTATATAACTCCCCTTCCCTTCCCTCCTTCCCTCCCCCCCAACAAAAAAAAAATGCAATCATTAAATTGAATCTTAAAAAAATAAAGAGTAACTCGGTTTAGTGTCTAAATTACCATACCTGAACTATTAATTTCTTCATGTTTATTCAAGTTTGAAACCTGAAATTTATTAGAAAAAACGGTAATATAACATAAAATTACAATTTCAAATTTCAATAATATTCTTTGAGTGTATCTATAACATATATGCTTTAGCAAAGACTTAAAATTTCTTCTTATATGAATCAGTCGTCCACCTTAATCATTGATTCTTACCACTGAAAAGCAAAAAATTCTATCAGATTATGATTAAATATAAAATAATTCTATGAATTCAATTTAACAATTTGGTCCTATTAAAAATATTTATTTTCTGGATAATCATGAATAACTCATGAACAGAATGATCTATTCCCTTCACTACTACATTCAAACTATTCAAAGTTCTGCCAACCGTTGTTTGCTCCTCACTATCCAATAAATCTGCTACTAATATTTTGTATTCCATTTTACAAAAACGATTCCAATCGCTGAATTGTGGATCCATTCCTTGCATGAATCTCTAAAAATATCGAATAATATTTTGTGTATATCCTGGGGACAATTGAAATGTAAACCAATTTAAATGTTTCAATTCAAATAATCCCAAAAATTGGATTTCGAAATCATATTTGGCATGCGGAAAATGAAGAAATTTGAAAAAATAAAGAAACAGTTTGTAAACGTTATTATGCTTGCGTTTTCAAAATGAACTCTTTACTAATTTGAAATAACATACATTTCTGTTATCAACTGGGCAACTTTCTTGCGCAATATGCTTTACCCAATTGATAAAAGTGTTGAAGAAATAACGTGCCATTGGAGGAGATCGCTTGAGATCGGATAATGTGAAATATGTTGATGAATGTGATGGTATCATATCTTTTAACTTAAAAAATTTTATAAATTAAATAATTAAAGAAATATGGTTAGTAGTTATTCCCGTACCATACTATCCAAACACATCATACAGTGAAAGAGAATCATTAAAATAGAAATAATATGATGCCTGTTATTGTAGCACTTCAAAAGTGATTCAAATGTTTGACACTTTTTTTTATTAATTATTGCTAACTTAAAAAAAAAAAATTCACCATATTTATTAAATTATTGAATGTTATTACGTCCATACCCATACGGATAACATTCGCCACTATTTCATTATAAAATTGCTCCATTTCATCAAACGAAATGCGACCGTCTCCATTTAAATCCATTATTCGGAACCAATATTCAATGCTTAAATTATAAAGATTGTTGGACTTCTTTCTTTTTGGAATCAATACTTCAGAAACTTACTACCTGCTTCTGTAGACTCACGTATAACTGCACTCGAAGTATAATTACTCAAATTATCTTAAGATAAGCTAACTTCAACATTTTTTGACCTCAGAGATAAGCTTATTAATAGGGTTTAGCAAATTCAGATTGACTATTTTTGTGCAATTATGAAATGCATGCAGACAGACATAAAATTAATATTTGCTGACCTTTTCGGATGACATTTATCAACTTCTGCCAACAAGAAATTGACGAATGCAATATAATCTATAGCTTGTTTCATTGAACTGTTCAGCGATACAGCTCCAGAAAAGATGCGTTGCACTACCAAATTTGTTAATGCTCAAAAACTTTTCATTTCATAATTAATGCAAAGAAGATTTTAAATTATTAGCTGTTTAGCTTCTAGAATCAGTTCACTCTATCATTCAATCAATGGTTAGCAGTCAAATGCGACATCATACGTGACATGAATTCTTCATGTGTGAATCAACACAAATGACTTGACCGATAGAAATTGCTCCCCAAAATTTCAGCTTTTTTTTCGTCATAACAAAACTTACCACTACTGGAATAAAAAGAAAGATCAGACGGTGTCAAGTAATTCTTTTCACCTTTATCCAACATATAAAAGTTACAGTAAATAACGTAGAAGTGTTTGTAACTGAAAATTTCACATTCTTCGTTAATCTCTGCTATTTCTAACAATTTAATTGCCTGCAACATTTTTGAAAAAAACTTCAAAGTAATGAAAATAGAAAACATTTAATTTAGCTATACCGAATTTTGTGAAATCAAGATGATTCTATTCGGCTTGCATTTGCACTTCACTTACATGAGTAAAATTTGTTAACACATGATACAGACAAATAATTTACCTTCAATAAATTTGATAACCTCAATTCTACTGTCGAAATATATTTTTTCCAGGAGTGACATACAGCCCAAAAAATACGCGCTGTCACCTGAAATATTTAGGATTTAGAATTAAACTGTCAAAGGTTGTGAACAAAAAATTTTTCTTAACTGTTTCTATATATGGTTGATGGAAGGCGACCGCTTCTTTCAAGAAACTCAGCGAGGGTAATGTCTCAATCAAGTCCTGAACAAGAGCTTTAAAATCATCAGCAATAAGGTAATTCCGTTTTCCACTCGTCAAGATGTAAACAAAACGCGATGTCTCATCGTGAGTATTCGCTTCAAATCTAAAAAAAATGTCCAATTTAATAAATTTTGGTAAGATTTCAAATTCTTAAAGGTAAAAACAATGTTTGCTTTAGTTTAAAAGTAAAAGATGAGTGACATTTTCTACTAATTTTACAATCAAATGGAACATCCGGAAGCATACTTTTTCCACCAACTTGCAAATTTATTGAAATTAATGAAATTTGAAGCTGGAGAAGAAATGCAATTATAAAGTGGTTGTTTCCAGAGTGTACACAGTCCAGATGCTGAACAAACTTCCTTCATGTGTGACAAATCAACCTAAAGCAAGAAAGGAATGAGCAAGTGTTTTGTATTATTTTGTCTTCTATCCCATTGTTGAAAATGAATACTTACAATCCAAACAATTTGCACTTTGTGTGAAATTCATTATGCATACTTATCAACAAACATTCCTTTCACCCTTGCTCATGTATTGTTTGTAACCATTGGAATACCCTTTTAATCGTCTGGCGCTTTTCCGAATTTCTCAATAAATTCATTGTGAATAATGTACCCGATCATTATATTTATAAAATAATTCTTTTATAGCGTTCAGATTCTTGCGACTTTCTTTTCCACTATGTGGGATACCACAGGGATAGTAAAAACTGAAAATTTTTGGTGTAAGTGAATTAAACATAAATTAGATTCTTGAACAATTTTGAAATCTGAATATAATTTAAAAATTGATATGTACCGTGGAATACTAGATGATGTTGGGTCAGTTTCATTAAGAATGTTCACTTTGTGAACAGTTGAGGAGCCAAGATCGCTTGATAAAAGCACTTCGAAGGAACTGAAATTTGGTAAAAAAAAATTGGATAATTTTGGATAATTTCAAAACTGGTTAAACTGGAAATTCATATTTAGTAAAATTTCTACCTTTCATTTCGTTTTTCTTCAATTTTTTCGGGAGTCAGTGCATTACCGTTTTCCTGAAAAATTCAGTGTTCAATTTCTAATTGGTTATTTTGCTAATAGACAAAATTTAGAATTTTTGCCTTATTAGATTATTAAAACGAATTCCTAAATTACTTTATTTAATAAACTAGGTATAATGTTTCATCAGATAATTTTTTTACCTCTCTTTAAATTTCTAACAACGAAGTTCATTTAACCATCACAAAACCTATCAACAAAATTTACGAAGACCTGGTGAAATTTTCTGCTGTGCACATTATCGTTTTGTTATAAATATTTACAACTTTAGAAACGCTCATAAATAGAATTTATGCCTTTCGACAGCGTATCAAACTGTTTCTATGTTTCTGCCCTAATTTGTAATACTGATGGAATTCAAAATAAGATTCTTTTTTCATAGAAAGCAAGCTGCCTAAGATGTTTGTTAATATTATATATTTCCCGAAGCACTGAAATCTTGCTTAGTTCTGAGAAATGTTATGACAAATCACGACGAAAGTTAAGAGAAAACATGAATGCTTCAAGTCAGTTTACTCAATTATGGTTTCGAATCGATTATGAAAACTGTTTGCTTCCCTCTACACATATATCTTTCAAAATATTATAAGATCATTAATTTTTTGGGACTGAATTCTAGTTTAAAGCATCTAAACTAGTAACTACTCAAAGTTTTACATAATAAGGACTGCATGCACTTATGACTCGAAAAGTTTGTTCGTACCGAAAGGGTGGATGATGTGCACCAAGAAATATCATTAACGTTCAGATCATCAAGAACTTTGTCATTCGATATAGCTTCAGGATTGGTAATCACTATCTGTTGATATTCTTGCAGTACACTATCGTCTAATATTTCTGGCCTTTCCAACTATAATTTCAAATGTCATTTATTAAAACATGATTAAGGGTGCAAAATATTAGCAGTATGTGAAAACAATAAGACTTAAAGACACACTTTTCAAAAGTATGAAAAGCTTTATGATTAAAAATATCTAAAGATTAAAAAATTTAATCACTTCAGGAGCACTTTTTACATACACTACCTGAAGTACCCTCCCCACAAGTTTTATAAATTGCATTAATTTTTTAATAGCTCTGATAACGATACCGCATCTATATTTTTTGCAACTAATGTTTCTTGTTGAGTATTCCCATCTGGAAACATAGCATATAGATTCTTGTTATAATTTGAATCAAATGGACTGATCGCTATTTGTCTGCTACAGTTCCAAGCATTCTCCTGATCTTGTCCAAATTTTTCAAACCATTTAAATCTATAAAATAGAGTACCACAAAATAATGTGTTTCAACTTAGAAATGTTTTGGAATGTTTTTTCATATTGTTAACAGATATGTAGTGCTGCAAGCAATGTGGTAAAAATATTTGCACGCATCTTGTCAACAAAAAAAAAAATTGCTTCTGAGTAGTTGTGTAGTATGAAAAGCAATTAAAAGGTGGAAATGCTTAGTACATAGATTGATTACTAGAAAGGAAGCTTACTTTTTCGGCGTTTCCAAAAGCCTTGTAAATATATCAGGATTCTGAAAAAGAATCATGACCCGATTAAATCCAAGCTTCGTTCAATAATATCATCTTACTTTAAGCATACACTGATCGATCTAACGAACTAATAAGAGGATGAATGAATTGCAATCATACCAGATGAATGGGTGATATGCACGATGATTCATTTTTATCATCCAAAATATCCGACGAAACAGCATTTTCAAAAGATTTACAGATTTGATCCATTATTAATTTGCGCTGATTATTCCACATGACGTCTTTTCCATGATTTTCTGGACTTTTCAACTACAATTTCAAGATTTCCCTTTTGTATTTAAATAGATTTGCTTACTTTGTTCGCTCACATCTTAAGAAATAGATTATCCCTCTCCATGTAGGAAAAACGACAACACTGACTTCTTCGTTATACGTTATTTGATTTTTGATTTTGAAAAAAATATTATTTAATTCTAATTCTTTATCCATAAAGGTTTATTATTCCACGCAGTAGTGAATGCATCGTTACTTATGAAAGCACTCACTGCATATCATACTAGTGTTGAAATTAAAACCAAAATTTTAGTTTTACTTATTTTCCAGTAAGCATTTTTTATTTGATTCTGAAAAAAGTGCATGTATGATGGAAATAATTTACAAATCATGCGTACAAGTTATCAAATTACTAATACCGTTAGCGAAGGTAGAACACTTAAATGTTCACTAATTTCTATTTCGGTTCCACTATTAATAGCATCCATTTTAGGCTCATCGAAAGTTGTACTGAAATGCGACAGGAAAGTGTTAAGAATAATGTTTCAAATTTAAATAAATGTTTTCAAAATTAAGTTGGAATTACATCTAATGTTCACATTCCTAGTGCAAATTTTATGGTGTTGTTCTCAATGTGATAACGTAAGATCCTAGTTGGCAAAGCCAGTAGAAATGCAACGGAAAATAAAGGATAAAATAATAAAGAACAGATATTTTTTAAAAATATTTTTTTTTTTTTTTTTTAAAAAAAAATACCAATTCTTTTGGGATATGTCTGAGGCGGGAAGGATTGGAAATTTCGCAGATATGATTTGATTTCGTTGAGACATCGCTGCACTCTGAATGTATGCTTCATAGATAAAGTTGCTTTCCAATTTAAAGTGAAAACTAAGATAAATTATAATGAATAATAGTTCTTGTTGTAACAAAAAAAAAAAAAAAAAAACAGATGAAAATCAGCCGTCGTTTCAAATTTTTCATTGAAAAAAACATCTAATTTAAATTAAACCTTTTTAAAGTTGAAATTTTTTAGTTGTTTCAGAAGTTAGTAATTATTTAACACTTACGATTACGCTGCACAAATTATGTTTCGAAGTTGATGCAAGAATATACGATGCTGAAGTGGGTGGTAGCAACGATGTTGAACTGTTTTGTTGAGTAGTCACTATTCCACGGATACAATTTTTATCATCAGTTTTCTCTGATGAACCACCTGGATCCATTACCCTTATTACTAAACTGTCATTATTATTGCCATCATCAGTTGTAACTTCCATAACATTTTGATGTATTCTTGACTCTTCCCACTCCTTTAAAAGCATGCATAATCAAGCAATTTTAGCACATTATTACATTTTATATAACAAACTTTCCGCTCTTTCTACGATGATGATCTTCTGCATCATTTGAAACCTAACTGAATTCATTATTTCTTCAGTGAGTGTACGAAGCTCATATAAGATGGCAAAAGTTAGAAGCAAAGCTTAAATATAAAAGACGTACTGTTGTAGAAATATAAGGTACATAATGTTTTTTATATGAAATTGCTAACGTTCCATCCGTCATCTAAAAGATTTAATATATCATCACTATCTAAAATTTGGGGTCAAGCTGCTGCTCTTTACATAGAGTAAGAAGATTCACTACATGTCATAAAGCCTTCCGATTGCTGTTGAAAACTTTCAGCATATTTTCCGAAATATTCTCCATTTTGCTGTCCTTCAGCAATGATCCAGAAAATTTTAAAGCACCTGCTACTTTTAAGGAAAAATCTCAAGGACATTTTAAAGGCAAACGAAACACTTACCGTCACTGCTTCAAGTGCCATTTTCATGGTTTATTTTGATCCGCAAAGCATAAATTGCACAAAGGTATTTTTTTTTAATTCAATATAGAAATCAAAGTAATATTTTGGTTGCAGTTAAAAGAAAAAACCTATCAGAAGAGCCCTGTGCAGCAGAGTTATCCCAAAGTCCCATTTTAAAATTAGATAGAAATAAAATGATTTTTGTTAAAACATTTTTAGGTCCTAAAATTAAGATATCCAGTTGGCTAGATTCAAGGTTGTAAAGAACAGGTTAAAAATATCCCCCACCTCAAAAAAAAAAAAAAAATGTCAGAAAAAAATGATAAAAAATGGAAGAATGAAAAATATGAATGTATCCATACAGCCTCTAATAACCAGGAGAAGAGATTATTTTTCAATTCAAAATGGATTAAGTGGACAATTTAGGTAGGTACCTTCCTGACAGGCAAATGGTCAAAAACTCAGGCAACGGTTTCCAGAGAATTCTACATGCTTTAGTTTGTGCCTCCACTCACATTTTTGCGCAACTTACCTAGACTGAAAATTATTTTTTGAGATTTTGCTTTGATTCTAACCTTATAACCTTTGTTCGTTTTCATATACACCTGCAGTTACCACTACAAAATGCGTAATTTATATAAGAAATTCCCTATTTTTTGCATTAGATTCCGTATATTTTTGCTATGGTTAGACACTTCTTTTAAATGGGACGAAAGACTTCTCAACAGGCTTGCTTTTTTCGATGAAAAGTTCGGTTATTGCTCGTTATGATCTGGGAATTTTTTCCACACAACATTCAGTGGATATATAAGGCTGCTAATAGGTACACCTGTCATTTGTGCATATCAAAGCAAAAATTTTCAAAAATACGAACGCTGGATCCTTCAATTCGGTAATGAAGAAATCTTGAGGTTCCTATTGTATTTCCATATAGAAAGTTTGACACTTTCTTCTAGCAAAGTAGACTTAGCTTCATATTAAGCTAAATGAATAATTAGACAATAGTCGGGTATTTGTAGAAATTATCTCACCAGAAAATCACAACTGATAATAATACTCCACACCATCAAATCAATCTTTCTGAGGCAATCAAACAAAATAGTAACTTCACTCCACTATGTTGTCATACTTTACTAACTCTCTTTCATAACTTTAATGATAGATCTTGGGTAGAAAAAATAATATTTTACTTGACATTCGCAAATAAAAAATTATTTTATACAGCATATATAGCGAAATGTATATTCATTACTTATAGATCAGACTGTAACTCAAACACCGAACAACTTTTATAGCCTGAATACTTGACAACTTAATAGTTTTCAAGAGGATAATGCGAACGACAGCAAAAGAATTCTTTCATAAATATAATGGATAATAAAAAGATATCTATGAGGTTTCGATGGAAGTAACACAACCAAAAATTTCAACAATTTCCATAGCTAACTGCGTAAGCTCACCGCATTCATGCAGGTTTGTAAGAATAGCAACGCAAGTTCCATCAGTGCCGACGAAATTATGGTCTGGTTTGATAAGCAGAACAGATGACGCACCCACAGCAGCACCAGTATGCAAAAAAACTCCTTTTCGTGGCCAGGTATCACTTAAACCTCCATACTTTTGATCATCTCCATCGATTTTGTACCACCCAAGAGCGTAAACATTCCCTCGATGATCCGAAATTTCACCCTTCCAAAACGTTTTCATGGTTTCGGCATCGAGCAAAGGCTTTATTCCATTATTCTCGACAAACGAATGCTGCGCTGCATGATAACTGAAATCGGTATATCAAATATTTCTCAAAGTAAACTAATTTTTCTATGAAATCTGCAAAAAAGAATTTGATATGCTATTTTCAATTTATCGGTGGATTATAAGTTTACCAATACTGAACTTAAAATACCTATAAAGCATTGCATTAGCGAAAATAAGTAAATCGGTGACAGTCGACAATAATCCACCACCTGCCCATTTGCCTGAATTGTCTACTTCTGGAACATTCTTTAATTTATGATCTTGATCCCGATAGTAATACCTAAAATAAACAATCTACACAAGGTATTTCCAATTATTCAGTTATGTAGAAACTTAATTAAATAGAAACTACAAGCATTCCTGAGATGGGGTTTCCATTCATCTCATCATTCTAACTTACCTGCTGATTAATTCAATGATGTTTCCATATATTCCGAAATGTCAAATATTTATATTTCTTAATTCAAATAATCAAGCTGCTAATGAACCGAAACCAATGCAACACAAATCAATTTGAAAAAGCACAAAATACCTGGCTCTATTGGTGATAAGGGGACAGTTAAGATCGAGATATGAATGGTTCATTCCTAATTCACGGAATAAATTTGTTATTTGATCTACATATCTTTCACTGGCTGCTTTTTCTAGTGCTGCACTGAGTAAAGTAAATCCGTGGGTTGTATACTGGAATTTACTTCCTGGTTCTGCTACTAATTCATCATGTTTGAAGATCTCCAGTGCATCTTTCACACACTCGTAATGAATATTGGAAAAGAACTCAGATTTGTCTTTGACCTCAATACTTCGATGTCGCGTTAGATTACTTTTACTGTATTTCTCCTGGAAGATTAGATTACTTAAAGAAATTTTCTTATTTCTATAGTAGGATATAAAACACGTAGAATGACTCAAAAATAACAGTAATATGACTAGCAGCAGAACCATTTCGAAAGTGTACAATATTTCAGGACATCGAATTTAAAAGGAATGGGCCAGAAATGAAACATAACATGACTGCAAATTAGCGACGTTCATCTCATAATGCCAACCAAGCAAAGCCATTCCCTTTGACTTATCTACTGTCCAGAAAAGTTTAGGTGAGAAAAGTGACTGACTCACTAAACCCAGAAATTTGGTTTTATAAGTTTGGTAATGCTCAAGAGAAGGAACAAACGCATACCTTATATTTAACGTCTATTTTATGTAATAAATTCTTCACATTACCATCAATTCCTGTTTCAACCGCTTTCCTCAGCTCTCTCACAAAGTCTTCTACGGTCGGCTCAACTGGCTGTAATATAAACGATAAGACTGAAAAAATTTGAGAAACTGGTCGCCATGAGTCAAAAAAGTTTTCACACGGCGATAGGTATATTTCACACCCGACCATACGTATGGTAATCGAAAGAAGCTAGTTCTACGATCGTTTTGATTATTGGGTTTCCGTTTAGTGCGATCTCGACGGAGTTGGCTGAGTGAGGTGTGGGAAGGTTGTGAGTATTAGGAGCTTGAAGTTGGGTTACTGAAAGTTTCAAACAACCTAATTTTAGACGATACATGGCTCTGTCGTCGACAAAGCTGCCCTCATTTCTATCTTCTACTGTCAGCACAAGAGTTATAAACGCACTTTATCACAAAAAAGTTATTGACCACTACGAACATCCACGGAATGTTGGGACACTCGATAAGAATGATCCGAACGTTGGTACGGGCATCGTTGGGTCACCGGCCTGTGGCGATGTTATGAAACTTCAAATCAAGGTAAATCCTTTTACAGGATACTTTGGATTTGCAACGATAAATAAAATAAGGGCTGTAAGTTCACTCAATGATAATATTTTGATAGTACTGCCTATTTCATTACGATGTGGTATTTGTTTGAAGACAGCTCTTTTGCACCCAATATGGCAGTAGATACTTAGTAGAACTCACATGCATTCATGGAAATCAGAAATTTGCAGCAGTACTTATCATTCTAAAGTTAGGTCGACGAAAATGGCAAGATAATTGATGCAAAATTTAAAACATTTGGTTGTGGGTCAGCAATTGCATCAAGTAGTCTGGCTTCCGAGTGGATTAAAGGCAAGACAACAGAATACGCTGCCAAGGTTAAGAATGACGAGATTGCAAAAGAGCTTTGCCTACCTCCAGTCAAACTTCATTGTTCCAGTAAGTTAAAAATTTTTGGCATTTCCTTCCTTAACAATTTTGCATACTGCCTCTTCACAATTGCTCATTTTAAATTATTGCATTTTCTGCAGTGCTAGCTGAGGATGCAATCCAGGCAGCTCTAAAAGACTATAAGAAAAAGCAGGAAAAATCGAGTGGCTGACTGATATTGGGCAGTTATATAAGCAGAATATATTCATTTTTTCTTGCTTCTTGAATATTGCTGATATAAAATATGTATTCTTGGATGCCCGGTGGTAGTAGTATGTGCTTTGTTCATATCGTATGTAAAATAAAACTCAAAAGATTCCAAGTATATTCTCTGTGAGAAGGCTACATTTCTTATCTCTACCCCACAGAAGACTAGACAATTTTTATCTGAACTTCTAATTTATTTGCATGTATAGAAACAAATGTAATACCTCAAAATTTGCGTCTTACTGCTGTTCTTTATTTAACTTTTATTTAACTTTATTTAACTAAAAAAAGAGATCTGCCTTTGAATTTATGACAGTCCATAAGGCAACTGGTCATATTTAAAACTGGATTAATCAGCATGCATCCTTACATTTTGCTGCAGCATACACTTGGTGTTTCAATTCATTATACTGTATTACCGAGATATGCTAAGCCGAAATACAACTAACGTTTTGCAAAATGAGAGAAGTGAGCATAACATGAAAAGGTAACCATTTTGTAATGCCTAATGCCGCTTGTGTGGCTCAAAAGCTGACGAATTGTTATAGTAACGTCTTTCTCGTTATATTTCTTTTTTGGGAAATCCGGCACATAGTCCTGCAATTTATTCCTTATATTTTATATACGGTTTCTGAAAATCAGCTCCGAATAGTTTCAATAATCAGTACTGATGAATTCTTTCAACACCGATAACTTATTTTTCCATCATCTTAATATTAAGAAAATTTGTCCCTATAATATTGAAACCTGAACAGGCGCATCCAAATGAAGTTTTCCGTTCTGGACCAAACGTGCGGCAAGGGCAGCTGTTACTGGTTTACTTATACTGGCAATTCTCATCACTGTATCGCTTTTGCACGGTACCAACTGTTCCACGTCTGCGTAACCGAACCCTTGTCCCCAAACACATCGACCATTACGTGAAACACCTACAGATAGCCCTGGGACTCCATTTCTCACCTGCACCATAACAAATTTTAAAAAGTGACCATCATTTTACATATTTTAGTAATGAAGAGCACCGACAAGAGTATTCTATAAATTTACCTACCCACTTTTTATGAAAACGATTAGCCCAACCAGTGCTGACTTGATATATCACAGTTGTATTACTTTTTGATTAAAGGATTTTCATGTGTTACATGGGACCTACGAAGGTAAACACATAGAAAAATCAATACTGGTCCATGTTCAGACCGTCCATTGGTAACTTCCTTACTGTTAATTATTTTCACTAGTATCAAAGAGGAATACCATGAACTGTTTTACGATGTTAGACGCTTTCTCCTTTTGTTCAAAATACCCTGATGTGCTGCATGACTGACGATCGCTACTGAGTCCTAATGCAAGGCCCGTGATCGACAACGGAAGAGCCAAGGAATGATACCAGCGCATTCTCCACTAGTTCTTAGAAAGCCTGAAAAAGAATTACCTCAACTGATTGCCGAAGAATGAAATGCGAGTAGTGACGTGTAACAACACAAATACAGGTGCGCGGAGAAATGCGGCTACAACAACCCTGCAATCGGTGGTTGAATTCCGAACTGTGTCTTTCGGTCTCTATAGGTAGCAAATAGATGAATTCACTGTATCATTTCTATCCCTACTCTGTTGGTACCCATTTCTCTAATTTCTGGTTCTTCTTGAAACGGACAGGAAGTCATATGCTTACGTGAGTGTGCGTATGGAGCATAATTATAAAAAGACAGTGCAAAAGGCTTATATATATATAAAGTGAATTTGCTGCTTATATATATATAAAGGGAGTGTCATCTTTGTCAGAAAATAGGACAGCCGGCTATTAGCATTCTCCGTTAATCTTATCAGTTCGTCTAATTTATTGAGGTTATCCCCCCATTTCGATTTTAAGTAAAAGTTTCCCGAGTACTGACGTAGACAAAAACAGTTCTACATATAGTGCCCACTTTATCTGTGAAATGAATTCGTATGACGCGTATATCATCCATGTATTGTTAATGTTTTAATATTTTAACTAAACAGGTTGGATGGAAATAATGTAGTTTTGGTTGAACAATATAGAGTGCAGACTTTTCAGGAATAAGATAACAAAGTGATCACAGACTGAAACTTGGAAGATGAAACAAGTAACAAGTTGTGGGATGCTTATATGTATATTGCCATTATATCACGTAAATTTAGTGCAACATGAGGAAATATTTCGTCTTGATTTGAGTCTCAAAAACAACGTGATTTTCACATTTGTTGGACCATTCTTAATAATTAAAGATCAGTTTGTTTCTCAGCCACATTATGATATCTTGTAGAATATGATTGAATATGTTTAAGGACCTGTCATGTCTTTCACAAAACCATAAGACAAGTGCAAATAACGTTTAATTGGTATTACTTTAAGTCATTTCTGCCATCGTAATTTAGAGATCATTTCCTTCTAAAATGTATAAAGATTCTTCACAATCCAGGAACACAGTTTTAATTTACACATTTACGAGGCAATCTAATCATCGCGGAAATATTTTGAAATGTGTCATTCATTCTTGGTTATCATAGCCATTCTGGTTTTTTTCTTTTTTTTTTTTTCTTCACTCGGTCCAAAAAACCGAAATAATTTGTAATATAAATACGTCTGAATAACAAAAGCATTTGCATAATAGGAATTTTTTGTAGCTGAATTTATTACTTTGGGAGAAGTTTACTGATCTCAGGAAGATTCCTTGGATGTAGATGTTAACACAGAAATACAATAATTCCTTTACCAACAGAAGCAATAGTACAATAAATCTTATAAAGAAGAGTTGAGGTCAAGTAATGGAAATCCTTTTTTGTGATTGAATTGCCTCTTGGTTGAACTCTTCAGGTTTTTGGCAAAACTGAAGTGTTGGACATGAGTGACTAATAAAGAGCTGCTGACCTGGTTTAAAATTAAATCTAATTACTAGTTGACAAACCGTAAAGGAGGTCAATGAAGCAAGTTAATCTTGTAGATTCAAATATAAATAAGGTGTTGATACCGTGTAAACAATCTATTTGGAAGATGAATTAAAAATAGTTTCTTACGTGAAATATGAATTTGGAACGATTGTTTGACGGGTGAAATAAGACAATATTCTTAGTTCTGGTGAACAATTCTTAGTTCTGTGAATTCAATACAATTTTATTTGATATGTTTTGTAAGTTATTTGCAATTTGCGAGACTTTTCCGAGTCTTGCGACATTTCTCACTGAAGTGATTCATTACATAAAATATATAAATGAATATATAAATAAATGTTAATCTAATATAATGAACCATTTGTCTAATTTCCATCTTTGTTTCCGATTACCAAGTTTATTTTCAACGGTTAAGATACCAATTGACCACTTTGACACGCGAAACCAAATAACATGCGAATGTTTTCATTCTGATGACTAATCTTGCATGCAAGGACTCTTCCCTTACACAAGCTCCTTTTTTTTTTGACCACATAGCTGTCTTTGCATCCAATATGATTATATTATTCATTATATCATCCGAAAAAAATTATCATCCAAAAAAAGGTTTTTACCAATCTTTCACAGAGACTAAACCTTTATAATAATTCTTGTCTGTAAAATAACAGATTATTTAAATCAAATGAAAAATTATTTGACAGTGTTCTTTGCTTATAAACGCAATACACTAAAAAGAATCTTGTTTTTAGTGATTAACGTACTTTTGCGAGAAGCCAATCACTCAGCTCGTCTTGCTATGTAATTTCTACCATATTCTATTCAAATACAAAAGAAATTTACCAATAATTTACTACAATACAACTGACTGACAACTTTCGTACAATTTATAAATTAAAACAAGATAGTCTATAAAGTAAAGAAAAGGTGAAGTTATGTTTAAAATAAAACATAAGACAAAGATTAAAATGTGAATTAAAGAGAAGAAATCCAACAACTAGCAGTGAAATACAATTGGAAACAAAGTGCAACATATAACAACTTGAAAAATAATTTCAATGTAATGTTACTTTCATACTCAATGTCACCTGAAGTAAGCTTACACTTACAACTGTTAAAACAAGAATTAGATATAGACCTTGGTTCTGGATTCCGAAGTGTAATGAAGCTTCAAGAGACCAAAAAGTTCGACAAATTCATAAACACCAAACTGCAGTAACATGGTCGAAAAATTTAAATAGGGATCAGGTAAGGAGTTTGAAATAAAGGACAAATAATAGATTTAAGAAACAACAACTACCCAAAGGAAGCAACAAAAATGTCAGCCGTTATATCTGAAACGAATACTTTTCCACCCACTTTTCTCTAACTTAAATCCTTCTTTCAAAAAGTGGTTAACGAAATGTAGATAATCGAAAAGGTGCTACCATAACTTAGTGTTTTTATGCTTTCAAACACAACTAAAAATATTCGGAGACCAAAACACATGCTTAATTCAAATGTATCATTAAATGGGAAAATTGTATGAAGAACTCTCATCCCATTCAAGTACGACATATGCTTCTACTACTTTATTTGGTCATACCTGAATAATTTAATTGGACTTCTTGCGAGAATGTTGGTCAGCTTCTGGAAGATCGCGCACCTGCAATCTTAACTACTGGGTTATTGGCAATATGTTTATTAGTAACCAAAGCATTAAATATCTCTTAACTGTCTGTCAACGTCAGCACAAAATCTAATTCCTAGCTGTCCGGCAGATCTACGCAAACATTTAGAGAGATGGTCTAAAGTATTCAAATAATCAATCAGAGCGATGATTCGCCGGTTGGTATTTTAATCCTCCACCACACATTCCCGCAGTCTGCTGAGGCAAAAGTACTTAAGATCAAATTGCAACCGTCACACCAATATCATCTCGAAATTGCTAACAAATTCTAGGACAAACAACCTACTGTGCTGCTCACAATAAGATCTACAAGCCAAAATCTGTGGCAACACATTTAGATGAATAAATAAACTAACATCATCGTTGACATGCTTCCTTCTCCTCTGTTGAATTTTAGATTGCTTGTCAATCTTTATCTTGCTATGCTTCTCTCGGTAACGGCGTACATGGAATAAAACAAAGTTCCATAGCATATATAACTGTAATGCCAGAACGCATAGCAAGCTATTCAATCTGCAACAATAATATTCATGATAAAATCGTTAAAAGATCGTTTACGAATGCTAACTGTTAATGCACAAAACAACGAAAAACTAACATACGTTCTCGACGGGAACTCATACAAAGTTATCGACTGAAACTGCAAACTCAGTAAAAGAGCTTACCGGATGAACGCGGTGTTGAAATTTCCGTTCACCGAATCTATATAGGGAGTTTCATTAGAACGAAGCCCATACCATAATGTAAGTACAGCTAACACTGCACTTGCCAATCGTACTAGCACGAATACAATATTCCAAATTTTGAAACTAAATTTTCATTGTTAAGAATATATTAATATCCCGAAGACCGTTTATTCCCACCGCTTTTTGGTATAAAAGGGAAAAAGAGAAATAAAACATAATCACACTTCAACTACAGCATTATTTTTGAAAGAAATAGAACTTAAAGTAATAAACATAATAACTATCTTAAGCACACTTTTATGACAAAAAAATCGTACGAACCCAGTCTTCGCAATGTTCCATTTTTCAGCAAAGTGAAATAGGCGTGTAAGATGGAAAACATTCTGTGAAACATACTCCATAAAAAGGAGGGCCAGAGTAAGTCGATTGAAGCTACAAAGGAAATTGTTCTAAATATTAAACAATGTATTTGAGAATAAATAGTATAAATACATTTTGGTGCGATTTAAACCTGGAACGATGAGGAAGTAAGGCAGTTATTCCCACAAAACTACAATTATCGATGAATACCGAAAAATCCAGTTTTTATAGGATATCCTATGCACCACTTATCATTGAAATCTATGAGTTTTGTCAGGCTGAAAACACGGCACACTTAAATGAAAATTTCAGCCTATAAAAGCTACCGGAGGTAAAAAAAATATATATAACTGGATAAAAGCAAAATATTTACTTTAAAGAATATGCTGCAATGGTGAAGAAAAGAAAAATAATCGAGTATAGGGTTCGCGGCTGTATTTCATCTTTACGCACTTTTTGGAAATAGAATTCCGGGAACTGATGCAACCAGTAAGCAATCTGTAAAATATCTTCTGCATTTTCAGTATTAAATGTTAAAAACTTGATAAAACAGGCAAATCTTGCAAACAAATAGCCGTAAACATAAAATCAGTGCATAAAAAAATCATGCCTGGAAAATAAAAAAGAGTTTTAAATGCAGTGTCATATGACGGTGAACTTCAGGATATCCAATCCACAATTTAGTAAGGTCGAGATGCAGTCGTAGATCGTGCATTATGTAGCCTGCAAATTATATCACGTGGGAGTATAACCATGTTCGAAACGCATGTCCGAAGGAAAATGGAAGTCTTAAAAAAAAGATCATGTTAAGATCGTTATTCTAAAACATGAAACGTCCAGAAAAAGTACCTTACCACTGTGCATAACGGAGTAGAGAGTAAAAACGAATAGTTGCCCCGATTCAGCAAATTTATTCATCTTCGTTTTACTCAAATGAAGCTTCCGCTGCAACTTGTCTAACACATATTCTTGCAAAATAGCGTGAATAGTAATCCATCCGACAGCATAAAACAGAATAGCTGCTGCATCTTTCAAACCAGTCTGATAGTAAGTTTGCGGTTCTACAAAGAAGAAAAAAGAAAGATAGTTCTCTATAACAATAACTGATTCTACTTAAAAACATATGACAGTTTGTGCAAATGAAGACAAAGTGGATGTTCTTAATTAATTTGATACATTCGCAACGATGAGAACATGCAAGGTAAAATCCAGCCAATGCCTGCTACTATTCAGTAAAAAACCAGTACTGGTCTCCAGAATCAATTACATATTCAACGCAGGATAACCAATAAATAGCAGCCAGAAATTGAGGCATAACGCTGAAAGGAAAAACAAACCATTTTAAAAAACCAATTTTTTTCACTGCTTTGTTTAGAATACAACATACCGGAGTCCAGGGTTAGTGGAAATGTGTCATTGTACTGCGGAACAATGAAAATGCTTGCGAATGCCGATGTGCCCTATAAAATAATGCATTATTAAAAACTAGTGACCTCATATATTACTGCAGAAGTATTTCTTCACATATTTAAGCTGGAAAACTAAGTTATAACTAACAGTGCATCTATTTATGTGTCTCATAGCTATTTAACAAATACCTGTCTTTGTTCCGCTGATGTTCCGAAAAGGACTTACCTGAAAAAGAAGCCCAACGACAACGATCATCAACAAGCACGACATGATATCACCATGATTTTGAATAATAAACTCATGGGACAAGAATGGTGGTGAAGTTTTTTTACCACGTCCTCCCATTGAACGACGTAGTTCAACCATTACTGAGCAAGTACAAGCTATAAAATGTACAACGTAAAAAAATTGAAAAAAAAAAAAATCAAATACCTCATGTGTCCAACATAACTTTCCTTGTTTTGCTTGAATCTCTTATCGGAGTATAAAAAATAACAAGTACATCGATGATATCGAGATAAGCATAAAGTTACTTTAAGAGGATTCACGTCGAATGATTTGAACCATCCGTTAGCTCAACTAGCTATACATTCCGTCAATTGATTCAACAGCCAGAATGGAAAAATCTCATTAAACAAGTCCACAAACTATCTATGCAATTTGTGTTGAAATACGAATCACTGTAAGTTAAGCTGTCCATCTACACGTGTAAATACTACATCATATAAGTCCCACCCACGTATCCATGAAACCACTGTCGCCATCACTCCCATGTCAACAACACCAGCAAACTATTGACAAAACAGAAGGAACATTTCTGACGTTATAAACCTATTACGAAAAGTGGTATTGCAGTCCAGTTACTGTAACTTTTCAGAATGAAGGCGGTAAATTTGAAAAGAAACAAAAATGAAATAAAGAATGAAAAGAAAAACTAACCATAAGTGTTCGATGGAAGGGGGTAGAGAAGAAACCATCAAAACGGGTGGATAAAAGTAGCGGGGAAAATGTGGCCTGAAGATATGAGAGCACCTTACAGTTTCGCGACCACTTCTAGCAGCAGCTGTTGTTCTTCCTGCTATTACTTCCCTCATCTTCCCACTTGCCTTTCATTTTCTTTTCAGCTTTCCCATGCAGCTATCAATTTCCAGCTAACACACTTATCTAATCCCTCATTCAACCATTCCGCTTTTCTCAATCATTCAAAATCGACGCTTTCACTCGTATTTGACGCATTTTTTGACAATTCCCTTCATTAGCAAATGTTTTTGGAAATGAAAGATAGAATGAAATGAAGTGATTATACGGAATGTATGTCTGGTGGGTGGACCACCGTGGAGACTTCACTTCGCTCCTTTTCCGAATGGAGAATTCGAGTCACTCAGGTTTAATCCACTCTTTTTGTTTCTAAAGTTTGTCAAAAAAGTTTTGCAGAATATGTTTTTAAGTTTGTTTAAAAAGGTTTTTTTTTTTTTTGGAATAAAGACAGTACTTTGATCATAAATGTGTACGTCACGACTTCTTTCTTATGTATTTATGACAACTCAACTTAATCAGTCCGAGGCGTCATACTGACATTTTTCTTTGCTCACAGTAACTCGTCATCTCCAACTGGGGCAGGATCGCATCTGCCAGCTTTTTTTATAGGAAGATTTTCTGGAATAGTTTCATTGATGAAAAGATAAGAAGGAGAAAAACATTGTAAAAATCAAAAGGTTTAATCAGTTAAAATTTATACACAGTTTTCTGCAAAAAAAAAAAAAACATTCAGGAAGCGGAAAATTTTGTTTTGTGGTTTAACTCGGTCTATAGTGCTATATTACAAAATATTCAAATGTAGTTTCAAGAGGAGAAAAAGAAACATATCTAATTGAATCATTAAACTAAAATAAATGCAGACTTTTCATAAGTCATTCACACTTTTTATTTTAAATTCAAATCAACTTTTTATGAATTTTGGATTTATCTAACCTTAAGTATTTATATCCATTTAAAATTACTCGTTTGTCTACAGTTTTCATTTCGCAGCTGTTGTTAGCAGAATAGTTTTCTAGAAGTTATTGACACTTCTGAATAAACACATAATTCAGCACACAGACTATTATACTTTAGGACTTTTTAGTTGAAGTCGAAAATTTTCAAAAAAATTTTTTTTTTAAATTTTCTAATATACGAGCTGGTACTTGAATATTTTATCAAAATAATTGTCTCTTCATAATACTTGACTGAATAACAAAATAATATACCAAGTAAATCATTATCGTTTCCTAATAATTTTTAAATGAAGCTCAGTTCTAAATTATGCACTTATTTCTGTATGCATCATACGATACTTTTTTTAATTTCTACAGGAAATAAGCACATTCTAAAAGCACAAAGCACATAATATCTGTATAGCTGACTGTAATTCGAGTGGATAACTGATGGATAAGCGGTAAAGATTATGGTTAAGTGGTGAGCAGATACAGTACTTGGAACCGTTTACAATCGATGAGGCGTTTACTTAATAATTGTAGTTATTGTAATATTTCATCAAACCGCATAAATTTAGCACTAATTTTGACGTTCCCAACAGTAGCTGTCAAATTATGGAATGATAGTTTTCTTTTTTTTGGCTTAATTTTAACGGTTTCTCACATTTGATTTTACTATAAATGCTTAGTCTTCCATCACTTCTTCACTATAGAAACAAAATACTTTATTATAAGGCTATTTAAGTTGATTTACAATATACTGCAGCTTATTTTAATAACTTCTCATTTTTGCACCAATCACGTAAAGTATATTTACTGTTCATATTTATCCTGATAGGCGAATAAGTTTTTTTTTTTTAGAATAATAATTTGACACAAATTTTAGGTCTTGCCCAATGGACGAGCTGAGCAAGAAGGTGTAAGAATTGGTGATATCGTAGAAACTATCAACGGGAAAAATTGCACCAATTACAAAATGTTCAGTGCTAAAGTACGAGGTGCACGAGATGTATAATCAGATGATTCGTCTTGCATGGTCTCCTCCAGTGAAAATCATCCACCAATCTAAAACTTTTTAAATTTTCTTCAACAATTTTCAGTTGTATCGCGTTGCATGACTGTAATATATTATTCGGAGACTTTCAAACTAGATAAGTTAATAACAAATTTCCAGATTTAGACATAACTAAAAATGCACTAAACAAAAAATATAGCAAGCAGTTAAGTTTTTTAAAGATTTCCTTTGCTAAAATAAGTAAAATGTATTTCTATTCATATATTTCTACTCATTGATAATCATCTAAAAGTTATATTCGATGTCTTTTTCGGAATCAAAAAATTCTTATTTCTTCGATATGGAAAGCACACCTGAAATATTGTCCACTGACTCTTAAATTACGTATTAATACAGTTGTGCATTCTTATTGTCTTCATACAAAATTAGGAATATGTGAATCTCTTTCCTCCTTCCTAAAAAATGTTCATCCCGTGTTTTTCTTCCCAGTAGACATGGACAGCTTTTTGCAAAAAGTTCCAGTTTTTCGGAATCAGGTCCCGAAGTGGATAAAAAGTAGGATTAAAAAATGAATCTTAATAAATATTAAAAACTGTACTTTCTAATTATGATGTTGAAATTTATAATACCAAAAGATAGCAGGCGATGGTTGATTTCACTGGCAATTAATCAACTTTAATCCTGGTCAACCTTAATTGTCTCTGTCCAATATCATTTGTTCCTTGTGAGTCAATAGCTGTCCAAGACTATATTGTCACTCAGTATAGAAAGTTTTCACTTAGCAAAAAAATTCCGAAAAAGATCCATAAAAATGATCATTTCCATCACTTGGTCATAGCTGTGGTATTACCAAGCCATGCAATTATTATCATTGCCATATTTGTGGTGATCTGTTCAGATGAAATTTGGTAAGAGAGAATAGATAGTTAAATTGGATTTTCCTTTATGCTTTTTTTCTAAAAAATTTTAATTACTTGCAAAATTTAACAAAAAAGCATTATTTCTTTTTGATTAACATCCTGTTTGATTATATATTATAATGATGCTGGATGCATGCATAATCCAACTTGTTCTTATTCTTTTTCATTGATAACATCATTCTTGCTAATATATGTATTTTTGGTCAATTTAAGAGGGATAGTTTTGTGTTCCCTACTAGGTAACCAATTTCATAGTGAAATATTTAGAACGAGAAATTTTAAGCATTCATAATATCCCATGGAAATTTAACAGAGGAAAGTGCGGTATCTTTTTTTAGATTTTTGAGTGCGCTATTCAATCGAACAAAAACCATATATGAAAATTTTTGGAAGATCTATGTTAACAAAATGTAAACATCTTAAATATCTGCCTCCAATACCAGTAAAACCAACACTTCAAGGAAGTGCTGCAACATTTAACTCGAAATGTTCACACAATATAAACCTGTCAACGCAACTGTCAACTATTTTAATGATGCAGAATCATCATTTCCATGGTGCTCAACAATAAATCTGCATTGTCTTCAAGAATGCACAGAAATTATCCGTCGTCCAAAATATTCTTTATAATTCCATCTGATGTTATCAGCATAAATGGTTAATTTCAACTAGGATTAATGAAGATAATATAATTGAGTGATTATAAATTTTCACTGTATTTTGAAGATATTTTAAAGAGAAGTTAAAGTTTGATTAAGATCGCAATTCATATGTGATTCTATCTCGAAAATACATATATGAACGGCCTAGTCTTTAGTGATTAGTGAGATTAGGTGAAACATATGACATGCGTAGCTCAATTTTTGGTAAAGTTCATGGAAATGCTAGCAGACCGGGAAGTATTTCATGCTCCTATAGATAAGGATCATCTTCATCGAAAGATTAAATACGAATCACCACTTCTATTATCTAGCGTTCAAGGTCTCAGATTTCTGGATACAATTATATTGAAGAAGATTTTTCCGATTCCACTCAATCAACTGCAGGTACCAGAAAACAATTAGCGTCGAGGTACGTAGTCATAATTGTTTTGCACATATTTAAGCAAAATAGTTTGTATGTTTAACCTTACAGTAGGCAAGTATTTATCCTTTCGTGCACTTCAATTTGTTTAAATGAATGTGTTTATCTTTTGAGTACTTCTTTGTAGATAAATAATTTATCTGACTTAGCTTTTTGGCAAAAAAAATAGGGTTTAATATTTCAAACTACACTATTCTTTGTCAAAGGTCAGCAAAACAATAAACTGAGTTGTTCGAAATGGAAAATCTGAAGTAATCATACTAATAGAACCAAGTGCAATGTTTATGTAACTGAAAAGCAACGTCTCAATGGCATTCCATCGTCAGTCATTTCTCTGTTTCAACTGTTTATTTACATGATTATATGTCATGTTGTATATCAAATATTTATAAGTTTGCTTAAATTATACTTAGTTTTCAAAAATATCAGTTTTCAGCAACGGTTTCGTCGAAGAAAACTACTCTTTAGCGGAAAATCCGACAGGTCAGCTTCATTAATTCAGTTGTTTTCAGAAACTTATTTCTGATCTGAGTTATCATTTGGTAAACAATGATATTTATGTTATTAAATATTAACTCATATTTCTATCCATCAAATATACGAAAGTTTTTTTGAACTGTTGTAATTAAAAAAGATGGGAATTTATCAATGAAAATGTTGCTAATAAAAAAAGAAGGAGACGAAAAAGTAAGTTACAAATCAGTGGTGAATATAAGATGTAGAAAAATAAATTCATTACAACAATAATTTAAATGATATCTTGAACAAGAATTGCTTTTTGCACAATTTGTTGAGTTTCTCAAATATTTAAGATTTCAAATAGAGCAATTCGAATATCTGACGTAAATTAAATGTCTAATTTTAAGATCGCCCTAAAATTTATCTAATTTAGCATGATAGTGAGATGTTGATGAATTAATATATAAAGTAGTAATGACTGGATGGCAATGTTTTGTGTAAAGCGTATATTTATTGCTTCTGTGTGTTGGAAAGAGATTTTAAGTTTGCAATAATGCTAAAGCTAATCGCGAACTGCAGCAGCACCGCCATTGGTAACAACAGCTACATCAATGGCAATACCAGTAACTTCATCCGGACAATTATTCTCATCTACTTTACGTTCCCTGTCTTCCGCTATCTTAGTATTAGAAACGGAATGTAACCCTGAATCTAATATTAATCCTCTTCCAAAAAATCCCAATAAGAATCCACTTTCACTTAATTCATTCGACAAGTTTTCATCAAGAGCACATTTGGTATGTTTTTATCCTCAACATTCTATACTCTTTATTTCAGACTATTTAATTTTTTCTTTCAACAGTTCTGCTTTCCCTTTTTTCCACTTTTATCTTGCGGATAATATGAATTTACACAATTCGCTTTCCCCAAGAAGCTTCGAGTACTAATCTTTGATTTAAACTTTTCTCAGTTAATTCTTATATTATTCGTATATCTTATAAATTTCTTCCCCATGTATGAATCATCCAGGCACTTTTATATACTTCTTCATCAGTAGTTGCATTAAGTATTTAAAATGATTTGATGAAATCGTTAATGGATTAGATTGATGTTTGGTAAGCATGTGAAGCAATGCAAACTGATAAAACTGCATGGCTATTCTGTAATTAGCAAAAATTTTTTATTAGATTTGCAAAATTGCGCAAGCTGCATGTAGACGCCAATTTGTTTCATCGTGCTAGTTTCGACATGCTACACCAATTTTTATTAATATTTAGATGTTCTTTTCGTTTTCTTCTTTCTAAACTTAAAAAGTACTGCTAGAGTTAATTTTACAATTTCAATTAAAGAACTAAGTATGCAGCATTGATTGATTTGATAGTTGTTGTGTTTCGAAAATTTCCTTCGTTCGTTTTTTTGCCGACTAATGATTATCAATCTCTTTTATTCATCTTCATTGATTTCAAAAATTGTTGAAAATATTCCTATTATAATTCAATGTGATGTCTTTCTTTTTTGGAAGATATACGAAAGGAAGAGAGAAGAAAGAAGAAAGAAAATGAGGAAATACAGGAAGAGTAACTTAAAATCCATCAAATACTTTTAGCTTCCTTATGCATTTTCATCAATCATAAGGCAAAATGTTCGTTGCAGCAATAGCAATAGAAAGCTTTAAAGTACATGAGAGAAAAAAGAAATATAATATTTAAGATTATTTCTAACAATATTTTCCTAACAGCCTCATTTCCGATTTTTCTTTTTTCTGCCTCCAGTAAAGCTTCCACTTTCTTGTTTCAGCTGCAATTATTTGTAAATGTATGGTGATCAATAGTACCATTCATGAATGAATGTATCATCTCATAGCTTTAAAAAATATCAAAGTTGATTCACATTTTCGTCTTCATAGTTAAAATTTTTTAATTTGTACAAAAAAATATGCTTCTTGTATATCGTCCAAACTAAGTAGCTCTTTAAGATGTTTTTATTTGGATTTATGCGAGAATCTCTACAGAAATGTTAGGTGCCTGAATTCAACCGAAAGATTAAATTTCAGGTTTCCGATGAACAGAAAAAAATCTCAGAAAAACCAAAATTTCGAAATGAGAAGGTAAATCTTTGCTGAAAAATTGTTTGGTGTCATACCTGTCATCATGACTGTTTGTTTGTTTGTTAATCTGTCCAGTCTGCATGTTTGTCCTGTATCTCTTCTCGATATCTCGACTATTTAGTAATTAAACAGTCAATTTTAAGATGAATTATTTATGGAGTCTGAAGTCTCTCCAACCTTGGTGTCCACAACTGGTTGTAGTTCAGGAGAAACTAATTAGTAATGGGAGTATGTTTTCAAAAGCTGAAAGCAAACCAAGAAGGTATCCTTCTGCAAACCCTTTTACCTATCATTGTACTCATAACTTAATTGAACTGAAATGACAATGTTCTGGAATCAACTTTCAGTCATTTTTTCTCCAATTTTTAAAATGTAAAAGGAGAATTTGAAAATACACGAACTGATCCACACATTTTCAATGCTATAACATCTTGTATTCTTTCCAAAAGTATTTGTTTGAATCAAATTCATCAAATGAAATTCATTAGAATGTACGGAGCACTTGAATCATACTGCCCGTATTCGAATTTTAACGAGCTATCTAAAAGTCCTGACTTAAAATCTATGGAAATGACTGCTACTCTCTTATTTGTGCTCCGTTTTACTTTCAAAATCTTTTATATTCAATATTATTTGTCCTGTCACCGCCGAACAAAAATATAATTTCAGAATAAATTAAATAATATATCCAATAAAAATCTAGAAAATTGTATTATTTTCTCAAAATAATGGAAATATTTCCAGTGTTGTAGTCACATGAAATTTCTTGTAGATGTGATAAGTTTTGACGCACTACAGCTGCTATAAATTTTACAATTAATATTAATAAGTTTTAACAATTTTATTATTTTAACAGGAATTACAATCATCAAAATATTGAATATTTGGATCGATTATTAATTATGCAAATCTTAACCTTAAAAAATTATGCGGCCTTTCGTAGTTAATTCAATGTACAATGGAATTATTAGAAAGTAAAGGTAGTAATTGAATAAGTAATCAATTGATAGAAATATATAGTCTTTAATATAATATTTTAATATTCCTTTGTATTGCCACTGATTGTTGCTTTTTTCTAAGTAAATTTAACTTTTTTGATATTAGTAAGTTCATCATAAGCAAAAAAAAAAGAAACTGAATGTTTCCTGAAATGCAAAGCATAATGTGTTTCGAATTGCCAATTACAGAACTGTTTTATGTACAGCAATAACCATTTTACAATTTTTTGTATAGTCGTGAAGAAGGATAAAATTTTCAAAAGTTATTAGATATGAAATTTTTTTTAACTTGGAATGACCAAGATTTCGAATTATATGTTTGTTGTGGGATGAGAACTGAAAAATAATTGTAGTGTGCATTTCAGCAATTTTACATTTTCAGAAAGAGGATGAAGTGGTAAACTGAAAAGTCATCAATAAAAAAAAAAAATGAAAAGATTCGTTATAAATGAATGTTATAAATAATTATAATTAAGAATAAATACAAATAATGTTTGTTAGTAGGAGGAAATGTACTGACGAAGTTTTAATTCACAATATGGCGCATTATTAAGTATTATCGGTGTAGTAGAAGGTGTGAAGTGTAGTGAAGAAAAAATCGAAAAAATGTGATGAAATTTGAAATAGTTTTGAGAAGAATGCCATCAGTACTTTTTTTTTTTTGTTCGGCTATTGTGATAGCAACAATTACTTTGTCCTGAAAATTATTAATAGATTAATGATACTTTTCTGTTAATAAATGTTGCATTTTTCCCTTCAAATTCTTGGAACAAGGGGAGTAAACTGTTTGTATTTGATTTTTGCTGATTTATCCGGAATGGTTTGTTCTCTTGATTTATAAGTTGAACATTTTAATTAATTTGATTTCGCAAGTCACAAAACAATACAGTTTAAAACAAAAAAAAAAAAAAATAATAATTTTAATGGCAAAGATAACGAAATGATGAATCGACAGACGTAGAGAATTTTAAGAATTTTACTTCAGCTCAATCAGGTTGATGTAATTTCATCGAACAAGAGATGGGAGCGTATAATATGCTGACAATGTTGTTGTAACAAATGTTTGTATTTACAGATGATGATGAGAACAATACCACCTCGGCTACCTAAGACACCACCACCTCCATCAACGGAAATAAAAGTTAGGCCAAGAAATGGGTCTTCATCTGGTGGGACAAAGTGGACTTTGCGAACCGAAGCAAGAGATGGTAGTAATAGAAATTCGATGATGGTTAAAGTAGAAGGAGTCATTGAAATACCGAAAACTCAATCGGTTGCTTCCCTTCGTGAGCAAATTGCAAAGAAATTGGAGGTTAAAATGCCATCTACTCCACCAACTATTACAATTAGTAATAGTCATACGAAATCACCATTATGGATTTCCGGATCAAATGAACAATATCCATACGTTCCGCAACATGATGATACATCAAATTTTCAACATCTGGCAACAAAGATGTCAAAACTTAACAGCAATTCTCAATCATCCAGTAATACAACACTACAGAAACAGTTATCTATTGTACATGAACCGGTGGAGCGGCATATATCCTGCATAACGCCAGTATCATTCAATCGTACAGCGACACTTTCTTCCTCAGTTATTGTTTCTCCGAATATGCTCGATATTTATTCCAACAACACATTCGTCGCACCAGTATCCTCTTCTTCAGGTGTATTTTCATCATCACCAATCATCCACAAGCACGAGGAGAACAATGGTTGCAGTCCTTCCCTATATAATGATACAACAGCAGTTTACAACCAATTAAGCGATTACCAGAAATTGATGCCAGTCAAACAGAGAGTTGATAATCGTTCACAACCTTTCGTGCCTTCAACCACTGCTAACGCTACTATAAGTTCCCGAACGCTGAGTCCGCCATCATTCTTCGTAAACAGTCACAATAAATATAGAAATAAAATGGTTATTAAGGACCTGGAAATACCTGTATCAACGAACCACACTGATATTATCTCGACAAATAATCTTAGAAGTGATATTATTCCAACAAGTAATCATAGGACTGATATTGCTCAAGGAGTAGAAAGCCAGTTTGATGCTTCATCTTCATCAAAAATACCAACGTCAACACCACCATGTCAAATGCTTTCACAAAGTTACGATAGCAAAGGTACATCAAGTACCATGCCTCGCTATGATGCTCATACTGAAAATTCTAATTGGTACCGCACTATGTTCAAGAAAATGCATGTAGTTGATCAGTTAGGCAAGTTATTTCATGATTATTTTAATTTCAGGGAATCTTTTATCAAAACAAATTGATATACTTATTTTTCAACAAGAATCTGTGATTTTAAAATAACTTAAATTTACCTACTTGTCAGTATTCAGAACCTTCGTGATACTATTCCATTTTACACACGCCACTAAATTTGCTTTATTTGCAAATAGTTATATGTCCATTACAGTTGATATTATGTTGCTTGTATTCATTGTACTCACTAACCACGCACGTATTTCAAATTAAATCACATTATTCTAGTTTCCGTTATCTCACTGTTGCTTGTTCGTTCCACTCACATTTCTTTATGTTATTGCTATAAAGAAGTCAACTATAATACACCATTGGTACTGAAATTGATCCAAAGTTGAAGCTAATAGAAATAACTGGAATGTCATTGGAATTTTTTTGAAAGAGAAGACGAAGAGGAATTTCAAAAAAAAGTTCAGATTTTCTGGTATCTCTTTTTATGCGCAGAATGAATGGTGTGTAAGTAATAAGTGTCAGTGTCTGCGTTCAGTGGCAGAAGTGCTGCTTCTAGGTGCTTGTATCTCTCAGCTAGGCTTCATGGCACATGGTAGGCTAATATGCTTTAAAATGCCATGAAATGCTACATAAGCATTACATTCGATCGCTCTACCTCACATTCGTACTATTTCCTTCCTTTCACTGGTGTGCATCACCATAGCTTTGCTCAGTTTATTTCCATCGCACTTATTATATCTCCCTAGTCTTCTCGTAGTTGAAACAATTAAAATGAAAGAAAGTTTAACTGTTACCCAATCAATCTGTTTATTATTCACACCTTTGTTCAGTTATTTCATCTTTACTACTTTTACAGCAAGCTTCTTTTCATCTCACCATCAAGTATTCACGAAATTCCTTTTTTATTAATTACACACTGATAATATTAATTATAAAGTGTAGCGCGATGCAAAAATTGTGAGAGATTTCGATTTAGTTCAGTTGCTATTTTTTTAAAAATTAGTAATTATAATACAACCACAAATTAGTGTTTATAATACAGCTATTATTTTTTAAGACCTAAAATTGACAAAGAATGAACTAAGCAGCGATTTGATGTTCGATTCCTGAAAATCAATTTGAAATTTTTATAAATGCTTTCATGAATTACTTCACCACAACTTACTCTACTCATAACTGTTATATTGGAGTAAAACGAAAGTTTGCTGAACATTTATAGTCTGGGGAGTGTGCCCGGACTTCTTCATTAATTGTTATCCTTAAAAGAGAGACGAATGTGCATATCACATCAGCGAATGAGTTAAAAGTGCTCTCCAAAGATTTGTTTTACTTCTAGAATTTATTCTAAATATCTAAGGAAGCGACTACAAACAGTATCAGTTTATTGCCACTGATAACCGCAACCATCATCACTGCTATTCCTTCTTTTTTTTTTGTCATTAACAATAAAATTTGAAAATTTCTATAAAATGCTTTGAAAAAGAGGAAGATAAAATTTTTACATGACCTCACAAATGAAACGTATCACATTTGCACTATTTGCTCATACTTCTATAGCGTGGCATGGCAAGCGTAAATGTCAACTAAATCCAGGGAACGATCATTACCATATTAGCTACAGTATGTGATGGTATGTTATACTCAATGTCATCTATTGCACAGCTGATTAGTGATAGTAGATCATTTTTTCCAAAAAAAAAATTCAGTTTGTTGTTCCAATCTCATTTCTTTTCTCTTCAAAATTTAAAAATTGTTTCATATGAAATTATTTCTTGAAATGATACTTTAAATTTACAAAAAAGAAAAATTTTAATATTCTAAAATTCACCGTTTCCTTTGCATTAAAAAGGTGCGATGTTAGTATAATAAATATATGTATAAGCTTGTTTGTTTTTTGTTGTTTTGATGAAATTTGGTTGAATGTGTGATGAAAATTTAGAGACTAAGAATATATCCATATCAATTACACGTGCTCTGTTTTTACTTCCTTGCTACAACATCACCATTTCCTTTATGGTTTTAGAAATAAGTCTATTGATCGGATCATTCATTTGCAAAAAAAAAAAAAAATCAAATAAACTTCGTTCTTTTTGACATGTTGATCTCTCATTTCTTAGTTTGCTCAATGTCGCATTCATGAAAAATTGTTTAGATCCTTCGGTGCTGAGGTGCCAGCAAAGAAAACTCTCAACTCCAGCGTCAACCGTGCAGCGAATAAACCGTAAGTGAATTTTCACTTCCGTTCTCTTCGTTCTGTGAGTGAGAATTCGTGACTTATAAAAGGTTCTAAATTATCCGAAACAAACGTTTATAGGATCTTGGACACCGAACCTTCAACTTGACAACCAGAAGAATTCACTCAGAAACTATGAATTGCAATCGAGACGTAGCAAAAGTGTTGGACGTTATGTAGAAAGTCAAAGTGGAATGGAACAACCATATCAGCGGTCTTCAGAAAATCTCAATCGTGAGCTTGAAGAGTGGAAACCTAGATGGCGTCATGAGTTAGGTGCTGCATCGTGTTGTCCATCATCACATCGGCCTTACCTCACTAACTGCTTTGCTCAACAACGCTCTAAAACTCAGCATTTCCACCTACCACCGTATCGATTTCAGCAGAACTGTAAGCAAGAAGCATCGAAATGCTTATGCTGTCATTTTTCTTGTCATAATTTATCATGGACTGAGATTGAATATCTCTGCAAAACACTGGATAAAAAAGAAATTCATATGGAATCATTTATGGAGCAATTGAATAAACTTGTCAAATCAACAGCAATCGGAGGTCCTCTAGATCAGTCCGTTATGTATTTACAAACTTTAGTTGACTGCTTGGAAGCTTGTGGAACTAATAGTAACAACATCAAGAGAAGCAGAAGTCACAGCATATCACCAACATCATTTTCTACTTCTAACTGTTATTGTATTCCTAAATATCCCACCAACTTAACAACTCCTTGTTCGTTTTGCTCATCTTATATCAACTCAGGTGTGTCTCCTTTTTCTATTTAATTAATATATTTGAATTTCTCGACTTAATCTGCATGAAATAGATTCTATTCAAATAATTGTCTTAAGCCCAAAGATATTTAACTTTTTTTTTCAAATATAGTTTACATTGAAAGCATTAAATTTAAAATAATGTGAATTAGTGAATGAAGTGAAGAGAAATTTCGAACATTGCACTTTTTTAAATAAGCCTATTAATATCTTTGTCGTGTTTCCTAACCATTGCCAAAAGCTGTATCTTAAACCAATCCTTGAGTATACAAATTAAATTCCAATATTTCTACTGCCTTTATCGATCAACTACCCATTCAGTGTTTACACTACTGATTTTATTTTTTGGAAATACTCGATATTAATGCAAATTGCATAAGAATTAAGGCATTGTCGCATGCTTTGATATTGCTCAAACTTTAAATTATGTAACCTTTAGGACTACTGAGTCACACGAAGCCGATTGTCAAATCGTCCCGTCTAATCTATCTGTTGTTTGAACCGTTAATATTTTCTATACCGTTGTCATAACTGCTGTTACTATTCCTCTATTTTGCTATGCCAAACTTGCATATTTGAATCATTTTGTACTCAGCACTACTATTTTACAGTTAACACGAAAAACTTTCATTTTAAATTTTAAATTCAGTTTTTATATCAGATTTCCTTGAAAAAAGAAATTAAGATTTCCTCAAACTTTTAATTCTTTTCTACTTTTCATCTCTTGGTTATTTAGGAGAGAACCCAGAGTAGATTGCCAAATCGATGTATTTTTCGATCTTCCGTTTTTTAATCTGATGCTTTTTTTCTTTAATCGTAGTAATAATTGTTAGATAGGTCAGAAGTAAACGACCAGTCAACTGGTGATGTAGCCAAGATAAAAAAACTTGCGAAATATGAAGTTCTTCTCCGGCAGAAAGTTGAGAAGCTTTCCGAAGAATTGCAACAGCAGCAGAGTCGACGGCATGGATATGTGTTAGTTACTAATACTATTTCGCTATTATTTCAGTATGCTTGTTGGAAGTTTACGTTTTTAATTTTGATCCATGAACATCAGGTAGTTCAGGTTTATGTTTTATCACTAAGAAATGATGCTTGATAAGATGGTTACCAATTATAATCGTGTTAAAAACCATCTTTCAGTTTGTAATATTCGGACCAGCTTGTTTCCAGTGCTTGAAACCTATTGTTTTATATTTGCAACTTACAATTTGATTATTATTATTGGGTGCATCGTGCTAATAAGAGTGGCTAAATTGATTCAAGCTGCAATTAATGATAAAATACTTTTAAGTCTGGTAGTGATAAATTTAAGAATATTTTTGACTTCTAACTGTTTATTTGCTGGGGTGATATTTTACATTGATGGTAAACTTATGATCAATGAAGGATAATATTTTCAGACCTTCTGCTGCTCCGGCCCTTCAGAAAAATTTTGATCGCTTTAGTGGACTGATCAACGAATTTGGACGGCCAGAACGTGCTGCCACCCCTCAAACGATGTCAAAAACTGAAATTACGACTTGTACTGCACTTCACTCTTTCAGAGCTGTCAGCCCTAAGTAATATTTTAATCTAGTCATAACTAATCTTAATCTGCTTTTTCGATCCTAATTTAATTTTTTTCTTCTTGCTGCAAGTTTATTTGTCTACTTTAAAAAGAAATTCTTTTATTTTTTTAAATTCTTTCCGAGCTGCTGAGTGAATATTTTATCAAATAATGCCATGTTTAATTAAATACGAAGAGTAAATCAAAAGTGCTTAAAGATTAACTCACAAAATTCTTTCGAAAAATTCAGAATCGTGAGCGTCACTACCTTGAAAAGCAATGGATTCAATATAATTCCACCGATCCAGTTGCAAATAATTCCATGATGTACTCTTAAAAATTAATAAAATACCTGGAAACATGATGCTTAATTTGTAGAGAATTATCGTTTAATCGCGGTGATGTGATACGGGTCTATCGCATAATCGATATCAATTGGATGGAGGGCGAACTTAATGGTCAAAGTGGCATTTTCCCTTCTTCCTATGTACAAGTAATGTTTTTATTAATAAATTCGTATTTTCATTGCAATATTCTACAGCTAATTTATTTATAAATATCTTCTGATAAACTGCTTATTCCAGGGATTGTGATTGCTTCTCTTTCCTTCACAGTAGTCGGATGACACATTTAGCAGAGGAATAGGATTTCAAATTTCAGTGGATTAACAAGAATTAATTTGTTGAAGTTAATATATGGACTTCAATTAATAAAATTTTAAATGCAAATTAAAGATTGACAGCAATGAGGAAAGCGAACAGTTCAGACTGGTCGTTTTGTATCCATTTTCTGCCAGAAATAAGAATGAGTTATCGCTGAAAAAGGTTTGCTAAGTTCTTAGTTCATGTTTCAACTTGGTTGGCTTACCCATTCTTACAATAAATGTTCAAAAATCATTTTAAATCAAACACCTCATAATTGCAAACAGTTTTTTTGTTTTTTTGTTTTTTTTTTTCGAAAAAATGATCAACAATCTCTTTCATCCTCTTCACTGCGTAATTATTAAATTAAAAAAAAAAAAATTCATATATCGACAACTGATAGGGTGAAATGCTGCGTCATTTGCGAAATATTGATGCTAATTGGATCGAGGGTAAGAATATTCACGGACAAACCGGCATTTTTCCCAAGTCATACGTTCGTAAAGCACGTGAGATCAGTTTATGTGACAGCAATGAAATATCAATACCGGATAGACCTAAAACACCACATACCAATGCTACTCCATTCAGGTTTATCGCCTTTTTGTCTTCAATTTTTCAGAAACTTTTTTTGAGTTGAAGAAAGTATCAGCAAAACTATTGACTAAATATAGTTTTGTGAACTCTGAAAAGTATCGGTTTTAATTTCCGCGCGAATTAATTCTTGTTCAAAAACTAAAATGGAAATAATAATAATTAGAAAATTGCTTCACTAAGCACAGGTAGGTAATTAATCTGTGATACTTTTAATTCAGTTTATCTTGTTTATTTTCTTGAAACAAGACTTCTTGAACTTTAATGAAATGATCGTATTGCTTAAAAATTTAATTCTATGTAAAAAGTTAATGCGCAAGCGATGCCAGTGAAGGTCCATCTACCATTAAATGATCAAATCTAGTTATTTTTATTCAATATTTTTAATTATATATTCAAATAACTAATATAGCAAGTATTAATTAGCATTTTTTTTTTCGTTTTCGATATATATTTTCCGATATAGCAAATATCTAAGCAAGATTTATTTCACACTTTATTTAGCTTTATAATCACTGGCTACAAATTGTGGCATTAAAATATTTCTTTACTTTTCCTTTTTTTGTAAATATGACACTAAAGCATTAAATGAGATACTTAAGAAAACTTAATAATGCTATCAGTAAGTAAGCATAACAAGGCATAACATCATTTCTTTTTATCTTTTTATCATTTCTTTTTATCAAAGAAATGACTTTCGGTCACAAATTTTGTTTTTCAAATTCTATGCTGATGTTTTCAATCATTAATTTTGAATTACTTCATTTATGGGTTCGCTGTTTGAGAAACTTGTTTTTGACCCTTTGATACGTTTTAGGAAATAAATACACTTCTTTTAAGTGCTGTTATCAGAAGCTACAAGAATACAAATTATTTCAATTTTTATGTGATTCAAAGAAAAATTAATGGAGAATTTAACGAAAAAAAAAAAAAAATCCTATCACCAAAAATTTGAAAATAAAGTTTGCTTTTTATCAGTTCTGTGTTATATCACATTACTCATTAAAAGTCATTTAATCATAAAACACTTCTTAATTTCCTTTTCTTGAAAGTATCGTCTTTGATGCCTTTTTTTGGCTTTTTCTTTTTTCCCTCTTTAATTTTTGTTTTAGTGTAAGAAAATCCTGAATACCTATCATTTCATTTCCGTTTCTGATATTGAGCTGCTCAGTCAATATGATTCTGAAGGAAATAATGGGATAAAGGGATGTTAAAGTTGAGGAAAGTTAGCGATTTTATTACTTTGTTATTTGTTGTTCGTTCATCACCTACGACACATTATTACATTGCCGAAAGGAGGGTCTTGAAGAGGATAAAGCAAGAACATTTCTAGAAAACCTATGGAATCTTCGTGATGATATCTCTGAATTTGAATTGTAATGCATGTCTGCTTTTGCAGAAACATTTTTTTTTGGATTATGTTTTCAACTTTTTATGCTTCATAACGTAGAAAATAATATGCTACCTGATTTTTGAATGGTAATATGAAATGTTGTGGTATAAAATTTAAATTGCAATAAATTTGCCACCCCGCCACCAAAAGCAATTATTGGGAAAAACAGATTAAGCGAAAAACAGATTAAGCGTAATGTGACTGATTAAATAAAAACCAAAAAAGAAATTTTAAGAGTAATTTATTTCAATTGAAAAAAAGGCTGTATTTCTTTGACATTTTATCAAACTGTGCTGACATTTATTATTCTAAATTAAACAAAGTGCTGAAGAATTAATTATTTCTGCAATACTTTACACAAATAATGAGAAATAAACCTATGCAACCACAGCGATTTTCATATTTTGTAGAAGTTTCACAACAGTGTCAGCAAGTAACACTTCAAAAAATACTCACTGAAAAAGATGAGTGGATTACATCTTATTAACTTTTCCATGAAGAAAAATGAGAAATTTCCGTCTTATTTTCACGACAATTTGAGCCATATTTTGCAGCACTTTCTGAGCGGAAAAGGAGAAACGAAAAAAGAGCAATGACTGATGTCATTTTTTTTTTTTTAGACCCTGTCATATAATAATTAATTCTCCTCATGTCTATCTTTCAGATTTATTTGTTAGCACTAGCATTTCATTTTCATGCTTCATTTCTAAAGTTTTGTTCTCTTTTTCCCTAAAAAAAAATAACATAAGTGGGAATTTTCTGAAAAACTCAAGATTTGCTTCAAAATAAATTGACTTCGTACTAAAATAGTTATGATTTTGTACAATGAAATGTCTTTAAGTAACTCATATATTAAACCGGTTCCTCTCTTATACTTTTCACTTATTTTTAGTCATTACCTTCAATTAATTATTTTAACCTAATAAACTTTTGCCATTGCACATCACGTTATTATTAACACTCAATTTCATTTGTATAATGATATCTAGGTTAGATAGAAGCAATAACATTTGTTGAGAATAATTTAACGCAGCGACACTACTCTCTTAGATGTCATTACATATGAGCAAATGGATTTTTGATCTATAATTTTGTTGTCAAAAAAAATTTTGTTGCATTGGGTTGCAGGCACTTCCGAAGGTTGTGCAACGTACTTTTGCACATTTGCTATGGAACCGTTGAAAATTTGATTAATGAACAGCAGTCCTCTTTACAAGATTTTAGAAAGTAATCATTTGAACTATTTTTGTCTTATTAAGTTCTGGGATTACACAGCATAATTCATTCGTTGTTCTGACAATTGCTAATCTCGGGACTTCGTTTTATTTTATTCTGTATAAACCACCCTAAGATGGATTTCTTTTTAACTTCAGCCTATATAGCTGTTACCATCGATCAATTCAGAAAACTTTTGCTAGATATCTGTTTCATTACTCAAAAACTTGAAACAAAACTGCCTTCTTTCTTGCTGTTTCAATTTATTAGTAACAACCTTAAAAAATGCAAAAGATTAGAAGCAACACCTGTTAAGTGCTTATAGATACAACAAGTTTTCATTTGTGCTCGAACTGAAAGATTTCAAAAGTGTTCCAATTGAAATTTCTTTGATTTCTTTTAAAAATTCTATTAAGTTTTCTTAATGACATGTGATCAATTCTAATCACCAGCAAAATCGATTATACTTTGACAATAAATAAAACACTGTGTTTCTAATCACAATTCCGTACACTGTGATACATATTGCTGAACAGTAGTTAAGGTTTTTCTTTACATCTAAAATGATGGCCAAGGCATTAAGTAGAATAACAACGATAGAATAATGGAATTTTCTTAAGCTGCGCCAGTTTAACACATCTCAGCCAAGCCAAATATTAAATTATATTAGTAGTTTCTGCTTATAAAGATCACTTCCAATAAACTTGTAAATTAGTGAGGCCACATTTGTGAAGTGGACTAGTCGCGTTGTTACTAAGCAACACGTTTTAAGTTTTTTGGATAATAAAATAAAAAACCATTTTCCTAATGAGACTGTTTTATCCTCAATCGTTCCCCTACCTCACTCAACAAGCATCGTTAGTCAGTCTTCAAAGATTTATTTTTTTCAATGGTAAAATTCTCTTCAGAATAGAAATCAACAACCAAAGCTGGGTAAAGCAAGACGAATTCTTCACCTAGTTTAGTACTTTTCTCAAATTTAACTTCAAATTTTCTGCAGTATCTGAATCTTAACTAAAATTGAGTTGAAAACTTTATTTCTGCTAAAACCATTTATTCTTGATCGTTTCATTCATTCTTTTTTAATAAAAATATTTCTATTTCTTAATTGTTATTTTTCTAACTCCTTAGCATTTAGCATTGGTTGAATAATCACCATCTCAATAACTTTATACTGGTTCGTAATCATTACATATAGTGGTAAATTATGATAATTTCGAATTAACTGCAATTTTATATTTTATGTTTTGCCGAGATTTATGAGTCGTATGTTTTTTTTTTTTTTTTATTTTTTTTTTCACAAGTTTCATTTAAAAAGCTACAAATATTGCAGAATTGCCGACTGAAGTTAATTATGGATAAAGTAAAGGGAAGTGTCATCGTTGATGTTTATGCATATTTCTAATCATGTGTCAGATTTAACGAGTAATTGAATTGATAAGGATATCATTATTTAAAAAAAATATACGGTGAGGATATTCAATGCATTGCACAGCAGGAACAGTAGTACATCCATTGCGAGCATCATGGCGTTCAATAAGAAATAAAATCCGAATATGCCGACAAACAGAATATGATCTAATCCAGGCTTATTTTTTGGGAAATAACAATCCGCAGCAACAGTTAGCAACGACAAAATTCGCTTTCCGACCACGTTTTGTAACTAATGCGGTGGAACAACAAATTTACACTATTTTAGTTACATTTCTGGATCAGATTCTAGAGTGTTATCATACAATGTATAATGCCTGGGTATGCAAGAAATTTGGACGTCAGCTAGCACGGATTTTGCGTACAATAAATTTTGATCATAGATACTACTGGAAACTGTTAGAGAATCGTATCCTCTACTATCTGATGGTAAAACACTACAGTGTAACGGTGTTATTTGCTTGGCATACATTCATGGATACCTTATCAGATGCTGTTATCGAAGGCTTCTGGCAAGCAATATCTGCTGATTTGCCAAAGCAATTACCAACAATTTTCGAGGAAACACCAGCTAAATGCTTCTTGTACATCGAGCCGAATCGTCCTTCATTTTTTGCCAGACTGCTGGATTTATTTGTGCGCTCATTATTATAATTTGTTTATGATCAATGAAATCACTAATAGTTTAACCAGGAACTATTAAATTGAAGAATAAAAAATATAGTTAATCACAACTGAAAGTCTGATATGATACACTTTTCACCTAAACCAGTTAAACTAGAACCACGATAGGCCACTACTGGACGGTCGGTAATTCGAATAAAGAGCTTCATATTTCATCTTTTTTCCTCAATCTATCTTATCAAGAATTTTTCATTGGCTTTATGATGCCATTTTTTTTTCTGGTATCATAATCATTTATTATCAACATTGAATGAACAGTATACGTTTAAAACTTGCCAACAATATGATTAAGAAAGAGATTCGAATCTTCTTCACTTGCAACAATTACACTGTTTATTGCGTGGAACTTATAAAGGAAAAGAAATCTCTCATCTATCCTTCATTTTCAAGTGTTACTGACACATTTTATGCTTATTATTCAACTTTTTCATAATTTTTGATATGCGTAATTAATACTGTAAATAAAAACAAAGTTCACTTTTTTACAGTTTGTTTCCTGCTATTCATTTAAATGCTTCTTACATTTACAGAGACGAAAACCCAGCAATAGCAATAAGGACAGATCCCGTAGACGAAATGGGAGAATGGCAGAAAAGACACAATCAAAACGACTTTTCTGGACCGGTGAATATAATTCCCAAAAATGTGGAAATGTTAGATTTTTTATCTTTTCCTTAATTCTACTACAATATTTAATATGATGTATTCAGGAAGTATCATCTTAGATGCAATTTCTCCGACACGCGAATACAATAAATTGAACTATGAATGATATTGGATAGACTTAGCACTATAAAAGATTGATCGATATAGCCGGATATATTATGTTGATTTAAATTGAGTGGTAGACTTTCAAGGAAGCAATGTCCCGCTCAATTAAATATTTTTAAAAGGTTTGTGTAATGCTGTGAAACATAAAATGATTGTTCACTTCAGTTATCGGGTCTTATACGCTTACAAGCCAAAAAATGCGGACGAACTTGAGCTCCAAGAAAATGATATCGTTTTTGTTATTGAGAAGTGCGACGATGGTTGGTTCATTGGTTAGTCGGATCTCTTAACTTTCTTCGTTTTTTAGATATCGGAAATTTTTGAAGTATGAGATTGAAAAACTGTCCAGAATCATCCTTTCTTTTCAAATTATTCAATTATTCTACATTTTTTGTAAGCTTCAAGGACGACTTTGATATCCACAATACCTTTCTATCTAAAAGACTTCTCAATAATAACGAATTTGCAGGTACTTTACCACGAACAGGTCAGTTCGGAACATTTCCAGGCAATTATGTTGAAAGGCATTGAACTATAGATAGAATCAATATTTATTTTCTATATTGCTTTGCACCAACCATTTCCTTGTTTGTCATAGTCATTTTATTTTGTATGTTTCATTCAATTCAATAAAAAATAATACATTTTATTGTCCTTATTGTATAACTTCTTTGAAAATACAGCACATCAGATGAAAAAATTTCTTAATCATTACAGATTAATTAGTTTGTTTCCAAATGGATTAATTATAGCGTAATCTACATTGATTATAACACGAATGCATAGTTAATTAATTGGTCATAGATAAGATAATGAACATTCAAAATACTAAAATGAATGGATCATCCTTATAATAAAGTAAGTTATAAGAGAATGTCTTTTTTTATTTGCATGATCCGAATCTATCTGATATCTGTTCATTAAAGTGACCAGAATAGCTCTCCTCACTTAACCAACACGGCTAAATGTTGGACTGTTTGAAAGGTGGAGCGATAATTCTCATTGTATTTGTGAAAGTTCCAATAATGTTGTCAGTTGTTAGGTTGCTATAGAACTATTTTGTTTTTGTTTTTGTTTTATCATTTCTAAATGTTGCTTCAATAATTCGACAACGAAACCAAATCTGTTGGTTTTTTAAAAGAATTATCTAGCACTTCTACAACATGAATCCATTGTGTTTACAGTTGGGTAAGTTAATTAAATTAAAGTTTCAAAGTTTCTTCCCAAATGAAATATTTGTTTAAAATATTTATGACAAACACTGCTGTGGAACTAAGCATCATGAGAAAATAGTTGTATTATAGCATATATCGTCCAGTTAATAATCCTTTTCGCATTCCTTCAACGTTTTTCTGTTGCGACCGACAATCTTAATGATGATTTGAACCTTATCTTATTCGATTTAGCAAGGAACATCGTATATGCTTTTATTTTATCCCAAATTAAATCATTTTTAATTACTTCTTTGTCAAAACTAATTTGTGATAATGTGAGATGTTTTGTGTTTTTTTTTTTTTTTTTTCTTTTTTGTGGAAATATGAAGTTTTCAGAAACAACTAGTTCCGAATCAGAAAATGTGAAACAGCCATGCTTGGCAGCACTCGGTTACCACTTTGATAATCAAGGTGTTATGAGAGATAAGGTTTTGCTTTGGTTGTTTTTGTAAGATAGAAATTGATAAGGAAAGAAATGAAAACTTGTTTGAGATTTATGAGTATTTGTTGTGGAAAGTTAGGGTTGCGGATTTGCAAATAAAAATTTCGTTCCTTGTTTCAGGATAAGAAAAGATATGAATTCGTTGATCAAGAAAGTTATGAAAAGATCGGTTTAGCCGTCACTGAAGAGATTTATCGAATAATGGAAAATCCGCCTTATAATATGGAAAGGCACTATGTATGCTTTTGTTTTTTGCTGCTTCCAAAGTGATTTTAAAAAAAATACATGCAAAGGAATTTTTATTCGGCTAAAGCGAATTCAGTATTATTTGTGATAGCAAAAGAATGTTAATGGCTATAAAACTTTATCAGTATAACTCGTTGCTGCTTTTTTATAGCTGGACGATACAAACAAGAAAAGAAGCGCATTCATATTTCTCAGCAAAGATTGGTATGAGAAAGAAAATCTTGTTGTACTTATACATGGCAGTGGTTCTGTTCGTGCAGGACAGTGGAGTAGAAAGTAAGTATTTGCATGATAACACTTCTAGATTCTATCATATTGCCACCAAGGAGTTTCTGCTGAAAGTGAATCATGATTTATACAACTTCCAAATGTTTTGAACAATTCTTTTTTATTTTTTTTACCCATTTCAAGAATTTTAGAATGAAAAAAATGTGTTTATTTGGTCTTTTTCAGACTTATAATGAATGAAAATTTAAATATGGGCTCACAGTTGCCATATTTGCGAATGTGTAAAAGGCGGAATTGGGGAGTGGTTGTGATGAACACTAATATGAACATAACTAACAACGATCCTATTGAATTACTGCCAGTTGGTTCTTTTCCTTTACTTTCAACAAATAATGTATCTGTGCTAGTAACAAACCAACTACCGCAGTTATTAACATTTCTTTGATAAATGGTCTGTCCAGAGAACAGTGGTAGCAATAATAACTTATGCGCTTGCATTATCATTTATTACAAAATTTATTGCAGGAAAGTAGGACGCCCCTAGAACATGGTATTACTGTGTGGAAAACATATGTCGCAAGGGCGAAAGCAAGTTCAATTGCAGTGGTTGCACATAGTGCAGGTGGCATTGTTGTCGCTGGCATTGTAAGATTTTATAAATCTTTCTGAATTCGTTTAAGAAATCAATGAATCATTCTCTTGCTGTTAAATCCTGTTACAACTGAATTTTAATAGATAGAAAATTACTGGTCAGAGGAATGGATGAAGAGACTTAAATGTGTATGTCTTACGGATGCTGTGTTTACGTTACCGTCTGTAAGTGCTATGGATTGGTTACCAGCAATACAAGACTGGCGAGCAACTCCGCAGACTGAAATTGGGCTTCAAATAGACAACAATACGATACATGGAAAGCATCCTTATGTAACTTATGTTAGTGCGGGAACTAATCAACATGAAGAAACTTCGGCCGTAGCAATTGAAGACATCTTCCGATTTATTGATAGTTACTTTGTATGAAGTTGTTTTATTATCATTTGAAATGTAAAAAAAGAATTTTCTTATAATAGTGTTCTTCATATGATGTATGAACCGGTATAGTTGATTTCTGGAGCCACTTGCGATATAAGGATGACGTATGTAATGCATGAGTAGTATTATTTCTTGAATGCTGTGTGTGCAATGTAGGAATAGTGTTGATTTTCTTGTGTTACTATTACATTTCCTTGTTTTATTTGGTTCGATTTTAACACATCAGCAGATTTTTTTCTCTCCATAAATAAATATAAAGAAGATGTCTGGCTAAAGAAAAAGAAAGAAGTGCATGCTATAGCATACTCACAATGAAAAATACCGGATGGAGGAATCTTAATCTGTTTGAATGTGCGAGGGTCTCTGGTCGTTTATCAACAACAAAAATAATCACCATTTCGAGGAACTGGATGAATTTAGGTCGGATTATTGACAAATGATAGTCGTTCGTCGTTGCAAAATAGTCATGGTGTTTGCCTTAAGACTTAGGAGCTGTTCAGAAGCTGTGATCACCAGTTAACGGGAGGCGACATTGATATACGTATAATGCACTTATTGCAGATGTTTTCAACATGTTAAAACCAGATGAACTCGTCACAGAGTGGATGCAGGCAGAGGGACTCCATTCTTACTTAGAAATAGGTGATTTAATTGAATTTCAACGAGCCGTTGGTAATATAAAACGACGCATATACACGGTACCTTTTTCATATTTTTAGTACTATGCGATTGATCTTTTTTTCATATTCACTGAGTTGGTTTAAGTGATCCATTAATTTATAAATCCCGCCCACATATTCTTCATATCCACTGCTATCCGACATTAGTAGTTTCAGTTCTTATTTTATTTTTTTACAGAAAGATTTTTGTATCTGTTCGAAAAAAAAAAACAAGTACTATGTGTTTGTTCAAATTTTAGAATTTTATGTTGTTGAATAATTCAAACATTTAAGCACTGGGGAGTATTCATCGGTTTTCACGATAAGAAAGCATACATTGCCCATACAGGGACAGATTTCGGTGATTTTGGTGACAACCTTATTAGCAGTTCTGTTGAATCCCTGGCAACTATTAGAACAAAGATGTCTTATAGTAGTCAAATACAGGTTATTTTGTTCAGTATTTTATAGCCTTTGAAACACTTTTCCACATGGAAAAAACTCGTACGCTTTCGGCTTATTGATGTCGAAGTGAGGAGTGAATGTAGGATGAATAGAAATTCATTATATGCAAAACATATTTTCATTGCTGAGATCCCGTTGGATATTTTATATGGAAGTTGAAATTGCAATTTAAACTCGATAAGATCAAGAAAAAAAGTTTAAATATTTATTCATTAATGTATTTCAGATTCGTCGTGACGAGTTAATAACTGTTGCTAACGGTGATAGCTGTCGGATAAATAATTCACTTGATAAGGAGAAAAAGCCCTTTCCACCGGCTGTTGTAGTTGATCGAGCTCTACTTATGGTAATGCTTTATTCGGTTAAGATTATTTTTGATTTATTTCCGTTGTAGTTACTAACGTATGTAGTAAAATGAATCATCCATTAGTTATTTAGTTAAACCATATAAATCATCAGTTCATATTAAACATTATAGCTTGGGAAGACTAACTATAATCTTCTGCTAAATAACTGCGAGCATTTTGCAAAGTACTGCAGATATGGTCTGAAGGAAAGCAAGCAGGTAACACTTCTGTCTTTCTAATTCTCAGTATTTTTCTGCATATTTATATGATTTTAATGTTTAATTTTTTTTATCCTAAGTTCGAACCTCTCTCCTTCCACTTTTGCCATACCATTGAGATAAGAGGACTTCCATTGTTTAGTTTTCACGCAGTAAATTTTTAGGCAACAGTTGCAAAAATCATAATTGTAATCTCGGCAACATATTGCATGACAGGCTCGCTAGCAGTTTCAGCAGTTGCGGGCACTCTCACTTACACTTTCAGTCGTTTGGGACGTGGCATTAAACACTTCGTCCCATTCTATCCGAATGTGTTGCTGTAACTGTCAAGAATGGGCAAAGAGGTGCATGTGCTTTGCGCGTAATTATGTCGACTTACGTATCTGATTCCGTTTTTTTGAAATCTGATTCCTTTTTCCTTTGTCACAGACTCCGATTCTTTTTTCCTCTGAATCCTTTTTCCTTTGTCATAGACTTTTGTTTGTAGTTTGTGGTATGCATGCTTCTAACAAAATCAGCATGTATACGGGTTGCAATCATGTGTATATGTTATGGACAAGCAGTAAATATTGATATATTTAAAAAGCATACATCCTTTCATAGTGGTGTTATCCGTACGCGAAAGTATTGTGCTTGTTCCAAGTTAGAATTAGTCCCCCACTCGAATTTTTTTCGAAGATTATACCATGAACTTTCTTGCATCTTTTTCTCCCCGTGCTCATCAGTTCCTTACGCATTACTGTCCAAACACATTGTTCATCGTTGCTTTAATAAGTTATACTACATGAATGGAATCCAAATATGGATAAGGAAGACTTCACAAAGTTTCTGGAAACAGATGGTACCCATAAAAAACATGCAAGCGGGAGCTGTGATAAAAAGATAAAGAACATATAACATGACTCGTAAAAAAGTGTCACAGAAAAAAACAGTGATTCCGTCCACTCAAACTAATGGAAACCAACTTTCTTTTATGGGAAATATAATCTTTATTTACAAAAATACTGGCTGCTTTAATGTTATTTTTGCTTACTGCAATACAGTTTGTAAAATGGCAGTACGGTAACACACACAGATATCAGTGCTGAACCATCCACTTCCTCTACAGGTGAAGCAACCTCATAAATGCGTGACAGTGGATCTCTTCAGCAGGTTTCCTGTTCTGCGTTAGTTTGCTTAGGAACAGTAAGAGACACCAAAAAGTAGATATCCAGAACTTCTTAAGTGACAGTACGCTATTTATCACGTAAACTGCGAGACAAAGTTAAACCAAGAACCAACATTGTAGATACCTTTTCCTAGCTACCTGCTTCACCTTTCCTACACTGTCTCCAGAAGATGGAATCCTGCTGGATTAGTAAACGAAGCGCAGCAAACAAACATTCCGGATAAACTGAGACTTGTAGTACTACTACTTTTCCAAATCTTGCGAAGAGACAAAGTACAGTTGTAGATACAGTTGATACAGTTGACAAAGTACAGTTGACAAAGACAAAGTACAGTTGTAGTGGAACGTCGATTGCAGCAATTCGGAATTATAATAAGCAAAACGGATGTCAACACCATGGAAAAAATTACTGGAACTAAGTTTAGGCTTGAAATTCACAGGAAGTAAGAATGATGTTAAAAAGCGTGACTAAACATAAGGGATATCACAACTGCAGCGGAATTCTGTATCGGAAAAACAGAAAAGCTTGAGAAATAAAAGTACAAGAAATATTGGCTAACCAGAAAATGAGAACAAAGATGCACAACTGACCTACTGATTAGGGGTCCACATGAAAAAGGCTATAAAAAAACATGATGATTAGTTCGGTTCACGCTGATGACTAGACAAAGTGGATTTAAACTGTCAGTACACTAGCGCGTTATAACATACAACAAAGAGAAAATCTGATCTGAAGCAATTATCATACATTAAAGAATTCTACAAAGAAAATTAAATGAAATCCGGCTAGTAAGCTCTTCCCAGATATAAAACAACGGAACAACAATGTAAAAAAACTGGGTTACAAATGCAGGCAAAATATTGCCTTAATGAACTGTGTGAAGTAAACTGTTGCAAAATCAATTTTGTAACTCATAAAGCTAAACTTGTGATTATTATTATATTATTACACTATTAGAACATATAAAAATATAACAGGCAAACAAACATCATAATATGATGCCTTATAACACTCACAATCTTAAGCTCGACAAACACGTATTTTGCCTGAGAATCATTTCTTCGTCCTTTTCTTATTGAGAGGGTAATTCATAATTTCTTTTCAAGATGGTAAATCGTTAGATGAAATAAAAGTACTTTCAATCTTCACTCTGCAAGCAAAATATTTTAAAAGCCAGTAAAAAATAAGCTAATTTTAAATGAAACAAAAGGTGTCTCTTCTAGACCATACTAACACAAACAACATTGCAATGAGAACAGGGAAAATGAAACCAGAAGCTAAAGCCTACAAATTACTAAATCGAAAACGGACCTCGGATGACTCTTCCAGCCATTCTCGATCTTGTGTTGCTATAAAATCTTCTTCTGCATACTTAGTATCTTCATTTTGAATCTGTTTTTTCTGCAAGCCAAAAAAATCACCAAAGAGATACAAGTCCGCAAACACTCATCCATTACTTCATTACTCTTCTAAGCTTACCATCGTAGCTTCTTCATCCAAAGAATCATTATCAGCGTGATTTATTAGACCAGTCTCCCATAAACCCGAAGATGGAGAATCAGCTTTTCTGGGCATACACCTATAAAGGGATTACATAAGGCACACCTTCATTTGGGTCATCCCAACCTGTCCAACTGAAGCTTCGCTATAGAAAACGCAATCAACTAAATATTAGCTTCAAAAATGCTTTTGCCTTAAGCTTTTAATCTCCCTGTAATATTCATAGGGGCATGGGAAAATTACACAAAACGAATTAAAATGACATCAATACTGAAGTCCCGATACCAAAAATGAAAAAATAGTCGAATCTGAAACAACTGCAATCAAATAATATTCGACCAAAAAGAACTATTCACTCTAACTACAAAACAAATATCAAATATACCTATAATTCGCCGGAGGATGAACTGATTTAGAATCTGCTCGCTGTCTGAAGAAGTATTTACGCAAATTAGCATTCTGTAAGCGTGGGTCACATCGCCAAGGTTGGTCAGATATAGCATCTGCTGAATAAGAACTTGATGAATGTGATGATGTGCTGTCAGAAAGGCTTTCAAATCTGGATTGTCCACTTTTTTTCCGCATCTGTAATGTTAATATTTTTTTAGGAGAAACTAATTAAATATTAAAATACTTCGTGGATAAAAATTAAGAGAAGTTACCTCCTCCGTTCTAGATGCATCAATTTTTGCTTGTGCTGCATACATATTTTCGATACATTTCTTTGCTAGTTCGACATCGTCCTTGTTATCAACATCAATGCACCTCACCACCACATATATCTAAACAAATCATGAGCAAAGGACTAACAACTAAACAATTAGCCAAAAATTACAAAAATAACTGAATGTCTTACTTTCAAGCCCTTATTTACTTTATCATGCTTGAAAGCTCGGTCTACTTCCAGAACGCTGAATGTTAGGACATGTTCGTAGGGTCGACGCATCAAACACATGGGACCTCCACAGTCTAGCCTGACTGAAAGTAGAATATTATTTTTACTTGAAAAACGAAGCTTTTTACATTTTTATGCCGGAATAATTAAAATAACCTTCAGGACTTCGAGGGATAGCAGTGCCGGATGGAACTGATTGAAGATGCTTCTTATACTTACCGCCGGCCAAATGCTTTGTGTGTGCATCTCGTAACATTGCCATGATTTCTTTTCGTGGACTAAATGTCAAATATCCTGCATTAAAAGTATTAAAGTATCTTTTTTCACTTCCTAGTCTCTTCATATTTTCTTAATCATTTTTTTAATTCAAAGTACCAGTGATGCCTGCTATATATTACCAACATATTACCTGCTGCCTTTTAATTTGAAAAAAAAAAAAATGTAAAACTAACGGCTGCCGTCCAAGCTGTTCAGGATATATTAGAGGCAAACATCGATAAGGGCAATGTTTTTCAAGTCCCGGAGGAGAATCAATATTGCACTCATGCGATACTGCAAATTTTTTAACCATTAATCCATTTTTTGCTCAAGAAAAGTATTAAAGAAAAATGATTACATATGATAAAAACCCGGCTAACATTACTGTCCACAAAAATAGTCGATATTACCTGATCCTTCGTTTTTCATATGGGATTTTTTCTCATACCGTTTCCTTCTATTACTACGACTACCATCAGAAAACCAAGTATTTTTAAGAATGCCATTTGCTGTTTCGCAAGATCGAGAATCGATAGGCGGCCATGGACTGGATATCGTTGCTTCAATGCAAGTTTTATTAAATACTGCACAATAAGCAATACGGGCTCTTCATATTCGGTTAGAATGAGTGCTCATCGATTTTTCAATTTTAGCTAAATCCCAGTTAATTAGAAGAAGTTGCTTGAACTCAGATATATTGAGACCTATAAATATGTTTCATTTAAAAAATACAAAAAGTTTGAAAAAGAAAAATAGAGGCAAAATTTCAAACTGCTTACTTGTACCTTTTGGATAAGGATACGCCTCGTCACCATGTACATAGACCCCACCACAATATCCAGGACAAGTAAACATTGTATTGAACCAAACATGCCCTAGCTTCTCTCGATCTTTCTGTAAATATGATACATTATCAGAACAAACAAATTTATCAGTTGCATTTTCCATTAAAGCCCGGGTTCTCTTTTACACCAAAAAGATATAAAAATTCTCTTCGAGATGAAATCTCACAGTCTACGTGTCTTAATGAATCCCTTAAAGCTTCAAAATTTATAAGGCAGTTACTATTACCGACATTTTCTAGGAAATTAACATACATTAAATTTCTTCGACAAGTAGCTATGAACTGAATATCGTTGCTTAAATGCAAATTTTATTAACGATATAAAAATATGCCTTACCAAAGTCCATCCCAGACCTTTAAACCACTTCTTCGCATAAAAATCAATTCGAACGTCACCTTCCATGAATACTCTTTGCGTCGCTGGAACACTCCATCCATAACATCGCCTATCAACCAATAAATTATTTTATAAAACTTTTTATTTGAAAAGAAACTTTTCTTAGGTTAATTTCTTAGGTTAATTTTCTTAGGTTAATAGAAAAGCTGGAAATTAATATACCTTGAAATGCAGTCTTTGCCCGGTTGTGGGTCATAAGGATTGAACTGATCTTCCCCTACAGAGCATGGATACCGCCCCCACAGTGCCTCCTCTTCATCAAAATCCCGACCACTTAATCGAAGGGGTCCAGGAATAAACACATCTATATCGCCATTAGCAACTCGCAACCGATATGCTCCATCAAGTAAGATACCTGAAAGGAAAGACCTTGATAAGAAAGATTAACTAATTTGAAAAAAGAAACACGCTTTTATAAAATTTTAAAGGACAAAGCCATCACGTGGAATTTTCAATTTAAAACATGAAATCCTATTATCTAGAATTTCCTCCACCACTATATCCACTTATTCACCACTGATGATGAAAAAGTCAAAACAGAAAATAATATGCGTTAATGAAATATAGCAATAATAAGCATGATAATGATGATGACACTTTGTTTTTCTTTTCTCCGTAAAAACACTTATTCAAAATTTATGAAAAAGTTCCATATGACAGAATAAAAACATAATTAAAGCAAAAGACGAAAGAAAACTCAAAATACAAACCATTCAATCTGGGAGGACGTTCAAAGTATACACCAATAAGTTCACAACGAAGCGGCATATAATTGAGATTGCGTTTCCTTAAATGTGAAAAATAATAAACGTAACGTCGCTGAGATGGTATGGTTACACCCTGAAATAGTGTTACTTATGGCAACATAAACACAAGAGAGTAATCTGTATACATTTTTACATGAACTTCTGCAGCAAGCATCTCAACTTACTTTATTATTAACAGTCCTTACAATACTATAGTAATCCATATTTTGTCTTGGTGAATAATAAAAATTTATATACACGAGATAAGCACAAATCATTACACCCGTACGTCCTTTACCCGCTTTGCAGTGTACAGCAACAACATTCTGCTCATCAGCAGCCAAATAGTCATGCACCTACAATGAAGAACAACATTTTGGAAAAACAATTAGTAAAGTCAGATGTCCATCCACTCACAGTCTTTTCTTGAATGAATTGTAAATGTGAGAGGAAAAAAGTCAACTATTCCTCATTTCTTATCAACTGCTACTTCCGACAAATAAAAAAAAATGTGTTCGGGATGAATGAACACATTTTATCTGGTGCTTAAAGCAAAAAGGAGAAGCTGCTAGTCCAAAACCACTTAGTCACCTAGAAAGGTCAATCCACTAAAGTTATTGAATTTGCTTTATGCTTATTAAAAAAGATATCAGAGATGATGTTTTCAGAAAGATCAGTATTTATGCATCACGGAGCAAGAGTACAAAATTAAATGGAATTCACTAAGTTGATTTCATTCTACAAAAAGCAGAAACATTATATTATAGTTACCACAAAAACTTACAGCACGACAAAAAGGTGCCATCAATTCCAGCCTTGGTGGATGATGGTCATCCATCTCAAAGGTCATGACGCGATTGTGGAAATAACTCGGGTCGTATGCATGTCGCCCACGGCTAAAACATTCAAGGATTTATAAAGCGAATTTTATTACGAACTATTTTTTTAGTTTATCGAAAGTAAAAATATGACATTACTCACAGATTGAAAACCATGTAGTGATCAGCATGATAACGTTCTAAAAACGCAACTGTTGCTTCCATGCTATTCCGGTAAATTTTTTCTTGATCTATAGCTGGAAAGCCCATTGCAATGATCCGGTCAGTGATGTCTACAAAAATATTCCTACTGTCATTTAGTATAAAATACAACGATATAACTCTCAAGTCAAAAAACAATTTTTATCCTACGTTCTCTGACTAGCAGCTAGGTGATTGCTTTTTCAGTGCATAAAATGAAAATCATATCACGCAAGCTAAATTCTTTCATACCAGTATAATTTTAAAATGCAGGGAAAAGAGAGGGGATACATGATGGATATCAAAGACGATTTTCCACCAGAAAAAATCCAAACTTAACAATAATTCCCTAAACCACATTTACGTGATGCCATTTTCGTCCAAGCTGCGACTAGTAAGAACTGGTTCCAGTTTGAAAATAATACAAAAGAGAAAAAACTAATCAGTTCCATGTTCGTGACAAAAAGATCTAAATCGAAGTTATGGAAATATAAGCCTACATGTAAGATCTAGATCGAAGTTATCCTTTTTGTAACGCCTCCTGTTTTGACTGACCAAATTCCTCCACGGATTGCAAATCACATCGGACGTTTTGGATGTTACACAAAGAACGTTAGAAAGAGAAGATGCTAATGGTGGCGTTCCCGTTTCCGGCATCGTTAAAAAAGCAGCAGAACCTGCAGAGGTCGATGCGATAGCCATGGGTTCCGTTATCGCCGCTGCCATCCTATGCGAAGAATCATTTGATCTATCCTAAATTATCGAGATCACTTTGAAACAAACTAAGTTTGCTGGTTTATCAAATTCTCTGAACATAGAAAATGAGTAAAAAAGAATAAGAAATGCGACACTTAGAAAGTTGAGAAATAATGACAAGACGTTACCAACCGTTACAATCAGTGACAAGCTACCTCCTATTGGTTAGAAATTAAGGAGATCTAATTGTCGTGAAAATATAACCACTGCTGCTAATAATCAAGATTTATAACAGGAGCTCGTTAAATTCTAATCATCCAGAAATAATCCTGGTATTCACTCCACTGAAACAGAAAAACTTCAATAACTAAATTAATATAACAAGTAAAACATTCACTGTTACGCCAAACAATCTCCAATCGATCTCAAGAAAACCCTGAAGATAAGCGGTAAACGGAGGTTAGAATGTGATGATGGGAAGCAACTGGAACATCACTACCTCAATATTATCTCATTATATTCATCAGACTCTAAATTAATACGTCCAGCTACTACCTAAATAGAAGTATAAGGGTGGGTGTTGCAGACGACCAACCAAATACGACATAAAACCGCCTTCACTACCCATGACAATTTTTTCTAACGATCCATCGCAAGGTAATTCTTGGTACGGCGAAACATGAAATATGCCCATCAACACTTTTATATTCTTTGTGTAAGCTTAACCATTTGTTGTCTTATTATTCTTTTCAACCTGAACCATATGCTTTTTTTATATAACACAATAAAAAAAAAAAAAGAGCTCTACTTCATACATCATCTAGAGAACTACAAATTCCCAACTGTTTCACAAGTTATAAAATTTAATTAGGAAGATTAAAATAAAAATTAAAGAAAAATTCTCCAAGTGTCTACGACGCACACAAACTTAAGAATCGCCATTAGAAAGACATGCTCGAAAATCCATATATTTAAATGAGTGACTTTTGCTAAAAGCGTCTAGTCATCTTGCTGCTATTTAAAGAGCAAAATAACGCTTCATAGCCATGTGAGATGACAAGACTGTGAAATGTAGAAAGGGGAGGAACTGTCTGTAATAAAAAACTTCACTTCTCTACTACAAGTTCGTTTTTATGTAATTTTCCCTAGTGAATGACAGAAATATTCAACAGCATAGTACCAACACTTTTTAACATAATCTTCTCGCTTAGTTCCTGATCCTGATCCACTTCTGTATGTCAAACATGACACGATACTTTATGTTCCTTTTCATTCATTAACAGATTGATATAAAGCCGCAACGCATTAGGAGAAAACAATGAATTCACAAACTGCATTCATCCGTAGAATAAGGAAGGAAATAGCACAAGTAGCAAGAGGGAAAATAGGAGCCACAACCAGGTTTTGAAAGAAGAAAAAATGAATTCCTCAACTATCCTCTCCATTTTGCTTAGCTTTTCAGCACATTTAATTGCTACCACTTCTTTGTTATTACATATGTGTTCGTCCATGATTTGCCCTCTCTCTTTCACTCTTCCTCCTCCTTCCACCTGTTTTCACTCGATTCACCTTATAACAGACATGATTTCAAAAACCATTAAATTTAAAACCTTTTTCGTAATGTTTGAAGAACCAAGAAGTACGAATAAATGATTCGCGAAACATATGTAGCGTGCAAATGGACTTTAAACGAAGCGCATCATTCTAAAAAAGAAAAAGTGGATGGCTGTGAATGTAGAGAGAGTAAGAATAGAAGCTAACTTGTCTTCGTACATACACTTAACATTTCATAGCAAAATCTGGCCAAGGAATGGATAATTATAATTCGGAAATAATCCAAAAATGCAATTTTATTGCGCAGCTTATTGATCTATTTCCCTCCTTCTACATTTTGTTAAATTTCTTGATTTATGACATAGTTTGTCAAGAACCAATTTGTGTAACTGGAATTGTATTCTGATTAATAATCACTGCTTAGTTAGCGGTCAATGAGGAAAGATCAAGGATAATCGGGTAGCAGCATGAAAGTGATGGGTGATGAGTTTTCCTTTAGTTGCTTAGTTGCACCTCTAGTTACCAAGCTGTTTACATATAATGCTCCCAATTAATAAACCAACAATTCAACATCTTACACAACATCACATTCTTGACAGGTAATCTGGCCATCTCTGTTTTCTACTATAAGTAATTTTTTGCTATATTTATGTATAAAACGCAGTATGACATCTGGTAACAGATGAATCATAGTAGAGGCAAAATTTGCTAAAAACTAGTATTTCTTGAAGCATTTAAGAATTTTTTTTTTTTAAGAAATTTTTTTCGTTTTTGTAGCACTTAGTACATCATCCTAGCAACATCAGAAAATGTGCTGCACTGAATAAGATAATAAGACTAATAATAATTAGTACACTACCGCCTTACGATATTATTTCTTTTTCCTTCATAAAAGATATGATAAAAACTTATGTGTGAAAGAATCTGAGTTCTACTCAAGTAATGAATTGAACTCAAGAATACGAAGATTTAAGAGGAATCTAGAACAGAGAAATGGTACTCTGCAAATGGCGTTAAGGCCATAATTGAAAATTCCCATGAGGATAACCACAGGGAGGCGGAGTCTAACACTACTTCCGTTACAGGAAGTGCCATCATAATTCGAGGATTACAATATTGAAGGTGGAGATTTCAAAATCGAATATGCTATTTATATGACTCTTTTGCACTAGTATCTTTTATATGCTTCTCATAAACTCTGAAGCCATAAAGGCTTCTCAAAAATACCGTATCGATATTCTCACGGATGCTCCATGGATTTCACAAGACGAAGAGACAAATTAAATCAAATCATGTCAATGGTTATCCGATCCCTGATTCGTTCATGTCTTATGTCCATAAAACATCTGTACTTCAGATTTCGTTCCTTCATGGACCGTACGGAATACAAATGAGTTTCAGTTTCTTCCAATTTATTGATATACCCTTCCCTGCCCTATTAATTATCATTCTGTCTAAAACAAGTTATCTCAAAATACTATCAAAGACAGTATTCCTACGAGCAAGGTATAAAAAAGCGATATCACTTACACTGGAAAAACTACCCACCACGATATCATAAGATACGCACGGAGGAACTTCATGTTCAACGCAAGATATCCTCAAGAATTTACCACGGCACGTTTGGTTTTCATTTACTTACACTGAAAAAATATCGCTCATCACTGTAGTTTTCCCCTCAGAAAAAAACAATTTGATAAATAATAGTTAAAAACCCCACGACAAAATACGACAGATGCACAAGGGATATTTCAGTGTGGTTTAAAACTTATGATTTAATGACTTTGACAAACAAAGGTTTCCTATCAAATGTCATCTTCCAAAGGGGTATACTAGCAATAAATGCTGTATGCGAATAATCAATAATGTACAACGTGATATAGACATATGGATTAGCAATCCCTGACTGTAACTAAATCAGTGAAAAAGGATAAACGTATGAAACAAACGCATCTACTTAACAGAATGCATTAGTATCATCGGTACGAAAAGTGAGTGGTATGGAAATTACCGTAACTTTGGATAGCTTAAAAACCTTTTCGACAAAGAGTGAGTGAAGTATAGCAAAAGAGTAAATACATATATGTTTGAAAAAGCACAATGATGAAGAAAGAACCTGCAGTATTCACAGTCTGGAATAAAAATTTGAGAAATAAAAAACAGTATCAGTCCATCTGTATGACAACACAAGATGAATGTATAAAACGGTAGTTTGAAACATTACTATAGCTGCTTTCTCACATTTGTTCTCACATCCACCCCACGAAAAAAGGTTAAATTATGGATAAGCCTATCAGTTTTAACAATTATGAAAGTCCGAGATGCAATATTACTACCAAAATTGCAGTAAAGGCAGATTAAATAACTAAGGGTATAAAATGTAGAAGTGACGGATCACAGAAAACTATTTCAGTTTGTAAAAGATATAAAACAGCAACATACTTGAATAAAAAGAAAAATCAGGAGGAAATCCTACGGTCACATAGAATAACACTTAAAATTATTTTATATTAGTTTATACGCTTTAGACAACTTCAATATTAACAAAACAAATTACTACTACAAAAAATCGACAGAACTATTTTAAAAAACTGATCCATAAGTTGCAAACAAGGGTCGCATTCCGTCAACAGTACACAAACAAAATGTTATCATTAATTAGAAATGTTTTTACTCCAATTTTTGATGCAAATATGGGTTAGACTTCTATAATAGTTCGACGTAAACACAGACTGTATGAATTCCACACCTCAAGAAAAAATTTTCTAAACGTTTGCTCCAAAACATTTCAATATATACGACAAAAAAGGTTTTTTCATGCTGCGAAATATTTTGCAAAACTGACTGCATTTCAATCGTTTTGCGATGAATCTTTTTTCTGCAAATTCTCTATTTGTCTATAAGGAAACGAAACAAAATCTCTTACCATCCTGGAACGAATACCGCAATGAAACAGGAAACGAGCCTTAATACTCCTCACTAATTTAACTACACCACCTACTGTATTGTAAAACAAAATTAGGTATCGGCTTACAACACTCTAAATCATTTCAGTGAATTTTACGGGATGGTCATTTAAAAAAACCATTCGATTACTACTCCATATTTCAATAACGATTTATAAAGCGAATACCAGAGATGAGGATGTACTGAAGAAACATCATTTCAATGTTTACTGCAATCATTTCTAGCAAACACGATAAGTTTCTTCTACTTCATATGATTTTACTTGATTTACAATCAATTCTGATGCAGTCATTTCTGTAGTTGAGAAAAAACATTATCCAATAATACATGATAACTTAAACGTTTATTAATCGAACGATACAATATTTTTTTGAACATCTGCTCAAATCTGTAACTTCAGCATTTCAAAACTTCTCAGTTATAGTATTAAAAAGAAAGAATCCTTGCAACCTAAACATAGGACTATGAGCGGAATCATTTTGCAAAGAGAAATGAAGCTTTTAAAAGTTCTAAATAACAAGGTATAAAACACATTTTATGGGAAGCAGACGTGGAATAAGACAGGCTAGGTCACTGCTCGGAGAAAATCAATAATGGTGCAGGCTACTGTTAACAGCAAGAGAGTAAAGTCCAGCCTTAGCCAATGACGTCATTCAAAGATTAGAAATCACTGTAAGTGACAGATGTCCAAAAATTTTAATCCAAGAAATAACTTACTAATACTCAAGTAAAAAGTATTACATGGTCCATTAAGTCGACAAACTTTTCCCCAGCATATAATAACATCGCGAAGAAAATCCACATAATTCGCTTAACTCTAGTATGCTTTGTACAGAGGAATATTTGATGAAGCTGATATCTGTATGTGATTCTGATTTTATCTTTTTCCTTTCCATACAGTTGCTCTGAGCTTAAATGTTGCGATTAAATGGTCATGATTATTTCACAAGAACCATAACCGGGATTTTTTCGAAACAGACAAAATATAACTGTCGAACACTCACCGTCCTTTAACTGCACCATTATTTAAGGACACAAATTTACTTATGTAAACTTACTTCAGGATTAATAGCTGCATAAATACAAGCTTCCAGGTGCGCTTATATCTCAAAAGGATATGGATTACAGAGAACAATTAATAAGCCAAAAAGTGAAAATCGGCTGAACCAAACTAAATAAAAAAGTATTAGTCAAAAAAAAAAAAACTATAAAACACAAAAGTAATAAATGGGTATAAATTCAACGGTTTTCTGGCTTCACTACAAGCATGTGCTATTTCTAATGCCGAAACATCAATATGCTTTGATCAACGAGCACTCCGAACATAATATGACCATTGTTAATTCGAAAGCGATTTATACCACATTTTGTAGACAACCTTATTTAACTAGAATATATTCCACCTTTCTTCAAAAAAAAAATCGAACGAGTTTTTGTTTTTTGCACAAAAAGTTTTTGCACAGGAAAACTCATCTAAAATTCTTACTGGCCGAGACTATGAGAACTGTTCCACAGAATATAAAGTACAAATTTGCCAGTAAACAAAATGCTGCAATATGAGGCTCTAAGTTTGAATATCTAGAACATTGCAATTAAAAAAAATGTCGACTCTATAAGATGGAGACACTTATGCTTACAACTAACCTCATCCTTGCTCAACCAAAAACCGATGAGGATAAAATACAACGATGCACGAACAGATATTTGAAATGACAGCAGTTTTAAATAGCGAAATATTCTTAAAAGTTTTAAAGTTCAAATGAAACTAATATTAATGAATGACAAAATAATTTAAATGTTGATATTTTATCAACTGCACCAGTCATTCACAACAATCTTCTGCATCAGCTAAAAGATACAAGTCCAAAGAAATATTTGAAGTATACAGTACACGCATCAAACGAAATGAATTCCAAGTAGGCTCTATTTAATAAACTCAATTCAAAAATTCTGTATAATTCAATAAAACTTGTCAACAGCACTCAGAAAATAACAACTACGAATGTTAGCAACTTATTCACTTTTTTACTTACAAAATGACACATTCAATAAAGCACTGCTATTATGAATTACCGGATGTAACACATCCATTTCGAAGCGATATTTCTTTGTAAATGAATCAAACAAACAGCGCTGGAAATTTATTTTCGAGGCGTACAATGTCAAGGCATAAATAGGAAGGTGTTTCTCTTATTCATTTGAAAAAAAAAAAGTTACTGAGAAGCCTGGTAGTGATCATTAAAGGATTCTACACTGCACTACAAGTGTTACTATCAGTAGGTGACATATTGGTTACTACATTACTTAAAACAAAATATTTGTCCTACCGGAGTGCTTCACTCAACAAAACAGAAGGAGAATAACAAGGCAGGCTTAAATGAAATAGAAAAACATAGAAAAATGTAGATGTATCAACAAACGTAAACAAAGTTCAGAAAGAAAAAAACCGAATTTTGTAGCTAATCAAATGAAATCGCAGCATGCCAATGCTATTATTTCACAGTAGGAAATTAGTTAACCATTAACTGCTCTAACATCACAGCAATGTCTATGAATCCTTCCATTAGATCCACTGGAAATGCGAAATGCTTCAGAAATCATAGTAGAGAAACAACCGCCGGTACAACTTAAACTGCTCGAACATAACCACAAAATAAACACTCCTCACTCTCCACTTTACAAACTCCTCAACTCAAGGTAGCAACTTATCTGAACTGAACCATCGATTCCTTGAAACCAATTCTTGAAAACAAGAGAGTGGCATAGTCATTGCATATGTCACTGACTAAGGAAACAATATGCAAACATTTGTACCACACCGTTCCAGAGTTTCTAGTATCTTAAATTAAGGAGTTACTAGTTCCCACACCTTTATGGATGTTTCTTTGAGCTTTTTTTCCGATTTATTTTAGAATTCCGAAATCAGTTTTCTTCCTGGGAAAGTTGCAGTTCCTTCCTAAGCAATTTTGTCGTCTGAAAATATGTTTTTGCAATCTGAAAAGTTGTGTTTTTTTCTGAAGGAACGATATCGATTCATCCAGGCCATGCTTGTCTGTTTCGTTGTCTTTTAAAGCATTTATTCAGCAGTTTGGCATTTTCCATCGCGGAAGGGCTACCGTATTCCTTACCAGCTTTTGACTTTATTTCACTGCTCTTCAGACCTTTGCAGATTCGTAAGAAAGGTTGCATTAATGACATATGAACTGGTTTGTAGAAATTTTCGAAAAAATAGCAGCAACAATAAGGCAAGCCACCAGCAAATTTATGTGATTTGTTTACTGTACTAATAGTGCTTCTCTTCCTGCCCTCCTGTTATGATGCAGTTTGTCGTTGTTTCTCTTGTTTATTTATATTCTATCTATGTTCTTTTCAGTCCTTTCTCCTCATTTATCATTCTAAACAGCCTGTACTTGTTGAAATTGTCACTTTAACTTCATCTTTCCTTGCATAATGGAAGGTTTTTCGGAACGTCTCTTGGTAAGTGTCATTTGATATTTTCTTTACTGTCACTGCTCATTCTCTTCCTGAATTCGTGTTATACCATATTATGATCAATACCAGTAGTGCATTAGAGTGATATCCTTGTACAAATGGAATTTATACAGCGATAAATTACTGAAACTGAGAAAATAAATCTGCGACCCACAATTTTCTTCAGTAGAATCGCTTATGTGGGTATGAAGATGCAAAGATTGGAAGATCTTGTTGACTTTTCAGTCATATCAAAAATAAAAAAATAAGTTATTACAGGAAATACTAAATGATGGGATGCTCTCTATTGGACTTGTCATGGGTCATAAGCTTCAACTGTTCGATACCCTTGCTGCTGTATCATCGGAGAATGAACCAGCCACTTGTACAATGGTAGCTGAAAAAGCCGATATGAAGGAACGGTAATATCGCATTGCAAACTTCCAATGTACACTAATTTACATATTTGAAATTCGGAAATGGAAAATTTTAGTTATGTACGCGAATGGTTATGTCTCATGGTCTGTGGTAAGATTATAGAGGTGGATGAGAGTGGCGAAAAATTTTGGATCAGAGAGGAACGCATTGGAGATCTCTGTGGTGATGAACCGAATACATTGCTTGCCATCCAGCAATCTGTTCTTATATTTGCCAAGGCATACCCTGCTGTCATCGAGCTCTTCAAGAAAGATGTGCCACTAGGTATGTTAAATAGTTTGTTTCATTGAAGGATTTGGTCCTTCTAAACATTATTCTGGACGCATATTTACGTTGCATGCCTAATTTGATTGTCGTAAATAAATGCCCCTCACATTTTATTTTTTTTATTTTTTTTTTAATGCAAAATCATAATTGCGTCAATGCTTTGCTGACGTTATCGCTTTTTCCACTTTCCTGCCTCTTGATGCTATTTAAGTGCAAACACATCTGACACTGATTCCCAATTTATTGTAATTGTTATTTTGCGCCAAGCTCTCGTCCCTCTTTTTTCCTTATCACTATTATTATTTAAAGAGATTTTTTATTATTTGAAAGGAATTTCAAATAGAAAATTGAGTATTGGTAGCTCTGCATTTTTTACACATATTTTCCAGATCTTAATTTATAACATTTGATAAAATCCAGTAACTCATAAAATTTGCGAGTGAACTACTTTGCTATTGCACTCTACTGTATTAATTGAAAATATTTTCAGGGATAGACAATAAAATGTTTGATGAATTTGATAAAACGATGGCATCAGTTTCAGAAGCTGCAGATAAAAAAAATATTATTAGCAAATTTGTACCTGTGACAGGGATGCAGAACAAGTTGGAAGAAGGTGGAATTCATGTTCTCCATGTAGGTTGTGGTCGAGGAATGCATATTGCAGAATTAGGTACATTTTTCCATCTCCAGAATCAACAGTGCTGTGAAGACCATATGCTTAATCTATTCGTGATACGTTGTTATTTCCTAACGTTAGGAACTAACTGCTAATAGTTCTTAGGGAGTCATTACCCAAAATGCTTTTTCACTGGAATTGATACGTCACTCGAAGCTGTTATTGGAGCAAACAAGAAAAGAGATGAAGCTAATGCTGGCCTCGATAATGTATCGTACATGCAAATAAATAGTCAGATGATGAAGAATGAGTGGACGGAGAAGTTTGATTGGGTGATGATGTTCGGCGCTTGCCATAACCAAATGAGACCTGATCGCGTAAGATCATTTTCTTTCATTTTGCTGACATTTCTTTTTAACAACAGTTTATACGTATGGATAGATTCTTAAATAAAGTATAAAGGTTCATCGACAAATAGAAGAAAGAGAACTTATTCTATTCCATGATTCAGTGCTTGAAAGAGATATATCGAGTTCTGAAACCAAATGGTTTATTTTCGATGTTTGAAACTAATGGTACAAGCAATGTTTATAAAGATAAAGAAATAAATACATCCATATATATGTATGGCATGTCACTTTCACATTTCCTTCCTGTCGGAATTAATTCTGAAGGTAAAAATTATTCATTCACTCTGTAAATTATGGTGATGTTAAGTGCGCAAACCGAATAATTTATTTTTTATAATTGAGAACTTTTTTGTCGAATGCCGTACATTTCGTCTTGGATTAAAGATAAGGATTTCTTATGTGAAACCAAACAGTGTAGAATATCAAGACGTAGCAACTTCTCTTAAATCATTCATTATGTTTATCGAACCTTGAAAGGGATTAAGCAGTGATCTTTTGTTTCCGAGCATTTTTTAAAACTTCCGCACAAGAAAACAACAAATTTATTTAATGCTACAGTTTTCAAGTTCAATTTCATTCATTGGAAAACTTTTTCCGGATTGCTTTGAAGTATCTCAGTTCGTATTACTTTGCCCCTTTTTTCTGCTGTATATGTTCAATATCGAAAAAGCGAAAGTTGACTTTATAGTTTTAGGATGTTGGGTAACTTTCATATATATATATATATATATATATATATATATTAAATGAGTCTCAGTTGAATTGTCGAGAATTTTACATCATCCCGGGAAGTGGAAATGCCTATTTTGAAATTATACTCGATTTCATTTGCCGCAGTGAAATGCAAAATTTCCAGCAGTGAAGAAACACTCTGAAGCGTCAAGTCGGAATTATTTAGTTGTTGGATAGCTTATTTTCGTATTTTTTGCATCCACTCAAGTTTATTTCATTACTGTTTTCAGATGCAGTGGGACTCGATACTATGTGGGGACGTGAAAAAGCTAAACAGCTACTTGGTGATGCTGGCTTTGAAAAAGTTGAAATCCATCCGAATCCGTTTTCGGAATTCCGCGCAGACATTCTCTACTTATGCCGCAAATAAATATACTTTTTTATCTTTGTTCAATAAAAAATTAATTTCTAAGCTTTTCGAATAACACTCCACATTTCAACAACAACAGGTACTACGATTTCTCAGGTATTCAGTTTAAGCATGCTTTATTCACGGAGTAAAATTTCATCTGTTGTTAAACCTCAGCAATGGATATAGATAAAGTACAATGATTAAAAAAGGTACTCTGCTAAATCAACAGGAGGTGTTTGTCTTATATTATTAACAATGAGAAATTTTGTACGTAAGAGATGAGGAAAAAGAAAAGATATTCTGTTTGAGTTCTCCCAAATTATTTGATTGCTTCTGTATTTGACAATTCAAATTGGAAGGATTGGAAGTTCTGTTACATCATAAAATGTGGTCTTCCTTCCTCAGCTTTGAACAGTTATAGTTTGTAACCATTACCAAGTTAGTGGAACAATGAGGATATGTTAAATGAACAAAAACGGTGGAAATGTTGTAATCGGAAGATATGTGTTGCAAATCAAGTTTATAGATGCGGTGCAGCATGAAAAATGATGTGTAAAGGTTTGATCAAAGCGAAAATGATGAAATGAATCGAGTCTCTGCCTGAATATATTTTACTCGAAAATGTCCTTCAATCAAACTATTATTTCAGCGTTAAAAGGCGGAGCAATCTCTGAATTGTCTGACATGCATAGTTAGTTGACCGATAGAAATGGTTATATATTTTATTTTATTTATTTAAATGTTTATTTATACAATTAGAAATCATACATGTTGGTTCTGTAGTGTTTGACAGCAAACTGTACAGAATTCACTTAAGACATATATGTAATTATATGTTACTTCAGATGTCAACCATTCATCATCAACAACAGTCTGTTCTTATCACTGGGGCAAATCAGGGAATAGGTTTACTACATTTCATTATCATTTCAGTAACAAAATCTGGGCTCGCAATTTTATTTGATCATGAATCATCAATCTTTTTTTGCTTTATCCATTTCCGGTGAAATGTAACCTTTGCATTAGACAAACTTTATGCAAAAAAATAGACTAAATCTTTAATATAACCAGCTTAAATTGTACCTCAATTGCGCCAAAAGCATCGGAAATGGAAGTTCGGAAGATTTTTAATGATTTATAATTAATAGAAAATTAATAGTTGTCTGCTTAAACATCAATAACGGTTAATTCATGAAGGTCCATTTAGTCTCTTAAAATGAATCTTTTTGATTATAAATTATTTAAAATGATAAATGAATAGTTTCAGTTAAATTCAAATTTAAAATATCAAAAAAAAAAAAAGGATTGGGATACAAACAGGCCCTGTCAATGACCTAACCATTCTTATGGAAGGCAACATACTGTCAACCATTTACTACTTATTTTAATCTGTTTGATAACTAAATTATCGGAAGAAATAATATCCTTAAACAGTTACATTTAGGTTATCATACCGCACTTCAACTATGTGCCAAGGGATATCGCGTTACCATTGCATGTCGTAATATTTATAAGGCAAAATATGCTTGTTCGTCTATTATTAAACGATTGGTTTGTGATTCTATGTTGTGACATTTCACTTAGTTTTTTAAAAAGAGACTTTCGCTTAATTTTTGTCGAAACTTCTTTAATCATAATAATAAACCAAAATGTTATTGAAAATAACTACTACTGCTGTACAGTTACTATTGGGAATAGTAACTGTACAACAAGATTGAGTATTTTCAAGCTTATTTATTTTTCATTCAAAAAAAAAAGAAATTTTATTTTCTTTTCTAAATATATTTTTTTTCTAATTTTAAGAATTTTGGAGGGAGAAAAAGTAAGTAAAGAATTAAAGGAAAATGTTATAAAATGAGTAAAGTTCTGTTCCCTAGATCATGCTATTTATCATATTTATTTGTACTTCTACCAGTTACAATCGAGAAAAGTAATTGCAATACATTTTTTTTAAAGTTTCAAGTATTTTTTCAGGGTAATAACGTGTTCATTGATTTCATTGCCATTGATTTGAGTGAGCTGTCATCAGTTTCGGAGAGTGTTAGTGTGATTGCTGCTCAAAAGCGGTGAACATTTCATGTTTCTCTATATTATACAATAGAAACAGAAAAATTTCAGTTTCTCACTGTAACAAATTTTCACATTCTCTTCGAATTTCTCTATATTTATTTCGATAGAAGAACAAAGTGCATAAGTTGTGCTTAAGCTAAATGCGGAAAGTAAAAAGGAAATTTTTGGATGAGAAAGCTTTAAAAATGAACTTAAACTTATTGATTAGAAGAATTTCTAGTTCAAATCCATGCTGATCCGTTTTCTTAATATTTCATCCATTTATCTTCGAGATAATGTGATTTAATTTTACTATCGGATATGAAAACCTAACAAAAACTGATATTTTAGTCGTTAGTACCTCGAAATTATTTGTTTAATACATCCATTTGAGAAGCAATTTTTATTATCTTAAAAAAGACAAGCCGCAGCGTGTTGAATGAATTTGATACATCATTCTCTGTCGAACAATAATCGATTGTTTCTAGAAAGAAATTAAATTAGTTTGTCATGAAAGAAAAAATTTTCTTCTATGAAAAGATGTTTTCAAGTATTGTTAACATCTGCTTGTAATTTAAGATAATGAATCTGTTACAGATGTTATGATATAATCATTTTAAATGCTGCTGTGTTACTACCAAAAATATGTAAAACAAAGGATGGATTTGATACTACATTTCAGGTATTATACTCCTATTACTCTACAACTTTCTTATTAATTCGTGAGTTATTTTTGTCTCCATTCATTTCTTTTAAAATTGATGATGTGTATTTAAAAAGGAGTCTTATGTTACTAAAGAATGATACTTCTAATAAGTATCCGTAGCTTGTTTATTTAGAGAATTTGTTTGTTACAGGTGTTGCTATTGTACCTTGATGAAAATCTTTTATGAAAAACATGATTTCAGTGTAGCACAGTTAAATTTTATGGTATTTTACTCGATGCATAAGTTTCAGGTGAATTATTTGTCACAACTGTACCTGTTGAACGAATTGATAGGCGTCGCAACGCCGAAGAAAGGAGTCAAAATTATTGCACTTACGTCGATTTTGTATAAGTAATTTATGCACACTTCATTGAAAGAACAAAATAGAGAAGGAAATGAAATAATGAAATATAAAGGAAACATAAGCCGAGATTATCAAACCTTATTTCTTATCTTCATTTCATTCTTGGTTAATTATTAAGTGTGGGAATTCATGGAGATGAGAGACTGAACTGAGAGCAGGCAGAAAGAGAGAAAGAAAGAAAAAGAACGACTGTTTTTTTTTTTTTTTTTAACAGATCTTAATACTATACGAAACTGCCTCCTGTTTTGATGAAGTAGGTTCGGGAAATTTGTAGAAATGATTTTTGCGAACGCTGTTAGACAAGATTATCGTGAAAGAAGATTACGGTAAAAATTATTAAAAGATTTGATTCAATTTATTTGATAGTTGCTTTCTTCATAGCTGGGATAAGAATTCATTGAAAAGCAGGTAGATATGCTATTTTTTGAAGATACCAGTGATATCACTAAATATTTAAAAAATTTATATATTTCATTTATATATATATATATATATTAAATACATTTAAAAAATTTCCTTTGTCCACTTCGGATGGAAAGTGGGTCGATTTATTTTTATCATTTATCCAGTGAACAAAGTGCAAAAAAATTGTACAGTGCAACCAAAACAGGAAATTTATTCATAGTGATCTCGAATTTGCCGTATTTTCGTTGTACTCATACCGGATTTATTGTCAAAAAAGGGCATTTGAATCCTATCCACTTTCCTTTGTTTGAAAACAGATTCATTTTCAAACACTATAAATTTTCCTGGTTTTCAAACTAAATACGATTTGCGGAAATATTTAATAATTTCACTTAGATTAGTTATAGATTATAATTTAAAAAAGCTTTTTTGAAGTGAGGTTTCTTATTCCTAAAGGTAAAATATAATGAAAGATACTGTCATATTCGTTTCAACTGATTTTGATTGAAATTCACAAATTGAAAAAAATAATAAACTCAAATTTATTTCTAATTTAGATTTCTGTGTCCCAAAATATCTTCGAAACGTGATCACTTGCATAAAATGTTTTCGCCGTCGAGTAGTACTTCTGGATGGCTCAGCTATGCTAGGTCATTCGAATCTCGTATTCTTACTACCATATCTATATGAGTGATACGATATTTTTTAAGAACAAGAAAAAGATAAAAAATGACCAAACAATCTGGATCTGCTAAATGTTGTCTATTATACAGGTCAAAATTAGCAACAGCAATGTTGGCTTGCTATCTTGATCGTATCGAGGGAATCCAAGCAATTGCTGTCCATCCTGGTGCTGTAAATACATCACTTAGTAGCAACATCTCGTCACGCATGCGAAAAATTTTAAAGACTATACATGCATCTCGATTTCTTTCTCGAGTTGTGCGTCTTTATTTATTGTTAATATCATTAATTTTGAGCAAATAACCTAAAGATTAGTTTAAAAGATTTTATCTACCAATGAATTTTGTAAAAAGTCTTTGTACCAATTATTACCCGAATTCTGGATTCAATCTTGATTTAAATATTTTCAAATCAAGATTGAATTCGATTTGAATTGTTCTTTTTTAATTTTCTGATTTCACTTTTGCAGTTTCTATTCTGAAAAATAAACAATATAAACTTCAATTCAAAACGAAAAAACAGCCTTGGAATGTAAAGGAAAATATTTGTTTCAGGAAGATGCAGCACGAAATGTAGTTGAATGTGTTGAAAAAGGCCACTTGCCAAATACTTTTCGGAACAATACCGATTACAATGTCGTTCCGAAAAGGATTTCGAGTGAACAAAATGAAATTAACTTGATGATTCTTAGCAATGAAATGATTGCAAGTGCAATTTCACATTTCTGCCCCAATCGTATTCTTTATAGCTAAACTCAACATTTTTGTGAATCTAATTCATTCCAGCATTACTTAAAATTGTTTATATATCTGTTTTTTCTTTTTAACGAATGAACTTAAATTATTAATGAATCTTTGAAAATTAAAAACTAAATTCCCTTTTAATTTAGGTCAGGAATATTTTCTTTCCCATCATATCATTACTAGAAATCTGTACGGTGCTTTGATATATTTATTGGTCTATCCCAACCGGTTATACAAATAGTTATACAAATATTGTTTTAATTCAGGTTCCTTTTATGTACATTTACTTCGTTGCTGTTCATCATTCACTTCTAATGATAATATTAGGAAGCTCTACTTCTGTTGTCTGGAAAATCATTTTTCACATAATAATCAAAAAAATTCTTAAATAAAGATAGAGTTATGTTTACCACATCACTTTACATGATTTTTTTAAACTTGTTTTACCATTCTAAATTCAAATTAAATTATTTTTTTAAATTCTTATTGCTTACATATAAATTTCGAAATGAAAACTGCGGCAAGAAATTATTTCCAAGTAAGTTCTAAGAGAGGCGAATGAAGTGAATTTGGCAACTATGAGATTGTATCTTAAAGCTGTGTCATACTGCCACGAAAACATGAAAAGCAAAAAAAATATCTCAACAGCTTGATAATAACAACAAATAGCCAATAGCATAAACTGTATCAAATGTATTATGAATTCATAATTTAAGCCAATAAGACAATTTTCGGCTGTGTGTCAGGTCACTCATTTAGCTACAAATATTAATTGGCTTCATTTAAGCATTATTATGGCTAATAAGTAATTAGAAATAATACTTAAATATTTTATAAGTTTCAAGTGACAAATTAAATAAGTTAAAATAAAAGGAACCTGAAAATGAATACTACCAATCATATGTAAGAGACAAAAAACTAATCAGCTGTTGAACATCCAATAATATTTTATTAATTTAATAGTTAAAATTTCATTTCGCCATCAAATATTCTCATCAACTTCTTATGGCAAAATCGTACACAGAAATAACAACGATAAGCAAACTTTCGCCTGCTAATTGTTACCAGTACTTCCAGAAAGTTTGTAACTGCTTTTCAGATTTTAAGGTGCTGAAAGGTGTGAAAACACAGCAATTGTTTTAAGCCATCTGATGCACAATTTCATTTGTTATAGTTTTTATATATGAAATTTGTAAATGATTTCAAAGATATAATGCTAAGAATATTATTGATTTTAATTTTCTAACTATACCATGATAGTATTGTTAGAGCGACATAATTAAATATTGCTCAATGATATTTAATTAATGATAGGAATAAATCATTTATGAAAGAATTTAGACATTATATTTTCATAAATACCTAGAGAGCACTCGCTCGTTCGGCAGTTCAAGTGACCTGTAACTAATCTTTTAAGTTCTGTTAAGAAGATGGTGTTGCAATTGTCGAATTTCCGTAGTCTCGGGAAAAAGATTGTTTGTGTCGGTAGGAATTATAAGGTTTGTCGTCTTTAAGAATACATGCATATGCATAGTACATTTTTATGAAGGTTCAACTAACGGAGGTTTTTGCAGGAGCATGCCTTAGAATTGGGAAATGCAATACCGAAAATACCACTATTTTTTGCGAAATCAACAAACAGTTATGTGTCACAAGGACAATTTATCGTCCCGCCGCCTGGTTGTAAGATATTACATCAAGAAGTGGAACTTGGTGTAATTTTCAACAAGACAGCGAAAAATATCCCGTCATCGCAAGCATTTAACTATGTTGGCGGGTACACGGTAGCCTTGGACATGACGGCTCGGGACTTCCAGGTCATTTGTCATCATACTCTTTTGCACAGATAAAAAAGTCCTTCAATGCTGTCTGAAAGTTCCGATTTTTAAGTTCCGACATCTTTAATGAACCATCGTGCAACTTACTTGTTGAGCCACTGAAATGTTAATAGTTTATAGTCGCGTGGGAACCTGGCTTCAATAAAGAGCATTTTTTGACATATAGCTTTAATTTGCAGGATGAAGCAAAAAAAACAGGGATGCCTTGGTTCCTGGCAAAATCATTTGATACCTCATGTCCGGTAGGATCCTTCATTGATGTCAGTAAAATCGCCAATCCACACGACGTTGTGTTATTTTGTCGTATAAATGATGAAGAGAAGCAGTGCTGTCGGACCGACGCTATGATTTTTGACATACCAACTTTAATCGAAGTTTTAACAAAATACGTCACCATGGAACCAGGTGATATGCTCCTCACAGGTACACCATCAGGCGTAACACCTGTAAAATCTGGTGACTGCATTGAATTTGGTTTGAAAGACATAGCATCGTTTAAATTTTACGTCCAATAAAAATTCAGGTTTTCGGCTTAGACTTTTGCCTCTTTCGAGTAGGGAGTGACGACTAAATGGCTATTAATTTAACGAATGATCAATTGAATCTAAAAAAAAAAACGAATACTATCATCGTCCAAAATGAAACGTATAAACGAAAAGCAGAAACTATTTATATACAAAAATACAGCATTCAAGTTCGACAGCTACCCTGATCTCTTCTCTCATTATCCATCTTGGCTAACGAACCAATAAAGAATTTGATCGGAAAGGATATGCCCTATATGAAGAATAATGATACAGGACAGCTTTTCAGTAATGACAAAACGCGGTAATTTCACAAATACATTCGCACGAGAAATGCAAAGGAACCTTTCAACAAGAATTAACTAATAAATCTATCTAAACAGTAGAAACAAATCTTTTTTTGCACTATTAAACATGCAACGACTAATACGCAAAAACGAATGAAATAAGCAGCGTTGCGAAATGTAAACTAAGGCTGCGTACTTTTACCACTACAATCAGAACGGAACACTAAAGCAAAAAATTCCACAGAGCATAGTTAAGCAAAATATGGAAGAAGTAAGTAATTTGATATAGTCAATCTAACAGAAAACAGATTAAGATAAATTTCTGGGAGAACCGAGATAGTGATTATATACACTGCTATCACTTGATATTAATACTTGTGTGACTACAGTATCGGATTTGGCAGAACCTTTTCCCGTCAAGAGGACTCCTACCCAATTTCTTATAAGTACACTAGAAATAACAGAAAATAAAAGGAAGTTAGGTGAACGATGATTATCATTTACGCATACAGAGATTCTCGCATTAGAAACTAGATGGCTAGCGCACATGAAACGGACTCCAAACATAAAAGTATGTTTTCTCCTTGAAGGATATAATCCTTAAATTACACGTTTAGCTTCCTTTGCTTCCTAAGAATTTGTGCTCTTAATGATAAAATAATTTTTTGAAAGATCACTAAATAAGCTAAACCCGTATACGCACATGCGTAACATGTAGGAATGCGAAATATAGCTTTATTACATTTCGCTTCTGGAGATGGTTTAACATGCGCTAAACTGTACTGAGACTGTTATTGAGTATTTGTAAATACTGTCGTTGCTATTAATAACTGAAAACATAAATTCATAAATATATTCGTATCGAACTTCCCTCTCTCTTCCAATTCTTTCCGTTACTATCGCCACCAACATGAAATCGAATAATGGCATAGCTTTGAACAAGTTCAGACCATGGATATCGTAACATTGATACCAAGATTACCATTTTCGGCAAACAACTGAGCAGTCTGGCTATCGAATGCCATACAATCTGACAAAGATATTGCGTGTGCCACACCTTCATGTATACTACGTGGGGACGCCTCCCAGCTAAAACGGCGCCGATGTGTTGCTAATTCAAGCCTGTAAGCAGAACAAAATTAGAAATTCATATGAATACAAGGACTTTTTGTTGTGAAATTTAATTCAATTTTTCTTTCACACTGTCACTCCGGCTTTGAACGGATTCAAAGTATCAGTTTTGGCTATCCACATCAAAATCTTCATACATAACCAAAAACCCAAAACTGCTTCGCATCGGACTAATCCAGTTTTTTGCTTCGCAAACTGAATTAGTCCGACTAATCTCGTCTACCAAAAACTCTATCCACTATAATACTTACCGATACATGAAATTCTCGGATTCTTTTTTAGCGCCAATCAGTTGCACAACAGCATAGAACATCTGATTACCATCCTGGAACTTTTCTTGTTTTTCTAGCACGAGCATAAAGTGATAACCGAAACAAGACTGCATCATTACCCAATCTACAGCACCAGGTAGATTGATGTCAGTAGCCAAAAAGACGATATCTTCACCTGCAGTTAGATTCATTCCAATGTTTCCCTTCACGATTACTTTAAATGCGATATAAGAAAACTGATGTGCTTTGACTTTTAATAATTGGTTAGAAAGAAGGAAAGTTTTATCATAAAAGAAATATAGAAATTGCTCTTCACGAAGCAATAACCAACTGTAAGGCAAATTTACATACAAAACTATTGGTAACTCATAACAAAACAAAGATATAAGAAACACGCTGTAAGTAAAGAACAGTGAAATCAAAATCTTTTCGTCTTCCATGAAGCAGACGAAAATGAACTGACCTTGTAGAGTAGTAATAGATTTGTGAACTTTCATGAGATGTCCCATAACTTCGGAGAGGCTTCCCTGCCATTTGCATGATGCTCCGGGACACGGACAACAATATGGGCTAGAAATAATCACAATAAAATATCAGAACAATACCTGACAAGAAAACATAAAAATACATTAAGATGTACGGTGTTAACAGAAACAAAATACCATATTTTACTCTTATGCATTTCCTTATATTTCCTTATAAAAAGGAACTTGGACCAGAACAGAAGCACAAATGCTTACCGAAACTCACAAAGTTCCTCGTGTTCCACTTTTTCAACGTGTGAAAATGTAAGTGGACAGCCTGAGCCAGAAAATTTGCAAGGAAACATAACGGTGTTTGCGATTTTTTCCAATACCAAATTTCGAACACTTGCTGTAAAAGACACCGAATAAAATGCAACAATACTAGCTAAAATATGAAAAATGATCTCATGCATGCTATCCTCTCTCCTTGGAGAGAAAAGAAAATGCTTGAAACATAACAATAAATTTCTAAATCATTTCAACAGTTTAGAAACATACGAACTGGACCCCTGCAAGTAGGACAACATGTTAATTTGGGACGGCAATTGCCACATACAAGGTGACCACTCTGGCACTGCAGGTAAGGTGGCATCATGTAATCCATGCAAACCGGGCATTCGAAAACTGACAAAACCTAAAAACAGCATTATCAACATCAGTATTTTCAGAAGTAAACAGTGATTTCCGATTTCTCGCTTAATTGGTATAAGTGAAGAGATATCAATCATTCTCAAACCGAAAAAAAATTAAAGACCTCTGGATTAGCGTTATGAGTTACATTATGCGGTGTAGAAACAGCAAATTGAGGTGCTACGCTCTGAGTAGTTACTGGATTTGAAACAGAACCTGAAAAAGTGGCTTTATTTTAACTATAATAAGTTACCTAGAGGATGTCAGAACTAGAAAATAAACCAGACTTACCGGATGGTGTGGAACCCTGGACACGCCCGACAGTTTTTTGCTGTGGCGTCGCAACACCCTGCGTCGGGTTATTCTGACCGTTCACCGCAGCTGGAGTTGCAATACTTCCCTGTTTGAACTCATTGCTCATTCTGCTGACAACTGTTAAACTCAGTTTACAAAATCCAACACTGAAACAGAGAAGGTTCAAGATATCTTTGTTGAAGAAGTTTTGCAGACTCAATCTCAAGCCTTCGCCTTGCTGCTATGAAAGCATACATATTACCATAATGTGCGCATAGCGCACGATACTCAATTACAATCTCAGAATCCTTCATAATTTTCGGGCAAAATTTTCACCACTTGGGCCTTATCTGACCAACCCTACTCACTTCCAAAGCCAATCCTTGAATCAGGATAATTGTCATACCATTTAATTCATCACTTCTAAAATTAACCACCGGACCATACTCAGAACTGCCTACATAAACAAAAACTAAACCAATATTTTGATGGACTAGAACCATATAATTTTTTGAAATATATGTCGACGAATTTAACATTTTCATACATTTCCAAATTGATATACCAAAATATAAATATATAAAATTAAAGACGGGATAATATCAGGAAAAGCATCACATGAAGCTATAGAACAAACTATTATAAATCAACAAACTATTATAAATTAACAAGTATCCAACTAAGGCAATGTTCTCTTCACAGGCATCTGAAAACAGAACTAACCGATTCATTATCGAGAGAAAATTAACACAGTTAATGCCACTGTACCAAAAAAAATCTTTAAGACATGGAAAACTTCACCAACAAGAGATGTCAACATCAACCGGTCGTCCTGTTCTAGACTTCAAATAACAAATGAATATGAAAGTACATAAAATCGGGTATAATATTATGACAAATTGAAAAAGTTGAACACTACAAAATATCGACAAAACCACGAGGTTGAAATTTGTTACAATAATTTAAAAAGTGAAGCAAACCACACTACAATATAACCAAATTCCTAGCTTACGAGCAAAACCAGATGTGAGAAAAAACATTATGACTGACATTATGCAATTTATATTTAAATGAGACATATTTGAATAGTCATAAGCTAGATGTAATGGAACAATATACATGCTTTCACAATAAATTCATAATACTTTGGAAACTATATACTTGAATTTACGCGCATCTCCTCACAATTTTTATCTGCACATTCATGTATTTCTCACCGAACTGATATATACTCTTTAGTCGCGTCTAATTTTCTCACTAATTAACTACCTATCTGTTCAATTATTTAATTAACTGCGCATTGATTTTACGACTGATGGATAGTTTATTCCAAATTCATGAGGAACACACATGTGGCATACGGTGCAGTTATAGCAACAATTTCGTACTGATTATGCACAATACTGCCTATCTGCTCATTATTTAATTGAAATGTCCCTCTTTTTCTATTAGGAATACTCGAATTCCTCCAAAACATTACTCAGAAATGAATAAATATTTGAGGGTCAAGAAACAAAGTAGCAAATTACTGTTTCTTTGACAATGTCCTCAGAACACTAGTAAAGGTGCTGGCAAGTTTGGTAGTTGGATTTATTTGTACTTTCGAGAAACCACTCTTCATGTTGTCATTATACGAGCCTTTGAAATAGTAGCACCCTTCGTTCATCTTATGTGCATTCACAATCAATTCTCCCACATCAGTTTCATGATAATTCTGCAAAAAAAAAAAAAAAGAAAGTAGCAAATTACTGTTTCGTTGGCAATGTTTTTAGTACATTAACAAAGGAATTGGTTTGATGAAAAATCATTCAGCGGTTTCAAAGAGCTATTAAATGTGAGAAAAAAAAACTTCACTTCATTAAAGCAATAGTTTGTTGTCCTGAAAACATATGTTACTGTGGGCAAAACAAGAATTTCCCAGGGGGATTGCACATACGTTGCGAGTGGAAATGTAAAACAAAGCTTAGCAAAGCAACATTTACCATTTAAATGACATTTAACATTACCAATAGCTTCAAGTTTGCCTGGAATTAAAAAATTTCTCTTATTTTCTTACTACTGGAAATGATAACCGAAATAATCATCTGCATTTCTTAACAACATATGACGTAATATAATTATTAAATCATATTACCTGCAGCATTTCCAGACATGACGTAAAATCTCCTTCAAGTAATACGATACGAACTTTCTCCATCATCGCTAAGCATATCCAGTGAAGAAATCGTAAACGATCAGGGGAAGAAAACAATGAATCCCATATATTAATAACATCTGCAAATTAAATATTTATAGTAATTTTCTGGAAACGAACTTTATATCAGTGGAAGAAGTATTCACCTGGTAGGGAGAATTCTTGCGACAGAAGTAAAGAAAGCCAGCGGAATGCATAAAACTGCGGCTTAACACCCACATCGACCAGATGATTATACAGTTCCGGGTCACAATTTCTCAATCTCTCATTAAATTCTGCGAGAAGTGATTCTATAATGTGGATAACCTAATGCTGGGATTCAATTCATTAAAATAAAGAATATGAGAATTTAAAAGTACTGTATCAACACTTGAGTAGTTCGAAGGAGAATCGAGCTCTTTTTTATATTACCCACTAAATAACACGAAATGTGTTCTGAAAGCATCGAATCGAGGAAGTACAAGATTTATCTTTCTTTTTCCTTTCATTTTCTTTTATAGGTTAGCAAGAAACATTTAGGAAGATAAAATGACATTCTGTAATAATTATTATGGATAAAAAATAGAGTAACCACAGTTATTTTTTGTCGCTCTTTTTTCCCCTCCTTCAATAAAGGACTTCATAAACTGCAAGACTGCACCATCATCCAGCTCCGTACATAATAATGATTAATTAAATAAAAACTTACCAATGCCACAGCTAGAACTATCCAGAGTTTTAATAAAATTATCTTTAATTTCGCTCATCAGCAACTGAAAACAATAATACGTATCCGCTTCAGCCGCTTCTGCCCATTCGTCGTCCGCATCACTTGCAAATACGTAATACAGTGGACCCATAATTTCATTCATTCCCTCAACATTTGAAACAATCTTAAAGTGGCTAATTAAAAAAAATGAATAGAAATATCTGTAAAGTAATAGCATACTTTAATCATATATGATAAAGTAATCTGAAATAACCTGAACATATTTGACTCCTGGATTAAGTTTGCTATACATGAATAACACTCTTTCAACCACCTGCCAGTGATATTCAACATTTTCATCAACATCATTGGAGTATTCATTGCTGGCTGTTTTAGCTGGCAAGGCAATAAACTGAAAAAAGACAACTAAACATCGACAAGTTGATGAAAAGGTAACCATGGAATAACACAAACTATTGATATGGTACAAAGAACTGACATTCCCTGCACTGAAATGACTGCCTGGTGGAACTTCAGAATAAAGATTCTCTTGCCGAATACGACATGATAAATTGATTTTTGCTGCTGATCTAAAAATAAAACACAGCAAGTTTTACAGCTAATGATGGCACAATACAATCTAATCAATCAAAAAATTAGACCTAATGTTTCGGTGATGGAGCAACAATTTTCTTATTTGTATTACCAGCCCTATCATAAACGGCTGATACATGACGGAACGTCCTGACAATAAAAGAAAACTGGAAGGGTGATGAAAAGTAAATACCGGATATCTTCCCTTTCAATTTTTGAAAAATATTTAGTAGTATTTACGAAAAAAAACGTGAAAAAGGCAAAGACAACACTGTTTGTGAAAAAAATCGCTAGAACGTGCATCCACTTAAATGATTGTGAACTTACAAATGTGAAAAATCTTTTAACTTTTCCATTTCGGAAAGCATACCTATGTGGATAAGCAGTAATTCGTTGGAAAAAATCGATTTCCGGGCAAAGCCGCCGAACATCCTTGTCTATTTGAACCAATACTTCATTGTCCTTGAAATAATTATTCCATTGACTGTCTGGGTTAAGATTTAACGGCTAAAAACAGTCTAAATGAAATACGCTATCGCTAGATTCCCCAGCTCCTTAATTCAGTTAAATATAGACTCTTAATCTAGTATGATTTTAATTCTTGACAAGATTAACATGAACCACTTGCCTCCCTATTTAATTTTATACAATGTTAAGGATAATTTATACCATATTTTAGTAAGCTCAATTAAAAAAATGACGTGCATGATCTACAGTAGTCTCGTGATCTTCCATAGATAACTGGCCCGGATGAACGATTACATCTTCAACAAGACTATTATAAATTTCACGCTGCTTTTGTAGATAGACGGACCACCGTTGTCGTTCCATAGGTAAGTAACCAAGAAGCAGGCGCCAACACAACGGTCGCAAGGAGTCGGGAACACCTAACAGTGAAATAGATTGCACGTAAAAACTATCAATTTAAGATCGAAAATCTATCTAAACTATAAATCTAACTAATTATAAAAGCTCTAACCCTCTCTTAAATACAACAACTGAATAAAACATCGTCGAAAAAATTATAAAATTGAAATCGAAGCTGTCGGAATTAATTAGGATTGGTCTGGATACCTTTCAAACAACCAAATCTACTCATAACCACAAGCAATAGAATATGCAGTATACAAATGTGGAAGATAACTTACCAAAACTGCAGCAAAGTCTCAAGTCGCTAAGATCTATTTCAGCATTTTTTAATAACAAAACTTTTTCCAACTGCAGAAGGCTGAAATATAGATTATTTTCGATATATATATATATATATATATATATATATATATATATGTACAAGTGAGCTACCAGTTTTACTGAGTTATCTGAGTTATCATACTAGAATTGATATAATTCAAGCCTATGATGTTGGTATGCAAAGTCAGGAAAAGTCGTATTTGCACTTGCAGAATGGTGATCTCAAGGAAATCATAGTAAGACCAATTTCGAGAAAGGTAAATTGCAGACGCCAAATGATCAGTCATAATCAGCAAAGGTTAGCACAATCAGCGATAGAGTAGTAACTTATTTCTTAAATGTATATGGGGCCAAGGAATCTTCGGAAAATTCCCGAGATCTATTACACACACTCAAGAAGTAGACTGATTAAAATTATATTTGCATACCGTTCCTTGTATTTTTCACCCATTGATCTTCAGAATTTTGTCGCGAACGGTGGCTTCACATTCCTGCAACACTGTTCTGTTCTGGACATGATTCCAGCTAGGAGAGAACACATATGCTCGCCTTTATCCGATAATGCGACACCTTTTTTCCAACATTCAGTGTAGATTTTCCACTTCCTGTGACAAATAGCAAGACCTCTCTGATTTGATCAACTCTTGTTATCACACTTTCTAAATTACTATATATTTCGAAATCTTTAAATCTTGGACGATCCCAACTTCTGCACACACTGTCACTAGAACCCCACGCCTCAATGCCACCAGACACACTGTCACCGAAACCCCACACCTGAACGCCATCAGACACATTGTCAATATTAATCAAAATCATTCATTTAAACCGCCCGCAAAATACCAAACGGCCTTCTGCGTATCGCCGAGAGAAACGATGAGTTGGTCGTTTTTAGTAAGTTCAACCCCCTCCCCCCCCATACTACTAGGAGTGTTTTTGACTCTGGCCAGATCTTAGTGGCATCAAAATGTTTCTATCTCTACCGTTTTAGTCAGTTGTTCAAAAATGTAATGCACGTTTGAGAAATGGTTGCAGTGAGTGAAAAAAGTCAGCATTAGCTGTACTGAAGACTTGATTTTTAGATTAGAAAGCCATAACAAAATTCAGATATGATGTCTACATTTATGCGATATCATGCAGAAAATATATGTCGGATTGAGGAACAGAAATCCCAGTCTTTTTACTTGCATCCTTGCGACGTTATGAACCATGCCAATTCCTCGACATGAATTGAATTTCATAACGAACAAAACCTTCCAACGATGTCAGCATCGGCTAGCATCGAAACTATCGGTTTTAAATTGAGATCAAAAATGTCGCTGCGACACCATCTAAATGGTATAAAAGCTGTGTATTTCATCATCCGAAGTTTCCGCGTTACTTGAGCCGGTTACTTCTCAGTTGTGTTGTGAAAGTGGGGTTGTGCGTTATTGTGTACTGCTGGTCGTAAACTGAGGGCGTATGATGTAAGTGGCATTGATTTTAGGAAATTAAGTTTTCTTTTTGGCGATGTCTGGACGTGGGAAAGGCGGTAAAGGTCTTGGAAAAGGTGGCGCTAAGCGCCATCGAAAGGTTCTACGTGATAACATTCAAGGTATAACGAAGCCAGCTATTCGTCGTTTGGCACGTCGTGGTGGCGTGAAACGAATTTCAGGTCTCATTTATGAAGAAACGCGTAGCGTGTTGAAGGTAACATTTCCAAGTGTCTAATTGTCATATGTTTTCAAAAATATTAGGCACTTATCATTCTCCTCAGAAATTTCGGAAATCTTGTAGGTTTTCCTGGAAAACGTTATACGTGATGCCGTGACATACTGTGAGCATGCCAAACGAAAAACGGTTACGGCAATGGATGTTGTTTATGCTTTGAAACGTCAAGGACGTACTCTGTACGGTTTTGGCGGCTGAATTTGTTAATATTCAGACAAGCTGTCATATTTATATGTTCAAATTGATGGCTGATTGCTTATTGGTGGCTTGAAAATACTGATAATATTTACTCATGCATATAATTTCATACTGGTGTGCACGACAGTGCTTCTTGCTAATTTTGACAGGTTGATTAGGTGGAAATATGGGCACACATGATGAAGACGAGAGTAAGGAGTGATAAAAAATGAATAAACCTGAAATAAGTGCCTAGTAAAAGCATGCTTTTTAAGCCCATTATAGTGTTGCAGCAAAAGAATGATTGCTTTTAGAAACACGACAGTCATCCCATCTCTCTTACCAGTATTTAATGTTCAATAAATTTATCAAATTGATGAGGTATAAGCAGCATATCTATTTTGTTTGCAACATATCCTCTTGGCAGTTTATATGTGTTTCCAGATTTAACATTTCTGATTCCTTTCTTTTTCTCGTGCCGCGAATATTTTTCTTTCTTGCACTTTGTAATTACATGGCAGCAAAATTTTGTTTGACTTTTCATTCGTCATTCTCAGTATAAACTTATTCCAACTTTTTTCACTTTTCTTGTGACTATAAATTAAATCATTCAGAGATTAAAGCATTTTCATTGGAAACCGTTATATTTAAGTGAGGTGATTAGTGTTTTCCGATTCAGATCTTTACAACTTAAAATTATGATCTTGAAATTCCTAGAAGTAGTATGCAAGCAATGTAGTTCAGTTGGAGCTGGGGTTTTAAGGGATTGAATTTTAGGATAAGATGATATCAGGGAGTATAATAACAGGGTATAGCGGATGTATATTATTTTTCGTATGTATATTAGATATCAGATTTCGTTGCACTCGTATGTGTTCTGGGTACGGAATTTTTCTCATTTACAAGAAAGTCTGAATTGAGTTGCGAAAAGCGATTTATTGGCAAACATTTTGTGCGTTCATAGCATGATATTTAATAATGAAGTGGAAACAGGTATGGATGGGAAGGTGAAAGCAGAAAACTTGGAGAGATTTCATGAAAGTGTTCTGTTGTGTGTAACATACTTTAAGTAATCAAGATGACATGTACACTTACAAAACGGTATCAACGGGAGTAGAGTGCACATTCACTGCAGTAGACAGTACACAAATTTAATATAAGAATGGTTGTAATGATTTTCATTTTCATTTACTATTGCTTCACAATTTATCCTCTTTGTTATGAACTTTTTGCTATAGAACAACTGTACTATGGTACGTTTGAAGCTGTATAGAAAATAATGGAATTTTGGCTTGTGCATTGGATTTCATGAAAATTTTTAAATTATCAGTCACAGTAGTCATGAGTGGCTTTTTTGCCTTGTGAAAGGAGCTTTCCAGGGTTTTTTTTTCTTTATCCGTGTTTGTAGCCAGAAGGGACAACCCTGAATATATGAGTAGAACGCTTTTTATATTTCTACAACATCAGTCTTTCTTTTGGGCTAGTATTAAGTGAAAAGGTGATTTCTTTTTTACTAATTATTAGTTTTCATTAAGTTCCCAAACTTAGTCGTGCATTAAGTTGCAGCAAATATTTAGTCCATTATGCATTACTTCCCTTACAGCTCATACAAATTATTGCTTGTTACTTTTCCGGACTACTCGAAAAGACAGATCTTGTATTATTACATAAATTACTTGAATTTCCAACACTGATATTGTTTATAGTTGCATCAGCTAATTAATCTGATATTACTTTATAATCAACAGGGTCATGTCAAGTGTTAAAATGCTCAGATTTTGATTTGTCTATAAGATATAATTGAAAAGTGCTTTAATCCCGATAATTATAACCATTAAAGTATATTTCAGCTTTAAGAATAACTCGATAATCCGTTTGTTAAATAACTTGCTTATGTACGTATTCCTTTATGCGCAAGAGTTTTATAATTTAACTTTTCTATCCAATAAATTTTCGCATTATATATGAATAATTACAAACACGGATTGTATTTTTGATGCAAAGAGTGGAGAACACGCTTGGTAAGCTTATGCTTTTGCTTGATTAAACGTAAAAACCTTTAAAAACATGTCAGACTGCATTTATATCTTTCTAAATAATTTCTGTATGATGATGAGATACATTGGAAAACCTGGCAATTACTTGAAAAAGCTGCGAGAATGCTGGCAATAATTTTGCTGTTTTACAAATTCAAACTACTTTTCCATAAATTCGGTATTATTTTTTGATGATTTATTTCAAACTTATATTTCCCTCATTTCATATTTCCGATAATATCACTCATAATACTTCCCAATATCCACGATTGACCATTTTTACCCTGATGAATTACGATGGCCTAACGATTATTGACACTTTTATTTTCAATCAGTAAAGCCTTTCACGAAATGTGTGCCTTAGCACAATGTGCAGAAAATATTCCTACTAATTTAACATTGGGTCATTAACCAAAATAGTATAACAAGACTTAAATTTCAAATAGAATTATAATATCTTTTGCTAATCATCGAGAAGAAAATAAAGTGTTTGCAGCACTATGCAGTTCGAAGTTACAGTTAACATGCTCATGGTAACGGTAGCTAATAGCTAACATGAATATGAACCCTGAAGAGGTTCATGTAACTGTCAAGCTATGATACATAATATATTCGACAACTGCTCTTTGACTTGACGTAGGTCAGTGTTAGAATGTACTGATTTTACGTCCAAAGTCTTCAGGTTTAATTACTTTATTGTAGAAAGTGAGTATTACACCTTCGGTCAACTAGTTCCTAATACAATGTGAGATGTTAATGAAAAAGATGGAAGAGCTATCAGTATCAGGATTTCTTCCACTTAGGATTTGAAAGTGCGATAATTAGATTAGATCAAAGCAAAGAGTTTTTTGGATCAAGGAAGAAATACCGTGTGTTAATGGCTGTGTCCAGGAAATTCAAATCGCTGACAAAGGAGTAACAGGAATACTTTACTGACTAGTTCATTTTAAAGCGTCATCACTTTAATTTTAACCAGAAGGCTTAGTGCACGGAATGATCTAATATTCCAAATAGATATTGAAAGTTTTCGGTGTGATATGCTAACATAAGCAGTAATTGAAAAATTTCCTTTTACTTTGAAAGGAAATTTTTGTTAGCAGATTATTTTTATATAACAGATGTGATGTTATCATTGATACAGAAATTCACCTCATCAAATTTTACTTTTTTAGCAACAAATACGATTAAAGGAACTGTTTAAAAAGAAAATCATGTCTGAAATACTTAAAATCATTTCGATTTTGCGTTAATTCAGGAAGCCTACCAACTTTATTCGGGTCTTCTCAAAAAAAAAAAAAAAAGAATAAAATAAAATAAATAAAAAAGCCTATGGTGCTTATATTTTATTCATTTTATTCTTGAATTTCACATCTTTATTTTGTTTTCACAAATTCTTCCACTGGTTAGGAATTCATTTGAAATAAAATAAATTCAGCCCATTGTCATATTTATTTGTACTCTCATAAACAAATTGGACATTACCCACTGTATAAAATTTAATTTAATGAAATTAATATTTGAATCAAGATATTTGTTTTTTGCTAAAACACAATGAGATTTAATAATTTGAGTTATAAATATTTTTAGCATTTATCTTCGATAGAAAAAAAAAGGAGTAGTAGAACTTGAAAAAGTTTTTGTGGTGCTTTATATTTTGCTTCCAATAGAATGTGAGGGCGTTTCTAACATTCATTTTAGTCAAATTTTAGAAAGTTAATAATGGGTGGAAATGTATTATTTAAACGCATCGTTTATTTTTATGTCTTAAATTTAGATATGTCTTTTCAATAAAATTATCAAGTGAACAGATAAAATACTAAATTGTAATATTGACTGTATTATGCGTCAGAAATATAAAATTACATTTAATGATTCTTACAATAAAATTTTTATAGAAACTGAAAACAAAAGTTTCTTCTTGCAAATGAATTTTATTCATGAAGAGTGTTCTGGAATTAAGAATAGGGCTTAAAACAATCCAAAAGATGCTTTTAGTTTGGTAGAAATTAAATTTTTTGTAAAAATTACGTCTTAGATTTGTTATGATTGCATTTTGTTCTTTCTAGTATGAAGTGAATGATCTATTTGAAATGTAAATGACCATTGTACTATATAATTTTTCATTGAGTACCTCAACATTCCTTGCTTTGTTATCATTTTTTAACCTTCAGTAATGTTGTTTTGTCCTAATGCTGAAAATAGTAGGAATTAGATCGGAAGGTTTTTTTTCTCTACTTTCTTAGTGGCCTTAAAGTATTTGGGATTTCATTCCACAACTTCTACATTTTGCTTAATTGTATTGGAATTTATATTCTTCTTAAATGGAAATGTACAACCAATATCGAATTGTATTTCTTCAAAGAGACATTTTCCGGATCGCCATAAGAACCAGTCATTTTTACGCTGTGCAACATTATATGTAAAAAAAGCCAAGCACTTGTTATTGTTTGAAGGACGCTTTAACATCACATAAGCTGATTCAGCTTCTGCACATTGCAGTGGACAATATGTCAAAATTTGATTCCGTGTTGCATCTTTCTCCTAGAACGAAGGAAATTAGTGAAGATGAAATTACATTACTATCAACATTGATTTCAAAGGAAATTAGTGAAAATGAAATTACATTACTATCAACATTGATTTCAAAGGAAATTAGTGAAAATGAAATTACATTACTATCAACATTGATTTCATATTTGAATACATCGATAACAAAATGAATGAAACCATCATGCAGAATAGTTACTACTCACTGTAAAACATCCATTGTGATTGGTTGTTGTCCTCTCAATGTCATCTTTGAACATTAACGTGCAATCGGATGGCTCCTTTTCGTTTCTTATCACGCAAGTGTACCGTCGAAACTCTATAATAATGTCAGTTCTTCACTTTTTACAAATATCATTTTTTTTTTTTTTTTTTGTAGTTGAACTAAATAAACACTACTGATACTAAAAGCATTTTAAGTTCAACATTCATATCAAATTTGAAGATTATGAGCTATTGATTTATTGTTTTGATAAGTTCAGAAAAACTCGAAGAAGATAACATACGATTATGTTGAAATTCAGCTTCTCCATTATAAAGAAATACAAATAATAACCAGAAACTACGCATTGAAATGATCTGTAATAAAGGGTAATTTATTATCTATTTTAACAGTGTTAAAAAACGTGTAATGAATGATGATAGTATCATTTGCAGGTGTGGCTTCCTCCTTAGGTTTGAGTTCATATGATTTATTTAAGCGAATGAGATGATCTTCATACTTACTGAAATGAATTAAAATAATAAACGGACCACTAATAATAGAGTGGAGCGTTTACCAACCGATTATTGGCTTCCCAGACCACCTATAAAGTCGTTAGGCTTAGTCCGGAAAAATGAATTGTGGAATATAAATTAGTGCGTCGCTCGCTTGATAAATTAAAATTTAAGTTACTCGATAGAACTAATAATAAAAACATCCTGGAATGAAACATTAGTGGATTGAGTTGACCGAAGAGTCGATGAAATAAGAAAAGCAATAATGTAGTTGTATTTGAGTTTGACCCAGAAGGATGACCTAATAGTGTCGTTATCATTGTCACACCCGTTTGTTCATCATTTTCTTGCCCTTCACTCAGCTGTCCTGTGCGTTGTAGATGATAATGCAGTCACAGGTGTTGCTTTCTCCAAAGAATTTCTATCGTTACACTTTATTACCAAAGAATGACCATTTGGACTATCTGATAAATTCAATTCATACCATGAATTACAATAAATTAAAGTAACTGCAATATTATCTTTATTTTTATTTGTTCTGTATAATTTTATTTATAATCATTTACTACAAAATACGAAACGAAAAAAGAATGAAACTAACTAACTACAAGATAATAACTTTTTTCAGAAAATTTGACTTAGTGACAATTCATCTCATTTCAAAAATTTGGCAATGATTAAGTTACGTGAAGTAGTGATACTTGATCACTGTTCAATAACTGAGAAAATACTGATCCATGTTGATCATCTCAAATTAGCTAGTGGACAAAATCGATAATATATTGTTTAAATCAGAAGTGTAGATCGGACGAATCAATAATGCATGATTATTTTAGATTTTGCATGACAATATTAGACTTGCAGTTGCATTATTTTTGATATAATACAGTAATGAAACTTCAATTAAAAGCATTTTTATTTATTTATTAGGCAGTAGAGATGTTTCCGGAAAAATTTATTTTTTCTTTAGTACATCAAAATTTTTTTCAACCAGTAATTGCATGTTCGATGGATAGCGTACTGCTTATCTAATGTTTAGTATTAGAAATATTTTTGTGCACGATACTATACAATTAAAAACAATGCAAAATATGCTCTATAGATTTAATTACATATCTGTTCGTATGTGATATAATGTGAGATAAGAACTGATAAAATTCCATCTTCCCTCAATTTTGTTTGCTATAGTTTGAAGATTTGTTAAACATCGCAATCTTCAAAATTTCAAAAACAATGTGGCATAAAAATTAAATGACAGGAATAATTATTACATTATCAAAATTAACAAGCTGACAAATTATCACTATTTAATATATGCAACGACTTTGTCTTTCATATCAGACTTTACATCTAAAGACAATTCAAACAATAAAATAAATGATATTAATATATTTTAGCGAGATTGAATTCATTTCACTTTTCACACTGAACGAACAATTTATAGTTTTGTTGAAATGTTCAGTCATTTTAATCAAAAGCGTTCCTGCCAACGACATCGCTTCCTATGATAAATGTTTGAGAAATAAAAATTAACAGTTTTCTTCAACAAATAATCTGTGTATTTTATTAGCAGCACGACAAAGACATGGCAGAGAGCATAATGGAACTGTTTGAAGGCAAACTGAAACAATAAAATTATTATCATTAATTCCTGTGAGTAAGACAGTTAATCTCATGCCATTACTAAGTGATTTGGCCATTAGAATCAATTGATATCGTTGATAATTTTAATAATTAAAAAAGAAGAAAAAAAGTGAGAAATATTTTAAGAGCTTAATAGGACTTACAGGTAGGACAGCGACAGCGACAACAGCCTGTAAATATATTTTGCACTTACGTGTAGTAATTTGAATATAGTTGAATTAATTCGAAGAGTAACGCTAACTGAACAAAATAAAATGACATTATAATCTTTTGTTTGCACTATGCAGTAAATTTAAATTTCGTGCAAATTTTATGTTACTTCTCAAGATGATCAAGCATCAATGTAATGGTTATGATTAACTTACAAGGAAGCAATAAACAGTATGGTGAACAGTTTGTAACAAATCCACCACCGCAACTCTGATATCCACTACCGCCATTACCTTGACCACTGCCACCACAGCATTCCCTGCCTTTTTTTAGATCAAACATTGATGATGGGGCATTTAACGATTCTTTCCTGTGAATTGTTGCTTTCGGGAAGCTGGTATAGAATGGCTTTTGTGGGATGTATGACTGGTAAAGTACGGGCTTGAAAGGCTGGGCTGTGTAAGGGAACTTTACTGAATTTGGCGGTAATGGCTGTGGGATGAATTGTGGTTCATTAATTTTCGTTGATTCTATAAAGCAAAAGGACTGTTATTAACTTCTAAAATTGTCGTTTTTAAATGAAATTATATGACACTAAATCTTTGATTGTTTCAATTTAAGGGTAGCATATATTAAACAACAAAAAAGTAATCTAAACAGATTTTCTCAGATAATTATCATGAGAAAGTAAATATCCTTGAAGTTGCAATCTAGCTAAGGTACCGTATGATGGTTGGTCGAAGGAGTCTATTACTAATAACTTACTAATAACTTCAAATTACTAATAACTGAATTGAGAAAAAATATTGACAAATATAGTATAATTGTTTCGCCTATGTGATCTTGTTAAATTAAACAGAGACTCCATTTTTTAACTGCATCAAAAAAGTAACCTTAAATGTAAAACAATTACGATACAAAACAAACCAACAGTGCCGTATCCAGGCGAAATGCTTACATATCGGTTTTGCATTATCGGAATGGGAAAAAAGGTTGTTGAAACAATATCCTTGGAGGATATGCTGGCAAGTTTTTCTGTGTTTCTTGCTATAACAATATATTTTAGTAAAGCTGGGTATAAGTATCTTTTGATGATGGAAAATTGTATATATATATATATATATATATATATATTTTTATAATGTTTGATAGCATGATGTTATCATTACTTCTAAGACAACATAATTAAAAAGGATATACAAATATTAATTCTTTAAAAACCCATCTTTAAATAGAAATATAAAATTAATGTTTAGTTAGCGAAATAGTTCATATTGAGCAAAAAAACCTTCATATATATTGAATTCTTCAACATAATTAAAGTCTTCATTAGTTTTAAGAAAAAATATTAAGTTGTCCTTTAACTTTTGAAAATTGCTTGAAATTCTGTAAGTAAGGCAAAAAACCTTTTGATATCTTGGATTGGTTACCAGTTACAGGTGTATTTCGCGGGCTTTCATTTCGAATTAACTGCCGATTTTTATCGACCGGAAAAAAAAATTATACCATATGAAGTAATCAAAAAAATAGTGGTGAAATTTATTCTTTAGTTCAAGACTAAACTGTGAAATACTGAAAGACTTAATTAATAGTTTTCGGGATTAGTACTCATGTATTCTATTTAAAATCATTGTTTAAATTCTATTTATAGAGTTTTAATATTGTATTTGGACTGATAGGTAAGCAAATATCGAGAAGACGCCTTTGTACTGAATATTTATTGCCTTTTTTCTTGTAAAAGTTATATTAAAATATGGCGAGTAGTTACTTTGAAGTATTAAATAATTTCGAATTATACTTACTATAGCCATGACGCTACCATCATCGTCATTTTTATATTCATGAAAATTGCTGAGATAGGATGACGTTCCACTATTTTTAATCTGATTCAAAATTTTGTATTATCAGCAAAAATAAACACATTTTTCATTAACCAACGAAATTTTCTGCATTGAATAATTAGTAACTTTTTGCGGAATATTACGTATTTATTACTTCTCACTTTGAACTTTTTCAATCACTTGAATATATATATTCGAACATTGAAAAGTATGAAATCAGATTTTTCATATTTGAGAATAAATCAGACTGTAAGTGGTAACATTGATAATGCTTTTTACAACATATGAAGTTCTTTGACAATGTTTCCAAAAAAAAAAAAAATGAACTGAAAAGGACTCTACCTCATCTGCTGTTTCATTATGAAGTATTTTTGATTGAGGAACTTCACTTTTAAATTGAGAATTCCAATCATTTTCACTTACTTCTTCAAGATAACTTGAAGTTGCTTCTAACAAATCTTCTGAAGATTCTTTATCAATATGAGAAGGATTGACTTGCCAACCTTCCTCAGCAGTTGAATAGCCATCTGATGAAATTTCGGTCACAGCTAATAACGGAACAGATGGTGGAAGTAAAATGATTGCAGGAGGAGTTGGTGCGGAAATGTTGATTGCTTCTGAAGATTCTTGTGTCGTGCTAACTAATCCCGAAGTATCAGATATTTCATCATCAACTTTTACTTCGGAAATAGGAAGGATAACATGTTGTCTCGATTCTCCAAGCTTTATTGATGATGTTGCATACCAGTTCATGGATGCTGCATGATTATCATCAGTGATTTCTTTGATTGGTATTTCAGTTCGATGAATTCCTGCTAGAATGGTACTCGATATTATCGCTACTGATAATGGTATTTCGTTCGTTATCTGCAGAAGCATTGACGGCATAGTTTCTTCTGCATCTGAAACTACTAGAAAATAAAGAATTAAGAAGTACTAGAAAATAAAGAATTAGGAAATAAAGAATTAAATTAATTAAAAAAAATTTGAGGTTATGCAATTGTTAACAATTCGACTTATTTGCAAAGATATCATTTGAAAAAGTGCAGCTCTGCTTTTATTAATAATTAAGCAAAAATTGTAACATTCATTATCATTATTCTAACTAAAAGTTCCTATAATCTCTTCCAATAAAATTTAACTTCTAATCTAAATTTCTGATTATTTTTAAAGATATATCTTTGCTGTGAATAGTGAATATCTTCGTTTTATGATATA